CGACTAGATATACATATCCATCGCACATCAGTGATGAACGTAGTCAGAGATATGAGAACGAAGCGAGTCAGACCGTGTTTAGCTCAATGAGGATATTCGAGACGTCTCGTCCGCCCTCGTATACCTGCACGAAACTCATCTGCATCTGATGTGCACTTCAAGTGACGAGGATGATAATATAACTGTCCTGGATTAACAATCCACCCGCATTTACTCCCAACCTAATGCCCGTCTCATCCCCAGCGCCCTCAACGAGCATCCGGTCTCAGCCAGCCTATCCTTCCCAGCTTATGGCACCAGTCGGACGGACACTAGGAACAGGAGCCGGCGGAACTCCAGAACCGGTATCCATGCATCACGCCGAATACGGACCCAGTCGCAACAGCATTCCCCATACAACATGTATTCTCCATCGCATCATGCAGACCACGATGCTGCACTCCGTGCAAGTTTGTCTACGCTTCTCTCATGCGCTGCCGCTGCCAGAGGACTACCAAAGCGGGATAATCAATGTTCGATTCCGGAGCGACCTAATATTTCCAGAGCGCCAGAACCGTCGACATTCCGGCTTGTCCCTGAGCCTGTTGCTCTGGCAGACAACCGGAGAGATCAATGTTCCAATACCCGAGAACCAGAATACCGAACAACAACTTCCCCGTCTTCGAAGCGATCCCGCTCGCCTGTCAAATCCGCTAGCAAAGCAAGGCGGAGACCAAGTTTGTCTAAAGACCGTTCCGTACCCCAAACATCGAAAAAGGCTCGCCGCACTGCCGTGACAGAAACCGGTTCCATAATTAGCCCTACTATGATGACGTGGGTGATCAGCGCTGGAGTCGTTGTTTTGTTCTCAGCAATTAGCTTTTCTGCTGGTTACGTCTTGGGCCGGGAGGTGGGAAGAACGGAGGCAGGTCAAGGTCTCTATGTAAATGCAAACGGCTTATCAGGTGCAAGATCAGGTGCAGGATGTGGAAAAGATGCTGTCAAAGGTGGTCTAAGACAATTACGTTGGGTTGGTGGCGGCTCTGGATCTGGAATTGCTGCTTAGATCCGGCCGGGCTTTTTTCGATTTATATATCCCAAGTGTAGCGTCTTCAGTTTATGTTAATGATGGGTTGCTTTCTTGGAGTTGGGCGCTCTTGGGAGAGCGGATATTTGATGATCCTATTCGTTTTCGTGCTCTGCCACCTATTTATCATGCGTCTCCTTGTTATTCACTGTTTCCTTTTGATGGACACTTGTGCATAGCTAATCCCTACATTAGGGATGTTGCATATTCATACCTAATTTATTTATGGGATAAAACATTTACCCGGCGCTATTCAGCCCTAGCAACAACAGTTTAGGAGCATATGTGACATGCGTTAGGGAATAATACGTCAAGTCAGTGGACTATGGTGAATGTGAACCTAGTATGCCTGGGATTTCAATGGGCCTGACTGTTCGTTTCGCGCTTGAGCATAAACAAAAGGCCAAATTGAACTACCACGATTCAATGCCTCTCCGTGCAAGCTCACATTTTGAGTATACAGAACCAGAAAATGAAGACATCTTGGGTAAGAAATTTAATGTACAAAATATGGAAAAATAGGCTCAGCAATACAATAGTGGCAATTCCCTCTGGGGCGTCTTCTCCCATTTGATGGCGCTGCCGTGTCCTCTTTTTTCGTCTCCATTATCGTGGGAGATTGTACTATCTCCCTGTCCATTAATCCCTCTTAACGCGTCTTGTTGAAGACAGCCTTATGCTCCTTTGTTAAGCTGGCCAGAGCCATGATGGCAAACAAGCACGCCCCGGGACAATCGCTGATATGTTGGACATGACAGCGCATCGAACCACCCATGAGAATGCCGAGTTCAAGACAAACTAGAAAGCCCTGGAAGAATGGCTTTACAATCCCTTCAGGAAGTTAGCCTCCTTGATGGCCTTTCTTCGCGCAAGACGAGCGCTTTTGTTGATTGCCTCTCTCGCTTCAATGCCCGTAGCGGCCACGTCGTAATTTTTCTCAGCGTCAGCAGTGACCGCATCCGCAGGGATGATATCAACAGTCTGTTCGTGAAGAGGGATGACGCGGGGTTTAGAGGCGGCGAGGGCGGCCATTTTCTTTTCATGACGCTTTCGTTGTTTCTTGTTCAATGCTATATCATTTCAACAAGTGAGCAAAAATGCAACGTAACCCGGGAAGAAAGAAAAAAAAGAAAGAAAGGAGCCGTGTGGTTGGGGCTTCGGTTTTTTCTCCCCTTCTACTTACTGGAAACGTCCACACTCCCAGCACCGCTCTTCGCTTTCGCAGTCGGGTCATCTAGCAACTTCCATAGCCAATCCGGGTATTCGCTATCCTCCTTTGCAAGGATTTCGGGCTTGTTCTTGAAATAGTTTAATCCGATCAAACGCGTCCCGGCGGGAACACTACTGCTCGCTTTGGGTGACGCAGCGGTTGTCGTGACCGTAGCTTCATTGGCGTCTCCGGATGCTGAGTTCTCAGCTGCCGGTGCTTGCGTGGGGTTGGTGGGTGTGCTATACGTTCGTTGCTGGGTCGTTGAATTGAGGCGGGCGTTTCTGGAGGGTGGGAGGCTCGATGCGCCGCGAGAGAATGGAAGGCGGGAAAGAAGATGCGTTCGGCAGCGGGAGCAGAGCATTGTAAATATATTTGATGAGATTTGTAGGGAGAAAAAACGTTCAATTGGGAGAAATAGCGATAAATATCAGATCGAAGCTGGTCGAGATGAGCTAAACTTTTGATTCAAGGGAGTCTTCACGTGACGTGGTCCGCGCAACGAAAAAGTTCAAAGGCGGCGACAGGTTGATTGATACCCGTACTGTTGCAACGATATTCATTGTCATTATTTACAGATTGTAGATAAATAATACAGATTACTGGTCAAAGACTAGGAAAGGAGAAAAGGAACTCGCTTGTTCGAAGTGCAGAGTGTCTCTGGGTTTATCGACCAAGCATGTCCGAAAAATGCAGAACAGGAACTTGTTCGATAATGGCTTCACATCCATCGTCAATCGATAGAGTCGGAGGGGCCCTGCAATACAGGCCTTAGCGAGGAGGTTTAATATTCGACTGATAATCCATAAAGCTCGTTACATGATCGGTTGCTCCAGAATGGTGTCGTTGGCCACAACTACACATCAAATTTGGCGCCAGAACAACGCCGTCGTGCGTTGTTATGCTCAATGGCCCGTTCGCAGATGATGTTGTTGTTTCTCGCCTATTCGGGCAGATATAAACTGTTCTCTGAGACAGCGGGATGTCGATCAAGGCTTGCTGAGCTGGAGTTGAAAGTTCTGCAACTCGTTCACAGCTTGTATCGTCCAGTTCAATAGGGGGCCCTTGGGGGAAGGAACCTGGAAGCTCCATTGGCCTGATGGGGATTTGTTCGTCGTATAGAGGATTCGGGGAGCTTCTATATGTAGGTGGTGCAGGTCCCAGGGACGGCGAATTGTTGCTGAATCCTGGACTTGCGGACAAAGCCGCGGAATCCGGTGCGGTAGCACCTTTGTCATGGAGCTCTTTGATCTTGCTTTGGACATGTATATCTGCCCAAGTTATTAGCTTTCGAGCTGAACGCAAACTACTGAATCCCGCATTCCAGATCTTTGCCTACCTTGCGTTCCACCGCTTGAACTTCGGCTGTCGTTTGTCTGTGGCTTCGCGCTTTTGAGTAACTCAAGAGCGGGAGCCAGACAGCTGCTTCTGAACCCATTCAGTTTAGACACCGGAGTCGTGCCTCGCACTTGTCCAGCCAGCCGTTTCTTCCGCCGCTTAAAACAACACACCGCAAGTACAAGTACGATTATGATGACAGCAATTATCGGAACGATTATGGCGAAGAGGCTACCTGTAGCAAGGCCTGACCTCTCCGCTTGAGGTGTCTGAAGGGGTTCCGTAATTGATGTTTGAGCTGGGTTAGGGTTATTGAGTGTACTTGTCGTGAAACTGAGGCTATATGTTGGCGATGGAGAAATCCTCGCCGTCATGGAGGTCGTGGTTGTTTGCGACGTGATTGAAGGAGAGGATCCTGAAGCTACGAGAGCCATTTAGTCCTCTGCCTGGTCAAATTTCGTTCTGGTTTCATGGGACAGGTCCAAGACTTACAAGTAGTACTTGTTGTGTCCGAAGTCTCCTTGCTCGAAGTTATTTCTGCTGGAGTTGTTGAACTGGACGAGTCGACAGTCAGAGGATTGGGACATATCCCAGTGTCGCAAGGGTCCTCGTCGCAACATCCTGCAAAAGGCCCTTTGGCACATCTATACCAGGAATAACCCTTTGGGCAGTGCCCATTTGTTTGCCGGCGCAGACGTACAGACATCGCCGCTCAGCAAAATGGCCCTGTAACTCTGAGAGCCGAAGCTACACAGGAAACTCTGGCTGAGTTCTGTTTTGCCTATGGAAGGGGGTATGGAAAGCAGCCACAGCTCACAATACCTCAGGATTACAACAAAGAAAAATGCAGTGCAGCAATGGTGCCGTTGCAGGACATGGGCTGGTATCGTACTGAAGAGAAAGCCAACTGGGGATGAAAAGAAAACGTATAACTAATTGAAACCACAGAAGAAGTGAGCAATTGGCCTTCTAGCTGTGAAAGAAACGGCCGTGTGGTGGTTGTGCTGGGCTGGCGTGCCGTTGGCAATCAGAGCTGTGCTTGGGGCTTTTCCTGTGCAACATGCTATCTCCCTTTTCCCCCGACCACCGTCCGCAGCCATGGGGCCTGGATGAGGTCCGGAGGCCCCTCCTTGAGATGGCATTTTTTTATTACTTCTTTTCTGTCCCGTCTTCCTCAACCTGGGAGGCCTACCAAACGAGCCTCTAAGCGCGCACCTCGCGCCAATAGAACCCCAGCCAACAGATCACCCGCACAGTCTAGCATCAATGCAGTCTAACAAGGGCGGCTTGAAGCCATGCAACTTGGCAAAACGCCATCCTCTTGGCCAGCAAGCTGATTTGGCCCGTTCATCCCCATTATCAGACGACATGCTTTGGGAAGAGAAAGGGGGTTTGGTCTGTTGGAGCCCAGAATGGCGGACATATCTGGCTCTCACTCGTCGCTCGGCAGAATTCAGAATGCTGGCTGCGGAACTTCTACAGATTTTCTGAGCCGAATGGTAGATAAAATGAGGAGGTTGCTGCAGCCTGAGTTGGTGTGACACGCCGTTTTGCGCTCCTCTTTGTAGCTGAACGGTATACTGCCTTTGCTCGGGTTTCGGCATTATTGGCTATGCAAGTGCATCAAAACAGGAGTCAAGACCTCAAGGTCCATAGCAAACTACAGAGTCACACTCTGACTATGGACTGGTCCATTTCTAGATTTCAACTCGCGCGCTGGGCCGCAACAGCACCCACTGCCTGCAAACAGTAAGTATCAGGTAAACCAGGTACATGATCTGCTCTGTACTAGTTAACGATGGTCAATTCTTTAGTTAATGTGTGCTGCTATGATTATATCCTCTTAAGCTACATGGAGCTTGACATATTGTTAGAATATGGATGACACTGTCTCGATACTCCTGCACACCAGTAACAACATTCTAGATTATGATGGCAGCGGAGGTGTTTTGCTGCTAGGATTGACTTGAAAGGCTATTGAATCTATGACACTTCACCTCCATGTAGCAACATTGAACTGAATTGAGCTGGAAGATTATGTATTTGTTCTATTTTTGTCTTTTGGATGATAGCTTCCACCCTACAAAAATCGTATATCATGCGTAGCTGAAGGCCAGAGGGGCCGGCATTTTCCTACCCGACGCCAGTTCAGGAATCGTCGGTTTACTTATCTTGATAGCGCGATATCATCAATGCGCAGAATCAACTTCACAGTCTCAGCCGCCAGCTCGATAGCGCTTGTACTAACGAGCAACGGCTGCAGAACTCTCTCATCGGCAATGTTGTTTTTTACTCCTCCACTGCGAATACTCACGCCTGCATTCTTCTCTCCCATTGCATGACGATGGCGCAGATCCGTAACAACCTTTATGCTATTCAACCCGGCATTCTCGGCCAGAGTCACCGGAATAACTTCCATGGCATCGGCAAAGGCCTTCCAGCATATGGCTTCAGTACCGGACAATGCACGCGCTTGCTTAGCCAAAGAATGCGCAATTTCTATTTCAGGAGCGCCACCGCCGGCAATCAAGGCTCGCTTTTTGACCAGGCAACGAACCACACAGAGAGCATCGTGGAGCGAACGTTCGACCTCGTCCAAAACCAGATTGTTTGCACCACGAGCGATAATCGAAACAGTTTGGTTTGCGGTTGCAGATCGGATACCTGTAACCTTCACGTATCGCGAACCGGATGAGTTGACTTCTTCGACCAAGTCAGCGGTACCAAGCTTATCCTCGGTAAAAGAATCGATGTTGGCAATTGGTTTACAGCCGAGACTCTTGCAAATAAATTCAACTTCGTCACGTTCAATATCTTTGATTGCCAAGATTTTCACCCGCGACAGGAAGTTGAGAGAAAGGTCGTTGACGGCGTCGCGAAGGATTGACTTTTGAATCAATAGGACGTTGCATTTCGTCTTCGCAATTTTCCGCACCATATTCAGGAGGTATGTGCGTTCTTCCTTAAGGATCTTGTCCATTTGTCTGTAGTCGTTGACCACGATTTGATTTTCCATCTGCAGACTGTGTTAGTTTTGCCTAAGCCACTAATACATCTAGGAGCTTACATCTGGTTTAGGTGGGCTAAGTTGGAATTGAATCAAAGCAATACGCGCTTTTTCAATTCTTGTTGGGCCACCCGCATTCTTGAGAACCGGTTGATTCAGAATCAGACCGTCCACCATCTCACTATCCTCTATTGTGCCGCCGACTTTTTTGACAACCCGGATATTTCGGAGGTCAACATTTTCAGAGGTTTTTGGATCTATTATTTTGAGGACGGAGTCTACTGCCATTGGTCCAAGTAGGCTTGAGTATTGAGAAACAATCTTTGAAGAAAGCGAGGTAGATGCTGCTTGGAGGAGCGTCGCCCGGTCTGCGAGGGAGATAGGCTGTGACATATCGTGGAGAATCTGAACCGCAGCTGATGCAGCTCTCTGGAAGGACTCAGAAATGACAGTTGGATGGATGCCTAGTCAGATTATTAGATTAAGAACTGAGGATAGATTTCACAATTTGATTACCTTTCGACAGTAATCTTTCGGCAGCTCCCAGGAGGCTTCCGGCAATCACAACAACGGATGTAGTTCCATCACCAGCTTCAACGTCCTGGGCAGCACTCAAGTCTACCAGCATCTTCGCAGCGGGATGCATGACACTCATATCTTTCAACATTGTGTTGCCATCGTTTGTCTAGGCTCGCCGTCAGTAAAGCGTCGGCCAGCCTGCAGGGCCAAAGGTAACGCACGATTATGGTCTCGCCTTTCCCAGTTTGGATCTGCGTCCCAGTCAGCTTGTATCTGAAGATGGCTTCAGGGTCGTATTGATTACCATCTTGTCCATTCCTCGAGGCCCAAGTGACTTCCGAAATATTAGCCCCGCTTCTCAGAATCTACAAGCAAGTTTCCCATACCGTTCTTATGGCGTCCGCGACGGCTTCCAAAAAGATCAGCTATAAGGCCTGAGGGTGAATTATCCGAGAGACATACCTCTAGCAGCCATGATATTCGCGGTGCGGACAGCCATTGGCTTCTCCTTATCCTAGAAGCTATGAGAAACCCAGAAATAGCGTTGACACAGAATAAGATGGAACACACCTTGAATGCATTTGATGCAACATTTCCCTGGCTTCCCAAAGCAGCCGCCATTTTGAGTATCAACCGTCAACAAAAGACTTATGAGTGTGGATGGAGGGGATCGCGAGAACTGGCTGGATTTCGAGAACTTGCTGGTGCTCTGAATTTCGATTGTAGATGCTTGGCGCGCAAGGCCGCTAGTCGTGGAGCTCTGACGCTAGCAACCACCTCCAAAGCTGTTGTCAAGACAGCCCTGCTGAAGACAACTAACAACTCCCGTTTATCCCGACGACATCGAACTATTCTGAACCTCCGTCTACCAGATCATTTCCTCCGCTGCTACTGATTCATCTATCCCTGCCTGCATTTGAAATCTCTGAGCCTCGCCCTGTTCCCGGTTAATCAACATGCCCAGCGCGACGGGCCAGAATTGGGAGAAGTATCGAAAGACTTTTGCAGATGATGACGAGCCCGAGAAGAAGATAACGCCTTTGACTGATGAGTATGGCTTCGTTTGTCATTCTGTAGACTTATTTGGCTGACCGGTCTTAGGGACATTCAAGTCCTCAAGACGTATGGCGCGGCGCCATACGCCGCAGCTTTAAAGAAGCTCGAAAAGCAGATCAAGGACAAGCAAGCCAGCGTCAATGACAAAATTGGAGTGAAGGTATACATTACGGAATCTGTGTGCCTTTTTGCCTATATTAACGCTACGACAGGAATCCGACACCGGCCTTGCGCCACCGCACCTTTGGGACGTTGCAGCAGACAGACAACGAATGCAAGAAGAGCAACCTCTACAAGTCGCACGATGTACGAAGATCATTGCGGATGAGAAAGATCCAGACAAGAGCAAATATGTGATCAATGTGAAACAAATAGCGAAATTCGTCGTGAACATAGGAGAACGGGTGAGTCCAACGGACATCGAAGAGGGAATGCGTGTTGGGTAAGTATCATACTCGCCATGATTTTTTTGACGATTGTATTCTAAAGCTACGATTTCAGGGTCGACCGAAATAAGTACCAAATCCTCTTGCCTCTTCCTCCCAAGATCGACCCCAGTGTTACGATGATGACCGTTGAAGACAAGCCGGATGTTACCTATGGAGATATCGGAGGCTGCAAAGAACAAATAGAAAAACTCAGGGAAGTCGTTGAGATGCCGCTATTATCTCCGGAACGGTTCGTTGGATTGGGCATCGACCCGCCCAAAGGTGCACTATTATACGGCCCGCCTGGCACGGGGAAAACGCTATGCGCACGAGCGGTTGCCAACAGAACCGATGCTACATTTATCCGTGTTATTGGTAGTGAACTCGTTCAAAAATACGTCGGCGAAGGCGCTAGAATGGTTAGAGAACTTTTCGAGATGGCACGTACGAAGAAGGCCTGTATCATCTTCTTCGACGAAATCGACGCTGTGGGCGGCGCTCGATTTGATGATGGCGCTGGAGGAGACAATGAGGTGCAAAGAACCATGCTGGAGCTCATCACGCAACTAGACGGCTTTGATGCCAGAGGGAACATCAAAGTTATGTTCGCGACCAACAGACCATCTACGCTGGACCCTGCATTGATGAGACCGGGTCGTATCGACCGAAAGATCGAATTCTCCCTACCGGATCTCGAAGGTCGTGCTAATATTCTGCGTATCCATGCGAAGAGTATGTCGGTCGAGCGAGATATCAGATGGGAACTCATCTCCCGACTCTGCCCCAACTCCACCGGAGCAGAACTGAGGAGCGTTGCGACCGAAGCCGGAATGTTCGCCATCAGAGCGCGCAGAAAAGTGGCTACGGAGAAAGACTTCCTGGCTGCGGTGGACAAGGTGATCAAGGGTAATCTCAAGTTCAACTCCACCGCCACGTACATGCAGTATAATTAGACCATGACCTTGCTTTCTGGCGATGCTTCATTCTAGATTGGGCGCAGTTGGCTGGAGCTGGAATTTGTATGTATGTACAATGAGACTATGGATCCTCGGTTTCCGATAATTCAATGATCCAAGAGGCCGCTGTCTTCTATGAGTATTCTGTATATTACCCGATTCAGCCTCCCGCCGAGGGCGGTCACGTGTGATCGCGGGCTCTTCCGAAGAGCTGACCTAAGAGCGGCCGCTGATTGGCTGTTCGGGGCCTCGCAACCTCGGAAGAGCTAGTGGGTGCTTAGGTAAGACGTCTTTTCCCGTCCGACGCCAAACCTCCAAGACAGCATCCTGTCGACGAAAGGTCGAGTCGAAGCAGATCTGAAGTTTTGTCCCACGGCCTGGGCAATTGCTGTATAGTTCTGACTTTTGCATTTACTTCTGTGTGGATTCCAGGTCACCATGAGCTTCAACGGCCTGCGGAGCCTTGCTCCGGCTGCAAGAGTATGCTGTCTCGCTTCTTGCTTCGCTTCTGGGGACAGTTTCATCTGACATTCTGATTGCAGTTCACCAGAGCCTTAAGGGATCAGAGGAGACTTTTCTCGTCCAGTCGTCCCGCAGGTAAGAAGATACTTGGATAGTCATTGCTTTGGGGGACAATTGGTTGACAGCAGCATCCACCAGCTCGTGTCATTGCCAGCCAACCTCTCCGTGCGAAAGAAGCCTCTCCGTTTCTCACGACGAAATACCCAGTGATCGTATGTGGCTATCCCGAATGGCTCTGTCATTCGATAATGTGCTAATTGGGATTGAAAAATATAGGATCATGAATACGATGCTGTCGTCGTTGGTGCCGGAGGTGCCGGTTTGCGCGCGGCTTTCGGCCTGGCGGAAGCTGGATTCAACACTGCTTGTGTCACAAAACTCTTTCCCACCAGAAGTCATACGGTCGCCGCTCAAGGTGGTATTAACGCCGCTCTTGGAAAGTATGTTTTATGTAGGCATAATGAGAAACCTGGAGAGACTAATCGGTCGACCGTATGCACAAAGACCACTGGAGATGGCATATGTACGACACCGTGAAGGGAACCGATTGGCTTGGTGATCAGGATGCTATTCATTACATGACTAGAGAAGCCCCCCCAAAGTGTTATCGAGCTCGAAGGTTACGGTTGTCCTTTCTCCAGAACCGAAGACGGCAAAATCTATCAGCGAGCTTTTGGTGGTCAGTCCAAGGAATTTGGCAAAGGAGGTCAAGCATACAGATGCTGCGCTGCTGCCGACAGAACCGGTCACGCTCTTCTCCACACATTGTATGGTCAATCCCTCCGATACAACGCCAACTATTTCATTGAGTATTTCGCCATGGATCTTTTGATGGAGAATGGAGAATGCAAGGGCATCATCGCCTATAATCAAGAAGACGGAACGCTCCACCGCTTCAGGGCGCACCACACGGTTTTGGCCACCGGTGGTTATGGACGTGCCTATTTCAGCTGTACCTCCGCTCACACCTGCACAGGCGACGGTATGGCTATGGTTGCTCGTGCTGGCTTGCCAAACCAAGATCTTGAATTCGTTCAATTCCACCCTACCGGTATCTACGGTGCTGGCTGTCTCATCACCGAAGGTTCCCGTGGTGAGGGTGGTTACCTCCTTAACTCCGAGGGAGAACGCTTCATGGAACGATATGCGCCTACCGCTAAGGATCTTGCCAGTCGAGACGTCGTCTCTCGATCCATGACGCTTGAGATCCGTAACGGACGTGGTGTAGGTCCCGAGAAAGATCACATCTATCTCCAACTCAGCCATCTCCCTGCCGAAATCCTGCATGAGCGCCTTCCTGGTATCTCCGAGACCGCTTCCATCTTCGCTGGCGTCGATGTTACCAAACAGCCAATTCCAGTTCTGCCTACCGTTCACTACAACATGGGCGGAATACCCACCCGCTACACCGGTGAGGTTATCACCATTGATGACAAGGGCAATGACAAGATTGTGCCTGGCCTTTATGCTTGTGGAGAGGCCGCTTGTGTCTCTGTCCACGGTGCTAACCGACTCGGTGCCAATTCTCTCCTTGATCTTATCGTGTTCGGACGCGCTGTCTCTCACACGATCCGCGACAAGGCTACCCCGAACACTCCCCATAAGGAAATCAGCGCTGATGCAGGCGCTGATTCCATCCGTGTCCTCGACGAAGTCAGAACTGCCGAGGGGCCAAAGTCCACCTTCGACATCAGAAATGCTATGCAGAAAACTATGCAGTCTGATGTTAGCGTTTTCCGTACTCAGCAAAGTTTGGACGAAGGTGTGCAGAAAATCACTGAGGTTGACCAAATGTTCAGCCAAGTTGGAACCAAGGATCGCAGTATGATCTGGAACTCCGACCTTGTGGAGACTCTTGAATTGAGAAACTTGTTGACTTGCGCGTAAGTACTCATTCGGCACCTGCCCCTAACCGGAGTTTTCGTGCTAACGGGTTTTCAGCACTCAAACCGCTGTCGCCGCTGCTAATCGTAAGGAATCCCGCGGTGCTCACGCCCGAGAGGATTACCCCGATCGTGATGACGAGAACTGGATGAAGCATACTCTTACATTCCAGAAAGAGCCGCATGGAAAGGTCGACCTTACCTATCGCGCTGTAACACATACTACATTGGACGAGAACGAGTGCAAACCCGTACCACCGTTCAAGCGCACATATTAGACGGTTTCGGTTTCTCTTTTCTTCGCTTAAAAGCCTCTGTTGAGCCGGAGTTCTGTCCATTCTTTAGCCGAAGGATATGTATAGGATGACAGATTTTCTTGATTGGACTGTATATAACCTCGATGCATTTTTCAGACAGGAGTGTCTTTGAGTTTCTTATTTAATGTACTTTTGATGTTCTGGAATGACACGGCAATGTTGGATTTCCCCTTTCAAAGTGAATTAGTTACCACTCGCTATCTTGTTGGAACAACGAGCGCCCATCATACTTGGAATGCCTGTAGGGATGGAAAGCCATGGCATTGCTCTGGGTCTTGGTGTAAGGGACCAAGCGACCCTTGCTAACCAGCCTCTTATGATATAAAATTCGAGTATGTTAGATCCCTGATAAAATATTCCGAGACACGCCCAGCTCTCGTCTGATAACGGAGCTCCACGCCAAGCCTCCTAACTAGCTCTGGGTCTCACGACACCGACGGCAGCCCAGCTTGCCCCGTTCATCTTGACGATATCTGAATGATCTATAGCTTCAATGGAGGAAATAAACATTATGTGAAATATCAATTGTATCTGAGTTGATTTATCTATCTGAAATACCCCCAACGGCTCACGAAAGGGGAAGAGTCGAGGCGCAGAACTCCCTACCACCCCGGTCCTCGTCCACCCAGACAGCTTGAACCCGGCAACAATGGGTGCCGAAAAACGAATCAATGACGAGGAAGCACAGCCTCTCACCGGTCGAGATCGGTCAAGAGACTCCATCGATTCCACGTCGACAGCCTCCATTTCCCTAGCTCTCATCGACCAAGCAAACCGTTCGACGCACGCGGGTCGAACCACTCCACCTCGAAACTTTGGCAACGGGGAGAAATACCGTGACAATGATGACGATAATCCGGAGGGAGGACTTCCACCTCCATCTGGCGCACAGCGGACGCCGAAGAAAGTGAGCATCATATTCTGGCTCGTGGCGGCACTCTGCGTTGGCGGATGGCTGGTTGCGTTTTTCGTTTTTATGGGGAGTCCTAAAAAGGATTCCGACAAGGAAGTGGTTGTCTCGGGGGCAGAGAACAGTACTGTCCCGGGAGTCGTATCGACTGGAGGGAAGAAAGTTGACTTGGATGGAGTGCTAACTGGCTTTTGGAGCCCAAGAAGCCACGAAATATCGTGGATTCCCGGCCCGGACGGTGAAGACGGCTTGCTCCTGGAGCAAGACGGTGATGAGAATGCGGGATATCTGCGGGTAGAGAATATCAGGAATCAAAAATCTACGAATAAAAAAGATGATGCCGTCGTTTTGATGAAAAGAGAAACCTTCAAAGTTGGAGCGAGGCGCGTACGTCCAAGCAAGGTCTGGCCGAGTCCGGACCTGAAAACGGTGCTTGTCATGTCTGATCGGCTGAAGAATTGGCGACATTCGTATACCGGGAATTACTGGCTTTTCAATGTTGAGACGCAAACTGGGGAGCCTCTTGACCCTGGATCTCCCGACGGGAGAATACAATTGGCATCTTGGTCGCCCAAATCTGATTCCGTGGTTTTCACAAGGGATAACAATATGTTTATTCGAAATCTATCGTCGAAAGATGTAAAACCGATCACTACTGATGGAGGCGTTAATCTTTTCTACGGTATTCCCGATTGGGTATATGAAGAAGAAGTGTTCTCCGGAAATAGTGCTACGTGGTGGGACAATGACGGCAAATTTGTTGCATTCCTTCGAACAAACGAATCGAGGGTTCCCGAATATCCAGTTCAATATTTCATTCCTACTGTTGGAAGAGTCGCCCATGCGGGCGAGGAGCATTACCCCAACACGCGAAAAATCAAATACCCCAAGGCAGGAGCTCCAAATCCAACCGTAAACATTCAATTCTTCGATGTTGAGAAAGGGGAAGTCTTCTCGATTGAAATGGAGGATGATCTTCCGGACCATGATCGTCTCATTATTGAAGTCATTTGGGCCTCCAATGGAAAGGTTTTGGTTCGAGAAACTAACCGTGAAAGTGATCGACTCAGCATGGTGCTCGTTGATGCAAAAGACCGAACAGCCAAGGTAATTAGATCGCAAGATTTCTCTAAGTTGGATGGGGGATGGATTGAACCGTCCCAGTCTACATACTTTATACCCGCAGATCCTGGCAACGGACGACCGCACGATGGATACATCGAAACCGTTCCTTTCGAAGGCTTTAATCATTTAGCTTATTTTACGCCGCTGGACAATCCTAGCCCGGTTTTCCTCACGTCAGGTAACTGGGAAGTGACAGACGCACCATCGGCTGTGGACTTGAAACGCGGTCTCGTCTATTTCGTTGCGGCAAAAGAGCAACCTACTGAACGGCACGTATACACCGTGAGGCTCGATGGTTCGGACTTGCAACCGATAGTAAACACTAAAGCTCCAGCATATTACACCATTTCCCTATCCACAGGTGCGGGTTATGCGCTGTTGAAGTACGAAGGCCCGGAAATTCCCTGGCAAAAGGTTATTAGCACCCCTGCGAACGAAGAAAGGTTTGAAGAGACGATAGAAAATAATACAGAGCTGGCAGGAAGGGCCAAGGACTACGCACTTCCATCACTCTATTATCAAACGATAACCATTGATGGCTATACATTGCCAGTGGTTGAAAGACGGCCGCCAAATTTTAATCCAGACAAGAAATACCCTGTTCTATTCCATCTCTATGGAGGACCAGGGTCGCAGACAGTCAGCAAAAGATTCAAGGTCGATTTTCAATCATACGTTGCTTCCAACCTTGGGTATATTGTAGTGACAGTGGATGGTCGAGGTACCGGTTTCATCGGCCGGAAAGCCCGGTGCGTAGTACGTGACAATCTGGGCCATTATGAAGCCATAGACCAAATCGAAACCGCCAAAGCTTGGGGGAAGAGGCCGTATGTTGACGCGACTCGCATGGCAATTTGGGGATGGAGTTATGGAGGCTTCATGACGCTCAAAACACTCGAACGGGATGCTGGACAGACCTTTCAGTACGGCATGGCAGTGGCTCCGGTAACTGACTGGCAATTCTATGGTGAGTCTGGCTACATCAAGTTTGACTAGAGCTTGCTAATTTGATTGTTCTAAAGACTCCATCTACACTGAGCGCTACATGCACACCCCACAGAACAATCCCGCAGGCTATGCCAACACCGCGGTCTCGAATGTCACTGCCCTCGGCCAAACCGTCCGCTTCATGGTTATCCATGGCACAGGGGACGATAACGTGCATTATCAAAACACTCTCACTCTGCTAGATAAGCTTGATGTCGACAATGTGGGGAATTTTGATGTCCATGTTTATCCAGATTCAGACCATGGGATTTATTTTCATAATGCATATAAGATGCTGCATGAACGTAAGTCCAATTGTCCCACGTTCGCTCTTTTTCCCTTCCCCTTTTTGGCTGATGATCGACTTTAGGGCTGTCTGACTGGCTTGTCAATGCATTTAACGGAGAGTGGGTGAAGATACGCAATCCTGTTCCTAATAAGTCCCTTATGCGACGCGCGCGTAGTTTGTTAAAGCGAATGAGCAATGCCTAGAAGGGGTTTGGTTTATTGGCGTTTGGGGCTTTGGTTATATACAGCGGCCGTGATTTCGGGAGTCTAAAGATTTGATATATATATTTTCGGTAGGTATCAGGACTTGAAGGGAGCGCTTTTGAGGTTTGTTTGGCGCACTGGCAGTTAGCGTCTTATAGTAATGACATTTTCCCGACGATGGGCCAATTCTCGGCCATCACTTCGAAACAATGTGCGGGCATTTTGGCTGCAAGACGAAGTTATTTTTAGCTTGCACGGAAATCATGAAACATCGATGAGACAGACGGCAAATTAATGAGTGATGCTAACAGCCTGGTTGAACGAGGTAAACACTCGCATCCGAATCTATGTCATCGAACGACATCAATCAACCCAGATCCCCTGGAAAGTGCAGTCTGTTTTGAGAGATCTTTGCCCTTGTTGAAGCCCATCGGGTTCAGGCAATATCAGACGACCGAGACAAACGCCCCCATCTTGGCGTCTGCTTGACCAATTCACCCCGCCAGAGGCCAGAGTGTCTCGAGAAGCAATTCCCAAAGGCTGGCTGAAAGCTGCGAAAGAATAAAAGAGAGCAGCTTCGGGCAGAAGCATCGCTGAACGACATCAAAACCGCTCTCTCTATTTTGACTCTCTCCCCTAATCCAGAGTTCAAACCACCCGCCTCTCGAACCATGGCTCCCAAGGACAAAAAGGACAAAAACAACAAAACAGCCGAAGCGACATCCTTGCTCCCCAGCCGAATCGACTCGTTCAAGCCCTCGGTGCAAAAACACCTGAAGAAGATCTACGAATCTCTGCATCAGCCAACCGCAAATTCCAGTCCCGAGGAGTCGTCCACCCACTTTTTACATGTCGTCCAGCGAGATGATGGCTCCGATCTGCAAACCAGTCCTCCCATACTGTGCAGTTTGGAGTCCTTCACTGAATACATGTCAACTGCAATGGCGATGCCACCGGGGCCGAGAGACGATGATTTATCCCTGCCAATGACCGATTACTTCATAAGTTCCAGTCACAATACTTATCTGACTGGGAATCAATTATATAGCAACGCCAGTACCGAGGTTTATAGAGATGTATGTATTTTGATTTCTCCTGCTTTGCCAGTTTGACGTCTGCCTGCTTTGCGTGATATGTCGCCTAGTTTTCCATGCGTTCTATACCTTTGATCGTCTCGCGGGGTGCTGAAAGCACTGCCTGTGAGCGCATATATCCCCTCGATTCAAGGAACCAACCAAACGCTGTTCTTTTACGTTGGCTGCCCTCCCCCTCTTCCGCTGTCAAAATGCATCAAATCGTTCCCTGCAGCGTCCTGTATCATATGACATGCAGTAGCTTACCTAGTTGGCTATGGCGAACGGAGGCTTGATCGGCACCGTTTCTCTGACTTTCTCAATCTGCTGTTCATCTGCACCACCCAAGCGAAAAGTTGATACATCACATTTTCAATCCAGCTCGGAGCAGAGCCGGATTTACATCGCCCTTGCCGCTAGTCCCCCAACAGTTAACTGTCGTAAAGTCTCTTTGCTTTTTCTCATGTGCCAATTCCCGGTCTTCGAACATTCTGTGTATTATCCCTCGGTAAATGCTGTTTATCTTCGCAACGGCTTTTCAGATCAGCCGTCGCCATACCGATTGGTAACCCAGCGAACCCACCTCACCGCTCAATATAAAATCGAACGCGCCAGGACCCCAAAGCTAACTTCTGACAGGTGCTCTTGAAAGGATGCAGGTGCCTCGAAATCGATGTGTGGGATGGCGAACTTTCATCTGCTAGCTCTTCCGACTCTGAGAATGATGAGTCGAAAAAGAAGAAAAAAAAAGAGAAAAAAGAGCAAAAGGACAAGGGTCTATCCAGGACGGATAGTAAAAGGGCGTTCAACCTCTCTTCACTCTCGGATCGCCTCGACCGATTGAAGAAAGATCCAGTTGAGGATGCAACGGGAGCAGTGGCAATGCCAACGGCGGCTGTGGCTGCAGCTGTCCCGCTCCGCCCCGAACCCCGGGTTCTGCATGGATATACTCTGACGAAAGAAATCACTTTTCGAGACGTGTGTTATGCCATCCGAGACACTGCGTTTGTCACAAGTGATCTACCGGTCATTGTGAGCCTTGAAGTCCATGCTAGCCTTGATCAGCAAGAAACGATGGTGGAGATCATGACTGAAGCCTGGAAAGGCATGCTTGTTGATTTCACTCCAGAGTTAGCGGCGGAGTTGGAAAGGGGCGATTTTAGGCATTTGCCCAGCCCAGATTCTCTCAGGAATAAGATCCTGATTAAGGTGAAGTGGGCCCCTAACCATTCCAAGGTAGAGAATAATGTAGCTTCTGTTGAGGTTTCTGAAGGTGCTGTTGGTCCTGTAAAAGGTCAAACTGCCTCAGCGAACGACAAGGCCCTGGCTGCTCAAGCAGCGAAAAAGAAGCCCGTAAAGATCTTGCATGCCCTTAGCCGCCTTGGAGTGTATACACGCGGTTACACCTTCAATGAGCTGAAGCAACCCGGTGAGCAAGTCCATGGAATGCATCATTTGGGCGCTGCGAGTGTCGATGGAAATGCTGACTTTGGAATGAATACACAGAGGCAGCTATCCCAACCCACATATTCTCGCTTTCAGAAGCAGCGGTGAGAGATGCCCATGAAAGCCAGCGTCAGGCTCTTTTCAATCACAATAAAAACTTCATGATGCGCGCATATCCATCAGGAATGCGAGTCAACTCCTCCAATCTAGATCCTTCATTCTACTGGCGCCAAGGCATTCAAATCGTGGCATTGAACTGGCAGAATTGCGATAAAGGGATGATGCTCAACAAAGGGATGTTCGCTCGCTCGAAGGGGTGGGTGCTGAAACCAGAAGAATATCGAGGAGATGCATGGGCTGAGAGGCAGAATGCCGCCAAGAGCGGCTCAGGCCCGAGCCGTCGCCATACTCTGCACCTATCAGTTCAGATCTATGCAGGGCAGAATATCCCACTCCCGAAGGGAGATGAACATGATAGAAGTTTCCGTCCATACGTATCCTGCCAACTGCACGTTGAACGACCTAAAGACAGCGTTCATTCGAAAGGGGACGGCGATGACAGCGGGAGTGCAAAGTATAAACGTCGCACCACAACCTGCAGCAGCGCTGATCCCGATTTTGGTGGCCAAACGTTGCAGTTTCCAAGTGCTCCGGGTGTGATCGAACAGTTGAGCTTTTTAAGGTCAGTGCGTAATAATGCGTCCCGAAGTCAACTCTCGTTCGCTGCATTGTAGTCCAAGATTTCCTTTGGCCCTCATCATATTTTATTTTGCCCTTTTCAGTTTTGTTTCTATCTGTTTCTCTGTTTCTCTGTTTCGGCAAAGGAACATACCCGTTCGGAAAACCCTCGGAGCGACCTGGACTAGTGCCACGTCAATTGCCATTTTTGCTAGGCTGCTGGAAGCGTTTCTGGGTGAAAAGTGGGCTGCGATTTCGCGCATAGCAGCGCCACGCATTATTCGCATTTCACCAAGAAGATGCCTTCTTTCTTTCCTCCCCTCGTTTTTCTCCTGACTGATCTATTTGAGAATACTTCCCGCAACATGACATTCATTGAAATACGTGCTAATTTTGCAGCAGATTCAAAGTCAAAGACGACGAATTTGGTAGAGACGATCTAGCTGCCTGGGCGTGCCTTGGGCTGGATAACTTGCGTCAAGGTTTCCGGTTCATCCGGCTGTTCAACACGAAAGGTTCGCCGACATCAGGAGTTCTCCTAGTGAAGATCTTAAAACAGGTTACTTGAATCCGTTGGTGCCTAGCGGCGAGGATAACGCCGCGTCGCCTCGCTTATCCTGACGAATAACCCCGAATACGGTCATTCCATTTGTCACAATATCCGCCCGCGGTTTTCCTCAGTCTTACCCATTCCCAGGTATCCGAACGGCATATCACTTGGATAACGATCTGTTGTGCAGGGACAATCCTGCAGTCGCTGAGGCCGGGGTTCTATAGTTACTCATTCGAACCATGCATGAACTTTCTCCATTATTGGCTTCCTGATATAATTAGTATCGTTGTTCATGTTTCCTAGTCGTAATCTGATGGGGCAACTTGGTGGGCTGCATCGACGGTAGCAAGATTTAGCCTCGATCTGGCTAGGTTATCCTGTAGGATGGATCGAGAGAACGTGGAGACTATCTTTCGTATACGTGCATATTAAAAAACGGATGCACATACATATATCGATCATCGGCATGTGGTTCGTCGTTCGACAGGGCTTATAACGCTAAAGGTGAATGAGCGCGGCCCTACCAAGTCGATGCCTCGGGAATTTTTTTTATGGCGCTAGGAGGATGTTTGAATGGACTCGGCCCAGACATCTCATTTGCTGGTCAACGGGGCCTGCTTCGTATAAGCGACCGATGTCGTTACTCCATCATCAAAGCATTGAGACCTGGCCATGTACTCCGTATAGAGCAGTCCGTAACTACTCCGGATTCCATACGATATCGGTATCGTCGAACCAGTTAAACATCGTTTTGATGGGCGGTCACATTTCCCTCTCTGCTTCCTTTCTCTGGAACTTCGGTCCCGGGCTCGTCCATTGGAGTACACGTCAAGAGAATCGAACGCAATAGGGCACCACTAATCTGCCTAAAAATGCCAGGACTTGATCTGTCACATTTGTGGATCACATATTTTTAGCTTCATCTGCAAGAACTCCATCTTCAGAGGATTGACAACTGACTAAGCCATATTAAGTAATTCGAATTTATTTGCTCCATGCAGTCTCCTCTTCGTTCCTCAGCTCAACAGTCCTGTTTGAGTGCAGGTAAGAACAGCTGACTATAGAGGTGCATAGTGAAACAGCCACTCTGGACACTGATATGTTATATTTTCCTAAATGAAGGAGCACCATTAACATGCATTCATGGAATCATTTTGCTGACAGGGGGTTGGCAGCATTGACATCATCGAGAGGATTCCTTTTTTTAGTCTGAGGAAGACTGAGGACATCATCTCGCATCGGCGGTTGGGATTGTCTGAAATATAGCCGATTTGAACCAAGTCAGGCCATAACTGCCTCCCCAGAGTCAATAATGATCTTGCTTCTCCTCTTCTGCGCTGAGTGTTGGCCAATTAAAGTTATTTGCGATTCCTGACGTCCAAGTGCGGAGATTTCCAAAGTTGAAATTTCTTCTGACTCTGGCTCGGGCGGGTTCCACTCCCCCGATCTGGTTCGCAATTTGAAAAGGAATACTTCGACTTCGACCAACAAGGGCATGACACCTATAGTAAGTTTCTCATCTCCTGCTGGTCTGAGATAGAGTTTCTTCATCGCCTCTTTCCAGTGTTACTTTCAATCAGTCCTTCCTAAAAAATTGTAGCCTCGTGCTAAACTAGCAGCTTCTGACATCACCGGTAATGCGGAGCGCAGAACGATCGAATCATTTCTAAAACCGGAGGGGTATCCTTTCGATGAAAGTTTAGCTGCAAGTAGAACATACCGGAAGAGCCTGCCAATCTTCCCAAACGCGATAACCGTCATGCAAATGGAGACTCAAAGAACCAATGCAATTGAATTTGGAAAACAAAAGCTTCCATGGAAAAGAACCCATTGAAGCCCAGTCAGGTATTTTTTGACGTGGATCCTTTGAGAGTTGATGGCCGTCGATCCAGAGGATCGTTTTGGAATGGTGCTGCGACCTGCAAGTTCGTAAGGGACCGTAAATACATCTTTCTTGCATTTCAACAAGCCAACTGCTAGATGAGAATGGTGCCTCTGTGGGATCGAAAGAGCCCCTACTTGCTTTTTTCGGATGGTAGAATCGTGAAGGAAAATCCCGCTTGGCCCACTTACTAGCACAAGATCATTTATAAGGAGCCACCTTCCCCGGTGCAGGAATGATCCAAGATATAGGTTGTTTGCAAAGCTAGAAAGATCCAGCATCTTGATAACGCCTACCGCATTGAACATCCCGTCGCCGGACAACGCTAACTGAAGTCACCAAAGATCATAATGGCCGTTTCTGAGTCATCGACGTCAGTGCTTACCGACAGTGCACATGGAGAAGCCTCGAGAGTCGGCATCAACCATATGTCTCCGGTAAGGCGTCACCCAACGACAGTGATTGCCTGACGGCTAATCCCAGTTTCACTAGATGCCAGGCGTCCGTTGCCCAAAATGTGAAGAGGCCGGTAAGGAGGTCTGGGTGATCCCTGGGAAGAAGTGCCACGTGTGCGGTGCGCTGTGCTGATTCGGTGTGACATCCGTCCACAATTCTGTTGACAAAGGAGAGGCTGACTAGGCTCTAAAGACGGCAGCGTGACGAAACCCTATCAGAAACAGTGTCACGACGGAACGGAACCCAACCAGGTGGGCTCAGAGCAAGGCGGTGTACAGGCGTCATTTTTAAATTTTTCGGATACTCATCACTCAAACTCGTGGTTAGGGGCACGGTGGAGAAAGGGGTACAGGAAGGAGAATTGCCGGCGATGTAAACTCATAAGAGTAGAATAAAGGAAGGCAAACGGGCTCCCTTCTCATAACAAATTTTGCAATGCACAACATTCATCGGGTTCCTTCCCTTCCATGGATTCATCCGCACAATAAGCTTTAGGAATAGCGGTTCGGATATGGCATGTTATATTATCGACTAAAGTGACATTTGCTGGACTTCAGAATATAAGCTGTGTCGTAACATCCTGTCCGAGTGAAATGGATATGGGTATAATCCACAGGTATGCCCAACGCTGGGTATTTAGGATAGAATTGCATAACGATATGGCATCTTCCCGTACGGGGTGGCCCCCCCAAGCCAAGGGTTATCACAAGAAGGACTGAGATGTCCTGATCCATATCATCCCTGGGTTCGCACTGTACGAAATAGAAGGTTCTCGAGGAAATCACTCTCCTGATGCCACGTTCTGCATATGCTGGCAATAACGGTGATTACGCCATTTGTGATGCCATGCATCCAATCAGCGAAGAATTTTCAGCTCTCGTTATGCAAAGGTTCACATCAAGAAAGCCGTGAGCGCGTTCTCCTTAAAGATTTTGGGCGTCTCGAGCCGAGAGCAAACGCTAGTCTCTCCAGGCCATACTCAGATCGCTGATTTGACCATGGTAGTTCGGGCTCAGATTTAAAAGCTAATATTTTGCTGATAGACAGAAGTCCCTAAAGCCGGCAAAGTCGCATCCGTCGAAGAAGGCCTGGAAATCGAAATCTCGCACTTCAAAGGCGTTGGCACAAAATCAAGTTCAAAGAGCGGAAGAAACGCTTCAGACTAGATATTGGAAGCGGGATGCCAGGCGTTAGAGAGTGCTGAGACGAAGAGAGCTTGGTAGGACGTCCTGGTAGATGAATAGACATCAAAATAAAGTTGTAACTATAGTGCCTGCTGAGTCAGCAGTTTAAGGTCCGGTCCGTCGCAACTAACTCCCCGCGGTGGGCGAAAACGCCATAACATGATTAACATCTCAACCCCGGCCTAAGAGCAATGATGAAGAAAGAGTCGGAGAACCAAAGCAAAGCAAAAATGACTATGCAGCTCAATAGGCTATTTCCAGAAACAAAACTTCCCAGATATATAGCGATTCTGAGCCACAGGGCCCACCATCATTGCGAGCTCAACTCACAACAGATGAGATGGTCATGTTACGCAATCTCTTAGAAAGGTCGATTGACCGATCATAATAGTAAACCATCTGTTAAATCAAGTGCCTCGCAATTGGCATTCCTATTGAGATTGTCCGCCGGAATTAGCTCCCAGATACTGTTCGCGTTTTATCTAAAAGTATACGCCACAGTAAGGCGCGCGGGAGTTGGCGTTATCAACGGCGGTGCATACGAAGTGCTTAGGCTCTTGTGCATAATTTTCCCTGGCCTCTGGTAAGTAACTACATCATAGCAGCGAATGTAACTGGGCCAAGAACGGGTATTCCAAAAAGATTAGAGTTGATGCTTTGGACAATTCAATAGCCCTTTTAGGTCTTCTCACAAGACTCTCGCTGCTATTTCGATAAGGTCAGATGTTGAGAGATTCTATCCGCCTTCGGACGGCGGCGAAAATGGTATTGACAGAGAATTTAGGGCGCTTACTTTAGTGAGGAGAAATCTGCGCCGATTAGAAGACGTCATAATTTCCCTTCACACACCCCTGGAGCTCGAAATCGCGCCATTCAGTGTATTTTGGCTCAAGCATGGTTTGTTCAAAGAAAAGCATAGTAGTCGCCAAGAAGCTAATCCCGTTTTCAAAAGTCCGACTCTTCGAATACATGGAACAAGCTCGCTTTCCATTCTTTGAACTGCCTTGCCGATTTGGGGAGTAACACGTTTCTTTTGGTTAGCACACATTCTACTTCCTCATAGATATGTCCTGGAAGTGGGAGCTCTTCCAACGATACCGAAGAAGGGGTGCCCTTCTTTGGATTCAGCAACGCTTGTATGTTGGGAATGAACTGATAAAACAGTTTCATTGCGCGCTGAGCTGTTATGGCCAACCAGTCATCTTTGCCGTCACCAACCCCAGTGTGAAGGTCAGTGGAAAAATTAGTTTCGGAACATGAATACCGAAAGTAAGGGTTAAATATCCAAACCTATCGAGTTCGCAATCAGCGACTGTATTCGCTAGAACTGCAGCTTAGAATAGGGAACCAACTTACGAGGATACCGCTGCTCGTGGCATTATCATCATCGCGGTGAAGGATATATCGCCTTGCGCCTGTTCTTTCAATCTGCTCAAGAAGCTGCGCGGAAATTATCATGTCCACCGGGTATGTCTCCCATTGGATGGTAAGGTCGTCCGTCGCAGCGTCGCATGGCCGCCGCAGTACAGATAAGTCTGATTTGAAAAGCACTATGCCGTCTAGCAAGGGTTGCATTTCACCAACAACCCTCTGACACTTTAGACATCGTACAGTCCGGGGATGTCGTTCTGATTGCTTTGGGCCATTTTCTGACATATTTATCAGGCCACCCTATAAAAGGCCGTTAGCATGTAGAACTTCATAGCTCAGTTTTACTGAATAGTTGCTATTGCAACTCTATTTGGAATCAACCCAGCAATGGGCGCATCAACTCTAACAAGGACTGGCGGCGATCTGCCTACTACAACGCCCTGGTCCGGTTTAAATTTCAATCATAAAATACACACAAAACTCACCACAGATTAGAGTAAATGAACTGAATGCAATGTAGATCCATCTAGTGCTCACTGAAAATTCATGTACCTCAGTCTTTATCCCACGGACCCCAGAGCTTCGGGATTTTTCTCGTCCGAGATGAAATACGACTGGGCCGTTGACGTGCTCTACCGCTTCCTCCTTGTCACACAACACCCAAGAAAATACGCAACAAAGGGAGACGTGGGTATACAGCACGGATGAAGGGGGAATCCATACATCGAAAAGCTAAGCGATGAGGATAACACTCGCCTCCACTCCCTGCACCCGCAGTCTCCGCCCCACTGGTACCTTCCCAAGCAAAAAATGTGACGAGGAGGAATGTGCTAGTAAGAAGCTTCGCCATGAAGATTACTTAATCTTGGGCAGCTGTATCGGAAACTAAACCATGGAAAAACGGCCTCACATAGTTGTGGAACCGATTAGGCCTCCTTCTTTCTGCCCGAGCAGTATCTCAAAACTGCATCACAAGGAAATTTAAACTCCCCGAAAGACGGGACTCAAGCAAGCCGTGTTTGAAAAGGGAAAAGAATGAAGAAAGGAAACATTAGCGTACCGTTGGCTCTACTCCAACGCAGTTAGTCTCGGTCAAATAGAAATTCATCGCGTCCACGAGCACCGTATCAGCCTGGCAAACGGTATGGTTTCCGGCACCATAGCCTTTGGCCGCAACACTCCCGATGTTAGCAGATGCATCACCATCGCCGTGCCTCTGTTTATCATCTTCGTGAGAGTCTGGCTTATGGCAGTGCCACAAATCCATCAACTCTGCCCAATTCGCACTCGGCAAGTCTTTCCATATAATCTGGGCCGGCTTTTGTGGCTCCAAAAGATAATTTCCGCAGTTTCGGCAACCTATTCGCGTGTCTGGATTCATATGTTTCGCAGACCATGGCGGTTGCGGGCTGGAAATATCTGAAGGTGTTGTAAGTGGATCGGTCACATCGACTTGCAACCGAAAATGAAATTCATTCTCGTGTGTAGTAGTGGTACGCTTATCATTAGCAAATTTTGGGGGAAGAGAGAATTTCAGTGGCGTCTCGGACGAGAGGCGGCCTGGAAGACGTAGAACCTGCTTTTGCCCACGATAGGAAAAAGAAAGCGTTTCTCGAGAGGGTAGAACTTCGAAAAATGCTTGAGAGGTTCCGGTAGAACTTGGTGCAGGGTGATAATCGAGCAGTGTCACATAGACGGTAATCTGCGAGATATTCGGGAAGAGTTCAGCATACAGCCGCGGTTTCGCTAAGTTTTGTGTCGTCATAGTATGAATAGGATCTGATTCAATATCACTGACGGTCAGCGGGGATATCTGCTCGTGGAAGATGGCTCAGCGAGGGGATCCATACCTTTTAACCGTGAATGGCGAAGATGATTTCCACCGAGCTTCGGGGTTTTGTTCTTTGGTTGAGCAAGGAGCTGCCTGGGCACATTATCTAAGCTTGTTGCGCGGACTAAATCTAAAGCAGCTAGGCACATGCAAACACGGCAAACATGAAGGGCTCCGCTGTTGGCGGTGTTTGACTTTCCCCTTGTCTCCGTTCCGCCCCGCGCTCCGCCACCCCATACCGCTGTCAGATTTACTAGCGAGCCCTTTAATTGTCTAGCTTCCTAAAATCAGCTTGGGTACAAGTTTGAATTTTACCAAATAGAGACATTTCAGCAACCCTACCCATCCTTGCCCCTTGAGCGGCCCGACGACTAGATCATATCGCAAGCACATATCGTACATCACCCTAATCCGCTCCGGCGCCAAAATCGTCAATAAACTTTAGCGCAGCTCTTAAATAAAATTGATGATGAACTCCCCACGTCCTTTCAGCTTCCCTCATCGCGCGAAGGGGTTGGACGTAATTCGCGGCCACGGACATCTTTCCCTGCAATGCATTTTGGCTGACCCAATCCCAGGTTCTCCCTTTGAGGTCATAAGTCTTAATTTCGTTTATGCTGGAGGCATTGAATTGAGGCCGAAGCTCAGATACGTATACTGCTAAAGCGAGAAGCCACCATTGCTTGAGCAACGGGATGTGAAACTGAGCAGGAGTCAATGGGAAAATGACGCGGAGGGCATGTGTAGTGGTTAGAAGATAAACAAAGGAGGATTTGTGAGGTCTTGCACTATTTACTAATAGTGCGGTTGCCAGTTGCTGAATATCCTCGAATTGTTCGGTTGCATTGGTAATGTCCCACGCCGCCCAGTGGTTAAGAAGCGGAGTTTCACAGGATTTGAACAACGTATCAAAATTGGCAACCGATGTCCCTTCGAAGAGATCATCAAACGCTTTATCGTTCTGCAGTCTATCAATACCCTCAAAGACAGATGCTGTCTTATAAGTGGATGTGAAGTGGCGATAAGATGGGTCGTCCGAATACTGATGAATATCGCCATAACACGACGCAGCCATTGACAAGGCTTCCATGGCTACCTCTCGACTACCTATTTCATAGGCATAGCCTAGATGAATAAGTGGATGTCCTACTAAAGTAGGAGTTAACAACATAGTTCAGTTACGGTCGACAGGGAGAGCTTCACTCACAACCAGAAACCACAGAACTGATTAAAGGGGTTGTGTCTGCGAATAGGTACTCTTGGGCTACTTGCTTCCAGTCATAGCCGCAGCGCACGACTTCGTCCTCAAAAAAGTCCAACCATGCGCGTTGGTACTCTCTCTTTCCCAGAAACGCTTTCCAATCATCGTCTCCGATCTCTCCCGGAGAATCAACCCAAGGTTCCAGCTCTTTTGACTCTGATTCGTACAGCTGATTTAAATGCTCAGCATCCCCACCAAGCAAATATGCCGTCGAAAGGAACTATCTGCCATTAACATTGACCCCCATTTGGCGGTAAGAGAGCCACTTACATGTGGTATATGATTATAAAAGCTTAACTCCCGATACAAGACAGAAAATTTCACATGATTCAGCTTGAGTAGATGTTTTAAACTCCTTGCTGATTTCTCGTGCGCTGTTTCTATGTTATGAGTCTCGACTGGTGGAACCTCGACCGTTCGTTCTGCTGGCTGCTTCGAGAAATGCCTGAAAGAGGGGATTATATTTGATAGCTGTGATAGCATGGTGGAGTGTGATAATCACTGTTCGGGCAGGCAATTAATGCATGTAGAAAGGGTAGGAGATCATTAGTGGCGTTAGCCAGCAGAAAGAAAGGGATAGTCGAATATAGAGTCAAGAAATAGGGGAGTTAACTAATCACTATGATATGAGTTGGATATCGGGTGCTCGTTGCCTGGCTCCTGCAGTTGGGCTTGCCGTGTCAACTAGCACGTGATGAAAGCCGAGGACTTTGTGAAGCTTGGCATTTAACTTGTTATGATATCCTGCTGTAGTCTGCAAAAAAGGGAAGGGTCGCAATCACAGTTAAATATCAATACATTGGTGAAAAGGGACATAGATATCACTAATATATAACTACTCTTGGAAACACGGGTGTCCTCAAAACCCCTAATCAAACATCGCTGCATGGTGGTGTTAGCATGATCCTGCCGATACAGAATCAATCGTCCGAGGAGGGGAAATAGTCTTCTTCCGTCGGTTTTAGGTGATCAGTACGGACAATATATTCATCCTCGTCGCCTTCAAGTGCCCCATCTTCACGTCGCTCATGTGACGCGATAGTGGCACCGTTGAGATGCAACGCTGATCCATTCGCCAAAGCGAGTTTCCCTCGTTGCTTATCGGATTTTTTCGCGGTGTCTACGGATTCGAACGTACGACGTACGCGTTCAAAGTGTTCGAGTTCCTTCGCACTGTTGTGAATCAGTAAGCATTTTACATCATCTTTGGATAGATAGACAGCGGAAACTTTACCTGACACTTGGAATCAATTCTCGTTGTGCTGCCATGAAATCTTCCTCGGTGACCATAACCGCAACATCATCCGGAGTGGCGAGGTGGTCGAAGTAGTATGCGGTGCTAACTGGGCCTCCGGGAAGTGCGTTTATCTTTTCATCGACAGCTGAAGCTTGGCGTGTAATGGCTTTGAGCATGGCGTCGGAGCACAGTGCGTACAAATCGGCTCCAGTATACGTGAATGGGAGTTTTCCAGCAATGCTTTCTAGCGAAACATTGGGATCTAGATTGAACTTTCGAGTAAGAGCTTCTAGAATCGTAGTTTGCTTCGCATGGGTGTCTGAGACGCCAAGGTACAGCATTTTGTCAAATCGACCCGGTCGAAGCAGTGCAGCATCTAAGAGATCTGGTCGGTTAGTGGCACCAATAACGAAAACACCACCTCCATTTTCGTCTCCACCACTCATTCCGTCAAGTTCGGCGAGAAGCTGGCTGACAATACGATCCATGACACCGCCACTGTCACCCTGGTTGCCACGTTTGGGTGCAACTGAATCCAGTTCATCAAAGAAAACGACGCAGGGCCTTGCGTCTCTCGCACGCTGAAACACACGCCGCACGTTCGCTTCTGACTCCCCAATGTACATGTTAAGCAACTCCGGTCCCTTAACAGAGAAGAAATTGAGCGAGAATTCAGTAGCAATGGCTTTGGCAAGCAAAGTCTTTCCGGTTCCGGGTGGGCCATAAAATAGTATACCGCTTCGTTTCTTCATACCCTTTGCGAAGAGCTCCGGTCGTTCCAAAGGCAATTGGATAGTCTCCATTACAGCATCCTTCACGTTTGTCAGACCACCGACATCATCCCATGTAACATTGGGAATCTTGGGAGCACCGATAGAGTCAGCAAAATTCTTGCGTGCCGCATCGACGGCAGCTTCAAAATCAGCTTTTACGACACATTGTGCCGCGTCTCCTCCGGAAATATAGACGTCCATCACGGTGGGCTTCGCCTCCCTGGAGCTATTTGTAGCACTTTCAGCAAGTTTTTCCAGTCGGAGTGCCCGTGTAGTAACGGCTCTTTCAACCACGTCCACTAAATCACCCGCAACGAGCGCAGCAGTCTTTACCGCAACCGATGAAAGATCCACGTCCGGGGAGAGCCTGACACCTAGATCCGCAACAGCGTTACGGAGAATGCCTTCTCTTTCCTTTTCTTCCGGAGCGGTCAGTTCCAATTCATGCGTAAACAGGCTTCGGATTCCCTCAGGAACTTTTTCCACGTCCGTAGTTGTTGCAATGATCGCCCTGGCATCCGTAACAATATCTTTCATAGCTGTGACCATTCTATCCGCCGTCAACACTTCAATATGTTTAATGAGAAGTACCGTACAGTCTGCGCCGCACGCAAAGGCTCGGTCTGCCCTTGCTTTTAGATATGCTTCCGTTTTTACATCCCCACCGTTCGCTCCGCCTTCGGCGAGGATATCATAAGCATCAATGGCGAATGTGTGAAGGCCGATATCTGCACAAGCACTGCGAGCAATTGTGGATTTTCCAATACCACGTTGCGTAGAAGTCAAAAGTATGACCACTGGCTTCATACCAAGCTGGATCGCCCTTGGACTTGTAGCTGCAGCTATCAATTCTCGTACTCGCCTTTGCGTTTGCGAAGTATATTGCTTGGGAGGCTCGGTTAGGGCCAGACGCGTGCCCTGTCCAATAGTCGAACGTGGAAGGGATTTCACACCTAGCCAGTACTCCCAAGAATTGTCATGGGTTTTTGGCACAGTGCTTATCTCACTTCCAGCCTGAACCATCCTAGTGTTCAAACAATCGATGGCCGCTACGCCGCCCCATTGCTCTTGCTCTAAAAGATCCTCATTTTCGCTGGCTGGGGCGGTGACATGACTAACCCTAAACCAAGCAACTCCGATCTTCTTAGTTCCGCTCAATGTACGACCCGGGTCGTCAAAGGAAAATCCCAATTGAGATGTCAACTCGTCGTCTTGATTGCCGGTTTCAGGTGCCTTGGTAGCTGAAAAAATTGTCTTTCCCAGCCCCTCATCTACGCTAATGCCAACAATATCACCGCTTTTGACCAACCGCCGTTTCGATTCAAAATGACGTTTCAAAGCCCCAAAAAGGGCGGGTTGTAGCGCTCTATCCATAGACAGCGGCGTTGAGATTTTTACCAACGTAACTTCTTTTGCAATAGGGGGTGATCTGTGCTTCGGCTGATTAGGACCGGGCCTTGAGAGAGTTTGGTGCGATCCGTGTGCTAGCAACGGCGACAATTTCAGATATTTGGGGTTTTGCATGTTGTGAAGGAGAATAGGGGGTGCAAGGACTGTTGGGGTGAGACTGTGTGACGGCATGTGCGAAATGCTCGACCGCCTGTCATGATTCATTGAATAGCGTATCTTAGGGGGCGACAGTCCTGGGATTCCGTAAACTTTAGCCATCCTCCAGCATTCAGATTCTCCGATCTCTCCCAGCGAATTCAAGCTCCCAAACTTCAAGGACGCCAGCATATTGCGCTGGGGCTCTTCCGAAGCTTCAATTCGAACCCAGTCTCCGGAGAAGCAGCCGATTTTCACAAGTGTATGCACATCGACAAAGACGAATGCCTCCGTGTCGTCGTCGTCGGCAGGTTTTGGATGAAGGACTTCATTTGGTATTCTGTCCAAGAGGCACTCTGCACGAAAAACTTTGCCGCCATATCTGCCTTGACGAGCAGTTCCTGATGTAAAACCAGATAGGACAGATCCTGGTGTGTGGACGTCGAAACGCTTTCCACCTGCTCGAGGGGTTGCGGATGACAAGACCGACGCTATCCCGGAAGGTTGCTGGGGAAGCTCGGGAGCAGCGAGTGAAATCATATCATCCAATGAATCATCGGACATTTCACTGGAACTATGAACAGATGCATCTGTATCTGATTCATCCGGTGGGCTTGTACTTTCGATGTCAGTCCCGCTTTCTATTGGTTTGTCCTCAGCCGCAGAATAAAATTGCTCGTTTGTGTCTTCCGCGTCGTCCTCTGTAACTTGGTGCAGGAAATTGGACCGCGGCGAGGCTAAGCCTTTGGCAATCCGCGATTGCTGCGGCGACCGAGTTTGAACAAGAACCACCTTGGTTCTCGGCACAAGAACGCCCTGCGAGACAGGCTCGCAGAACGATATCTTAGCTGGCGCGGGAGGGATGTGAGTAATTGGGTGAGCCGGTAATGGAAGTGGTATCACATCCCCCGCGTGCAGGACTTTCTGAGTAGAGAGGGCTGCTCTAACGGCAGCCATGAGCCGTTCTTCTCTCTCGGCAGATGTTTCCTCCGAGCTCTTTTTCGCCAGTCGTTCTGGCACGGCAGCTTTCCCCTTCCCTTTGGCCCCTAAGCCGTTTGCGCCATTGTACCCACCCCCGAACCTCTTTTGTACCTCATCGAGGTCCCGTAACAAGTTTTTTTCGACCGTTACATAGACTGTGTCGAGATGCAGCGGCACGACGTCCAAGATGTGAATCTCAATGCCTCGATGAGCAAGTAGCGAATTCCTCGATGGATCAACGGCTTGTAGAGATTGAAGGAAGGACTGTATCGAGTTTCCAGAAACTGGAAAGTGCACCGTCGAGTGGGATATGGTGGTGGTGATCTTCATTTTGTCGCTCGACTGACGACGCACGGGGATAATGGTCCAAGAGATGTCTTCAACCGCCGCCAAGCGCGGTATCCACGGAGATACAGCAACATAGAGTATGTCTGGGACAATCTCGGGAGCTATTTTCCACGAGTCGATGTTAGAAATCCCATAATCCTCGAACTTTAGGAATTGCATCAACATACCACTTAGATTCACATGGGGGAATAGGTCAAGAACCAGATCATCGGACAGTACTCCAATGTCACCTTTCAGCCTGTGGTCAAGCACTAACCGGCCCGAAAGGGGTTTCCGGCTCGCCAGTCGTCGCTGGAAGCGTGGTTTCTTTCGCCGTGACTTCGTCACATGCAGCGGGTCTCGCGTTGTCGACTCCATGAGCATAGTACAGCCGTCCGGCAGTATCTACCGCGCTCTCAGCTAAAAGAGTACGATCTCTCTGCAAACGACGCCAGTCGAGAAGGCACAACGAAATGTGGCTTCAGAGAGAGGTGTCTGGAGGTGAGAGAGAAACTGCGGGTGGAAAGCTTAAGTGGACTTCCGATGCCGAGGTTGCTAGTTAGGCGGGAGGACGCATTGGCCACCTGCACCCAACAGCAAGCTCACCACCGGCAAGCATCCCGATCCGTGAATACCTGCTGCAAACACGGGGCTCTAGGCAAGCTCACTCCATCGGTCCTGGAATTACCCATCATCTTGTGATATATTTGCTTAATCAACTTCCATTGGAGATTTTGGACTTTAGTCAGCATTACCATGAATGACTTTGGCAAGGTGAACGTATCTGATTGCACTCTTCGAGTGGCCGTTTTCATCCCATATATCTATTCGCCGCGGGTTCCCCCCCTTGCTCATCTTAGACGGAACTATGATACCCCTATCTACCTGCCTGCTGGTTTTGAAAGATCTTTTCTGTTGAATGCCAAGGACCTTCTTGTTGAACATCAGTTTGCTGCGTCTTCTCTGCTTGAAAAAGTCGCAGGACTCCCGACTTTCAGGACCAAAGCAAGAAAAGCTGCGATGCGCAGAATCTCGGGCGGTAGTTATTGCTATCTCGCCTCAAACGAGCCGATAGTTGGGCTTGAAAGTCAGGAATCTTGGGTGCAAAAATAGGAATCGAATTCTCGAAGCCAATTCGGCAGAAGAACTCTTTCGTGCACCGATGCGCGTAAGGTATCGCAGCGGCAGCACTTTTTACTCACACTACCACGATGTAGCGAGAGATCCGGCGATAAAGCATATGAGGCAAAATGTTCCATTTTCTTGGGGCGCAAACGCTACATATAGCGGCAGATACAGTGGGTTCATAGCGCTATTTCTTCTATAACAGGAGAGGGCAGGGTTTTCTTCATGTTTGCTCACAGCCGGTATCTATTAATCTATAGGCTAAACTCGTTTCTATGATGATTATAAAATACGAGAACGAAAATTTCCCCGGCGCTGAAACGATGGCTTCACATTCCATCTGCATGTCTTTCCCTCTTATAAAACACTGTGTCAGGGCATCTGTGGAATAGGGACAAGGTATCCACCAACTTCACCACGAGAACAACGCACATAGCAATTACAACCAAGCACTGCCAAAGCACGAAGTTCTGGATGCTTGCAAGCATTCTTGCCAGCCCACACGATGTCTCTGTCTCAAAGCTACAAATTTGCCACACCCTTTGCCCCAGTGAAGAGAAGCGGTTAAACGGTACATAACAACAACCGATGACTCACTGTCGTGTGACGCCAAAGAGCATACCTTCGCAACAGACTCGACAATTTTAGTCTTTTTAAAAGATCAAGTTATTTTGAGTCATCGGGGTATCGCCATCAGCGCAGAGGCCGCGCGATCAACAGCCGGCGTTTCCGCTATGCACAGAGGTATGATGCCTAAAAACAAGGAAAATCCTCGGAACCGAGCAAATAACGCTTCTTAAATGAGGAATGACGAAAGCATGGAGCGTGTGCAGGAACTTTCTCCTTCTGCTCATTGGTTTGAAAGAAGTTCATCCAGCGTTGGCTATCCAGGAACATTCAACGCCCATGCATTTGAGGATGCTAGAGGAGATTATTGGGAGAGGATGTACAGCGGCAGATTTCACGCATACCTTGGTTCGATATCGTCCGCGTCACTGTTGGACAGAAGGGAGTTGGAATCGTCATCCGGATCACTTGGTCAAAGTACGGGGTAGATCAGGCAACGATAGCATCCCGGCCTTAGCATGGCTGCTTAGCTCAACAAGCCCTACGCCACACAGGAGAAGCAGACGTAAAGTCCCCAGCGCCACAGTGGATGAAGCCATCTGGTTCCGATGGAATGAGAAACCAGGACATATCAGTATCGAGTCTTTTGGCAAGATTTCACGTTTAACCAGCATTTCACACATGTGCACTGATGTACTTGGAAGTTGGTGACCTAAAATAAACACTGGTGATTGATATAGGAGCGCTTAAGTCTAGATAATATTCCAAACCACGGTTCAAGCCGTTGGACCATGGATTAGGTCCCAGGGGCATGCAACTGTAATTCATTAGCGATGTCATCGATAATTCAACAGATAGAGATCAGAAATTAGACATTCGCGCGAAATGAAGGAGGCGACCCAGCACCGTTTCTTGTACAGATCTAAGATTGTCAAAATTTGTTGTGTCCGAGATGGCACGCTGAGGTTGGCGCAACTGACGTGAAACGCCGCGGCTAATGATTGGTAACTAATTTGGGTTCGGCCCACAAGGCTTGGCTTTCTAGTTGTCGACGGGAATGTTGTCAACAAATGAAATGGGGAGGTTGATGCAACGAGAAGCGAACGTTTGATGCGAGTAAAGAAGTAGTACTACCATTCCCGCTGAGGAGAGGAAAACGCCTCGCTGAAGCGAGCAGAGGTGGCTCCTCACAACGGCCGGTCAGTGTTTGTTGTCGTTGGTGACGGCAGTCGAGCTGTGGCTCAGCGGGCTTAGCGTTGAGCTTACTGGATTGAGTTTAGCAACTGGCTGATGACAAATGGGACTGTGCTTGCGGTGGGGCCCTGCAGCGTGGTGTTGAGCCGCAAGAATGACATGCAAATCCCGCCAGCACCAGCGGAATCAGCCACCTCCATGGTGAGCGAGTCGAGCAGGGAAGAGAAGCCGTGAGTTGGACGAAATGGCACGGCTTGGCGCTGGAAGGTCCGGGATCGTGGACTGGCGCATCTCGAGGGTTCAAACTTCATGGTACCGCGTTGACCCAGAGATGAGACAAATTACAATACCACTCGTATCCAAACAGTAACCAACTCTCAAGCATATTCGATCCCGCCAGTTGTGCAAGCAGAATTGAACAGTTGATCAAAAAAAATTGATCAATAATCACAAACCAGGCCCATGCTATCCTTGCCGAAAAAAGCCCATGAAAATCGGACAGCGTGGCCCGCCGATACTGTATTAGGACTCCGTACTGGTCGTGACAATAACGGCTGACTAAGCGGTCGGAGAATTGGAACGGGAGTTCCGACGTGTCCAGATTAGGCTTAGTGGGCCTGGGGTGCCGTCCAATGACGAGCGGCGTCCGTTCGTCTATCAGGCAGACATCAAAAGCACGTCTCGGCGTGTTCAAGACTCGTCGTCCCCTTCCTCCCACTTCCTTCAACTCTCTCTTCTTTTCTTTCGCCATCTCCAACTCCAACTGTGATTTCTCGAGGGTTCGCCTTTAACTTTCCCGCGAAGTCTGGCAACTCCCATCGAGTTTATTATTATTTTCTCCTTGCATCCACGGCTCTGATCCATCTCTACTATCAACGTTCCCGACATTGCCTATCGCTGTTGTGAACAGAGTAGTTGTTCCATGATCACTCTAGAAATCTGATTGTCGTCGGTTTTCGGAGAGTTCAATCAAGGACCAGGCTTTGGACGGTGATCTCCAGCTGCTCCATTGCCTCGCCCTTACGGATGCTGTGACGTGCATATCTCAAGTCAAAACAGCAAAGCATTCAGACACGCTTTTGCAATCTCTTTCGATCGCGTAAGGTGGGCACCCATGATTCAATCCCGGAATCCTCTAGGTCTCTGACGCTTTTTCCCCGGTCCGTTGAAGCTAACACTTCGCCTCGCAGATTGATTGATTTTACTTGCTCCGATTCTGATTTTGGATAAGCTCCGTTCGACATTGAACGAAGGTGAGTCACAGATGGATCTAATTCGAGTTCCGCGATCCTTTTTTGCTTATTGGACGTGGGTTCCAGAACTGTGACTTGTACCCGGTCGCACAGTATGTCAGAACCACAGTCGCACCCGCGCCGCCGTCCTTTTAACGGCGCGGCCCTACCCTCGCTTTTAACTTCTTCAAACCATGGGAACGGCCCTGCCAGCCATGTCGTCGCACCCTATAAAAGGATGCTAAAGAAGGGCGCCACTTTTCATTCTCCAACCACGCCGTCCGCCGACGAATGTGACCCAATTCTCTATATCCCTTCTCTGCCTCGTCGAGCTCCTACTAGTTCAAGAGCACTTGAGGAAGTCATCGCTGCTGGCGAGAGACGTGTCGCAGGCATTCTCGGTCAAGTGGAACGAGACCTTGCTGGCATCGACGGCAAATCAACTCGTAACCGACCTTCCTTTCCCGGCGACGATTTTCCTGTTCCTCGTGGACTTCTTCACGCCCGTGTCGCCGATACTGACCCCATGGATATCGACACAGCTCCCTACGATTCAAAATTTCACTCCAGCCGCCGCCTGCCTCCCGTGGATGCAAAGGAGCACCGTGTAGCTGATAGCGGAATTGGCTCATCGATCCTCGACGCCCCTTTGGAGAAAACCCCTGCCAGTGGAGGTGTGCAACACCCGCTTCTTTCATCCCATCGCTCAGGCTCAATGACCATGGAGTCATCAAAGCCCTTGATGCGTTTTGGGGCATTCAAGCAAATTGAGCGTCATATACTTGCTCCAATACTTGGAGAGCAGTCTTTCAAACCCTTCCACCCCATCGTGGAAACTATACCACAGCGTGTCAGGAATAATAACATTACTTGTCTTCGAGACCTCGAGAAGATACTGTTATTTGTGCCTCTGGTGAGCAACTTTCCAAAGCATGATATTCAAATCAATTACTAATCTCCCGCATACAGAACGAGACCATTTCAAAAGGTTCATACATGCAATATGGGCGGTTCACGATCCACTGTCTTCATACAGCTGTCAGACATCTCAACGACCGTGATCAGTGCCTCCCTGCTGATCGTCCATACACGAATGGCTATTTTCTTGACCTTGTGGCACAAGTTCAGGGATATGCCGCTACCATCGCTGCCGCTCGCAACTCACGATCTTCTCGTGACCAAAAAGGAAACAACTTGGATTATTCGTCGTATGTGATCCCAGATTTCTTTCCGCATGAAATATACTGACCAAGCCGTAGTGGAGAAGAGCTTGTTCTTGAAGGGGGGCTCAGCAGTTCTGGTCGACCAGCGGAACTGGTGAGGAGAAAGAAAGATGTCGCTATCTCCCTTCAAACAGGAGAGCCATATGTAGAGTCGAAACCCACCATCCCTATCATGAAACGTGCTCTCAGCGTGGAGGCAGGAGACGACAGCGTCATGCGATCCATGGCGCGCCGTAAGAAAAACGAACCACCATTGAATATCAACAAGAAATGTGACCACTGTGACAGGATATTCAGAAGGCCGTGCGATCTCAGGTGAGTTTTTTGTCTCCTTTTTAACTGCAACGGAAGATGGTATTAACCTATGCTAGCAAACACGAAAAAACTCATACCCGACCGTGGAAATGCACCGAGCCTGGTTGCAAATACTCCAAAACTGGCTGGCCAACTGAGAAAGAACGGGATCGCCATGTTAATGACAAACATTGCAAATCCCCGCGTTTATTCAATTGCCGCTTTCCACCGTGTACCTACCAGTCGAAGCGTGAGAGCAACTGCAAGCAGCATATGGAGAAGGCACACGGTTGGGTCTATGTTCGATCGAAAAACACTGGCAAAGGCAGTGACCGAGGTTCCCCACATACTCCACCTAGTTTCAATCCCTCCCCGACTATAGCTCCCGGCATTCCAACGCCAATTAGCACTGTGGCTTGCTCTCCTTACATGTCCCCTTACCAGCCACAGCTAGAGCACCAGCTTCTAGCGATCGCGAGTGACGACACACCAAACAATAATACAATGCAATTGGAGCTTAAAGATCAACTGCAGCCAATGTTGACAACTTTCAATCCTGGAGCTTTTGGGTTAGGAGATGCCCATGACTTTTTTGGGTTAGGAGATGCTCATGACTTGAGTAATACGTTTGGCATGGATTTCGATTTGTATCCAGAAATACCCGGCAACGGGCTCGTCGACAATGCTAGCCCCTTCGCTCAGGATTTCGATTGGCAAACGTTTTTGTGTTGATTTGATTTTTGAAATTTTCTTCCCCTTTACCATTTCAGCGAGGTGTATGACAGTCTTTTGTTTTTTTCTTGGGTCCCAACCCACTTGTTGGTTTGGTTTATAAACTCCTCTTTTATGATATCGAGTCGAGTGCTTCTTTTGATAATTGTACTACGCTGGTTCTCACTCCCCTCAGCCGTGTTTTTGCTTGGTTATTGCCCGCTGTTCTTGCCCAACGTGGTTTGTCGGTGTCTTTTTCAGAAAAAGTATGCCGTGGAAGAGAAATAGCTAGAGCGAGCGATTCGCCGGGGATGACTGGGGCTTTCCTGATTTTTATTTTTTTTGCTTTACTGCATCCGTCCTGCTATCTTATCCCTTTTCATATGGTTTGCGCAGAGACACTAATGGGTGGATGCCGGGGGCGTGAAGTCTCTCTGTCAGAGTCTCTTGAGAAAGCACAATGCAATTCGCATCAATCCATGAGCCTGCCTTCCATGTAGAGAAGTAGCTTCTTCCCCAAAGGGGCAAGCAGCTGCTGCCAGATTCAACATCCCAGCGTTTCGACTGCCGTATTGAGCAATTGCCTGTTGTCCTTCCGTAAAAGGTCGCCTGAGGATGCGGGAGGCGCCTTCCAGACTGGAATCCGCTGCTTCGGTATAAAAACCTCGACGTCGACCTCCTCCCTCCCTCTCTCTCCATCGTCCATTCACTCTGTCTGGACAAGCTCGCCGCATCTATATAGGATTATAACTACAGCTACGTTTTGGAATACTACCCCCTATGGCACGCAACGTTTTTTGGATATTGTTACAAACATGCTGCCAGCAACTCTCTCTGAACATGCCAAAGTGAAATAAACCCCTTTGCACACCAATATTGTCTCTCCCCCTGCTTCCAAGGCTTGACTGGAGCATTGGATCCAATCTAGAGTTGAGGTCGGGGCTTCAATATGACGTCCAACATACCATTTGTCTAGAAAGGGCTTGTTAGTATCCCCTCCATTGCATTGACATATCTTGAGGCTTACATGTGTAAAGACATCGTGCCCAAGCAACCAGGGTTGAAATTCTGGGTCGGACCATCTATTTGGGTTGTATGTTGCTGAGTCCTCGTTGCCCTCGTGGGCCACTGCTTTCATAGCTCGGTCTCGGGCAATTTGCTCTGGACCGTCTGCAAAGTGCCAAATATGGCCGTTTTCTCGTGCGCCGGCCTGGATTCTTTCGCATCGCGGTTTTCTGATTGCCTCGAAGGCATAAAGAAGCCTGGGGATGTCCCGAGCGGACTTGGCTCTATCGAGACATTCGCCAAGGGCAGCACCATCTTCAATGGCGGTTGCAGCCCCCTGTGAAGAGTTGTTAACCAGACACGCACAAAATTCGGGAAATGAACTCACCTGCGCCAGGTACGGGACCATAGCGTGGGCAGCATCACCAATCAATACAACTCTACCGCTGGGACTGACCCAGTTGGGGAGAGGTGGGAGGTCTGCGAGCTTCCATTTCAGGCAAGACTTGACATTCTTCAACACTTTGCGGATGGTCGGGTCGAAATTGGCATAGTACCCTCGCATTTCATCTGGATTCCCAGGCTCGTTCCATTTTCCAACCATTGCTTTTCCCGGGCACGAAAGGACCAAATTATACATAGCGCCTTGTCGGATTGGGTATGCCATGATGTGGCGGCTATCGCCAATCCAGCAGTTGGCGTCCTCTTCCATGAGATGCCTGATTTCATCGTCAGCATTCATGGCCTCTGCAGGGACCGTCACGCGATAAGCGCAATTTGGCGTGTCATTCGCCTCGATCTCTTTCTCACGGATCACTGCGCGTCTCGTCTTGGACCGAATACCTAGATTTATTGACGTCAGATCGGTCTGCATTCAACGAAAACGGAGATGAATCATATCTACGCACCGTCCGCCCCGATGATCAGGTCTGCCACCAACCTCCGGCCATCGGTGAGGATAGCCGCAGGCGCCCGTTCGTCGATGGAGTCGACCGGTGTGCCGAGCAAGATTTTGGCACCGGCCTCTTTGGCCGCATCGAAAAGGATCCGTTGGTAATCCGCACGGTGAATTAGCCAGTATCTATCGAGTTGGTGTTAACTTGCTGCTAGCAAGGGCGGATGCGGCGGCACATACGGGAAGCCATAGGTCTTTTCCAAAACATGTCGGAATGGTGTTGATCCGACGATTTCCCCGGTGCAGTATCTTCGAAAGCTAAGGTGCTTCGGCCATACGATTTTCTTTAAAAATTCATCCGTCAATCCGTATGAATCCAAGATCCGGGTGCTGTTCGGCGGAACTTGAATTCCCGCTCCGACTTCATTGAGGTCTGCAGCGGCCTCGATCACGGTAACGTTATGGCCCTTCCGCGCAAGGCAGATAGCTGCTCCCAGACCTCCGAGGCCTCCGCCAATAATCAGGATTTGAAAACGAACTTGGCCGTTCCCTGCCATAATGTGGGAACGAATTGTCTTGGAAGGTATGATTTCTAAACTTCTTTTTGGCAATCCTACAACTCTTCTTTGGACAATTTCGACCTCCTCCTCTATCTATATATACTACCGCTTTCCCCTGGATTTTGTGGGGTGAAGCTCCCCTACTCTCGGATCCAGCTCCGAGCCTAAGGACCCCTTTAGCCCCCTTTTCCGGCTTTTCCGCCGAGTTCTTGGCAGCAACAACCCGAAATCTTCTCGGATGCTGAGGAAAGTCTGGCGAGATATCAAGCGCGCTTGTTTCGGAAATTGCATCAATCTACGGAAAATATGCAAGTATCTGCCGCCTCCGCGCTTACTCTGCCAGTGAATGACCACCTCGACCATGTTTTCAGGATGTTTGTTTTGCAAAACAGGACAAAAGAGCATCATAGATGTTCCAATGCGGAAATTCCCCGGAAAGTCTGGAAACACATTCAGGCTCTGGAGCTCCAGCTTTTGGTTATCCCCATGGGGTTGGTATGGACTTTGTGAGGGTACTTAAAGCCCAAAAAGTCCTCAGCTCCAACGTCGAAGTGAAAGATCTTCTTTTTCCATAAACACCTTCATCATTATCATTCAACTTACTGCCAACTATTCGAAACCATGTCGCCAATCTCGCTTCATAACGGAGTGAAGGAGTCCCAAGGTCAGAGGATGGACGCTGAGAACAAGGCACCAGTTTACCTCGAGGGTGCTACCTCTCCAAAGGGGAGTACACAAGATGAGGGAGTACGGCCACCACACGACCCTTTGAGTTGGCCAAAATGGAAACGGAATACCCAAATCCTGATGATAGCAGTCCATTCCATGGTCTCTACCTTTATGGCTGCTGGTATTGTCCCTGCATATGATACCTTTGCAGAGATGTATGGTGTTTCGGTGCATACAGTCACGTATTTGACATCCACTCAGGTGGGTACAGTTCACTTAGCTCTCAGATTCGAACGTAACCTGACGGACTTCGTTAGATCCTCCTCCTCGGAATCGCTCCCTTTGTATGGAAGCCCTTAACTACAAGGTTTGGCCGATATCATATCTGCGTCTTGTCAGTTTTGGGTAGCTTTCTATGCAATATTGGGGGGGCAAGGTGCACGACTTTTGGAACGCAAATGGCAACCCGAGTTATTACTGCGTGGTTTATCTCCCCTCCGATTGCCATCGGAAGCGGCGTGGTTACTGAACTCTGTTCCAAAGACGAGCGAGCGCAGAAGATTGGATGGTGGACGCTGTTAACCACTATCGGAGTTCCCGCAGGTCCATTCATTATGGGGTTTGTTGTTCAGCACATTGGCGTCGAGTGGGTGTTTTGGCTCTTTGCCATTATCAACTTTTGTCAGTTCGTTGCATACATTCTTTTTGGAAAAGAAACATTGTATCCCAGGGATTTGGAGGGGAACTTGGAACCACCGAAAGCTCCTAGCTTTCCCAGATCCATTTTCCCCCACCGGATCGATCCGCGCCCGGTAACCGCTACCGATTTCATCAGCCCGATGTTCCTTTGCCGCTTTCCCCGTATCCTCGTTCCGTCCCTCGCTTATGCGATTACATTTGCCTATGCGAACATTGTCATAGTTGTGGAGATGCCAACTGCGTTCGGAAAAAAGTTCAATTTCAATGCCCAACAAATCGGGTATCAATTCGTTGCAATCATCATTGGTTGCGTGCTTGGTGAGCAGATCAGTGGACGTATGTCCGATTCCTTCATAAGGCTTCTTAAGCGGCGAAGAGGACATGCTGCTCCAGCGGACCGATTGTGGCTTTCTTATATCGGGTTCGCAACCGTTTTTGCTGGACTTTTGACATGGGGTTTCCAACTTCAAAATGCCACTACCTGGAATGTCACTCCATGTGTCGGCGCAGCGATTGCAAGCTTTGGGAATCAAATCCTGACGACAACTCTCATTACCTTTGCCGTCGACAGCCATAAGGAAGTGTCCACCGATATTGGGATGTTTGTAAATATTTGCAGGCAGATTTACGGATTTGTGAGTATATGTTCTCCTCCTTGAGCAAATCGAAGCTTACAATGATCGTTATTATAGACGGGCCCGTTTTACTTGCCGCTCATGTTTGAAAGATTTGGCCTTGGGGGAGCTGCGGGAATCTTTTGTGCTATTGTCGCCGGTTCTGCGTTGGTCCCAATTATTGCAATCCAATTCGTGGCCACTCGCAAGCCGTGAATTTCTAGGCGTTCGTTTGAGATGGGTTATTGATTGATATCCACTTCCTGAATGATAGCGAGCTTTTGAGACATTGTATATACCCAAAGTTATTATTTCAATACCAACCTTACATATTGTGATCTCCTAAGTCACTTGTAAATTGAAATTCTTCATACAAGCTCCATTTCGGGAGTCCAACCTGTTGTAATGGAAAAAGGTTCTTGGATTAAAGTAAACTACTTGGGACACTGTTTAGCCAGGACATGTCTAATAAGTCCAGAAAGTCCAAGTTATCTGGTCCAACATTAGCTGTCCCATCTGCTAGATTCACATCCCCAAAAGCATTGAGGGACTCAGAAAGAGTGTGGCCGCTTGGATTGTTTACAACATCAGGACCGGTACCATCGACTACGGCCCTAAGATTACCAGCGCTGGTGCTACTGGCGCCAGCTGGCGGCATACGCGATAACGGCACCCCTTCAGACACGACACGATCGTGGAGGATTTCAAGGGCTGCAACACAGCGTCGGGCCGAGGTGCTGTAGCTTTGGTATTTGCGGAGGATCTCGAGGGCGCAGAGCCAGGCGTGGCTGATAGATGCTTCGCTTACTTCGTTGACGATGGAGGAGCGGAGACGGCCGGCGATCAGGATGGTGGCGGCTGTGTAGACGTCTTGCGGATCGTCAGGCCATGCTTGTCAAAATGAGTTTGCATTATCATGGGGAGGTGCTACTCACACAGGACGTTGTACCACCAGGCGGGAAGGGGGCCGTTTGATCCGTCGGTTGGAATGTTGTTGTATATCATTTCAATGACTTCTTGGGCAACTTTGACACAGATGATGGAACATTGAAGGGCGACCCTTTGCGTTAGAGAGTAATCTTGGGATATGAGAGGGTCAGTAGTTGTCACATCCCGCGCAGTACAGTATTTTCCAAGAGTAGGACGGAATAGGAGCATCCGGACGTGGAGAAATCGAGCTCGCAGAACGATAGCCTGGCGGTGATATATAGGATTTCTCTGTACCCTAGAGGACGGATCTCGTAAATGAAGAGGGAGGTTTCGACACCATTTAGTAAGTGCGCGGTCGTGTTCAAAAACCATCTTTGGGCCTTCTGCTTCATTACTGAAGTAGAAGTCTTGCATGCTTGCCACGCTCTCCTCGCCAGGAGCTTCGCAGCTGGGAAGTCTCTCGGTAGGGGAATAGAGACTGAGGAGGATGTCGTTCATTATTTCGTATAGTTCCAGGGATTTGGCATAAAAAGCCATCATTGAAGGACGGCCTTGGATTTGTGAAATCTCAGGGTCGGATATGCCGGGGATGTCTTCCTCGTCGATTGCGACGGGGAGTGGAACAGAGCCCGCCGCCGTCTTTGATATCATAGATGGGCGGCCAAAAGTCATAGAGGTTACTCTGCTGAATGTTAGCCACAAGCCTTAGGATGATACGAGGTGGATACGACATGCCTATCTAACAAGACGCAGCCATGCCATATTTTCCGCGCTAATTGCTGCTCCTGAAGGGTGTGCGGGTAACCGAGTGTTTTTCCAAGATGCAATCCTAGGCTCTGCGCATTTCGAATGGCCAAACCGGTTATGATCCAGCACTGATGGGCAGAATCCGTGCTTTGAAGATATTGGCTCATTAAGAGTAAACATTGTATCAGTTCAACAGAGCCTGAATGCCACAAACTGAAATGAAGGAGGCTTTTGGCTCTGGAGAAGAAGACGTCTGCAGACTGACAGCGCTCCTCGGGCTCGATGAACTCTGCTAACTGGCAGCTGAGTGCAAATATGACGTTGATAGTACACATAAGCATGTTTTCATCGCAATCAAAGCCTTCCCCCGACCAGATTTTGGCATACTCAGCGGTAATCTGCGGACGACTAAGGAGAGGGTATAGCGGAAACACAATGCCCCAGTACACTTCCATCAAACCGTCTGCCATCTTCCTTGGAGGAAGCACATAATTTGTCAACATTGATTGCATTCTATCGATGCGGGCCGATGAAAATGCCGACTGAGCTGTGTTACAACTAGATGATGTGGGACCATCCTTCGCTGGCGGCGGGACTATCCTGTCCACAGCGGTTTTGATCTGTCTCATGAAGCCAGCAGCACTGGAGCTTCCAAAAAAGCCCTGAGTAGGCTGTTCCTGTTCAACAGCACCCATCATCGCATTTACACCGTCAAATGACTCGACAATGGCGGGCTGCTTGCCCTTATCAAGGGGCAGAGCGGGACCCGCTTCGCCATGGGCGATAGGCTCTTGTGCGTAGCCGATTATCGGGCGTGGTTGTTCAGTAATAAAGACCGAAGGGAGCCTGTCATTGGAACCCCCATATTCTCTCTGCAATGGGACTGGTTGTGGAAAAGGCGGTGTCAATCCTATAGTATGTATAGGCGGTAATGGGGAGCCTTGATATATTCGCGGGCGCACGTCATCCTCCGCAGGCGCATCTGACCTGTGGTCTGAACGACTGCCATCAGATAAAGTCTGAAGCGCCTCTGCTACCAGTGACGGTGCTGGCGGCGGTGAGCCTTCGCCCTCCAAATCCTTGATCTTGTTTACCAGGCTGGCAATGTAACTACCAGCCCACTCGTGAGATTACATTCATCGATGTCTCGGGAAGACCTACTTCTTAACAGCCCGCTTCTTCTCCGGCTCTCCGGTATAAGCACACTCAGCGGAACGCTTCGAACAAACCCCACAGACTGGAGTATTCCCCTAGTCAGTATATAAAATAAAAAGTGAACCCGGCATCAAAAGCGGGTTGGATGCACACTTACCGGGTTGCACTCCGTCGCATTTGACCTTTCTGCTCCGGCACTGATCGCAGGCCACTGCTATCTTGCGCCGCTTGACTGGTGGGCCCGGAGGCGGCTCCGCGGCTGCGTCGTTTATAGAGGTTTGCTCGTTCATTCATGCAGTGATGCGGCGCAACGCCCACGAAAAAAGGCCCATGCCGCGGGTGAATTGTGTGCGCGAGTGAGAGACGCCAGTCCGCGCGATGGGTTGCACGACGACGGTTCGTAGCAGGCCACAGCCCCTCGCGCCTTGCTCTGGTAACTAGTTAACGCGGGTGGTCGTTGGGGTAGCCGCGGTCGAACTCGGCTTGGGTTCCGAGGCGAAAGAAGCTTTTGGTTGCTGCTGACTCGTGACGCCGTACTAGCCCCGGATGAACATGATTCATGTGTTAAGAAACTACAGATGGAAGACGGATTTCTCTGCTTGCAGGACAGCTCGATTCATGGGTCTATGTACAGTACAGGCATACAAGCGTTCCTCAATGGCCAGGCATGGTGTCAAAGGCTTTTGTGCCCTCCACCTGTGGCATGTACGAGGGCCTGAGTGAGCTGAAAAGCTCCACTGTTGGGCGGAATTTCTCCAATCTGCGGGAGTAAAAGTCAACAAATGGGCTCATTAGTATGGGTCTGTGTGACGGGAGAGTGCCATTTACCCTCCTTCAATAAGGGACGTTCGGATTATCATCTTGTCTCCCCCTTGCGACATAGGCAGCGTCCAGAGGGTGCATCCACACCGAGGACAAAATACTTTATGCTTGACGAAGCCACTTGTGGTCTTCTGAACCACCCACGTTGCCGGCTCGACGCCCTCTTCGGTTCGTAACGATACCTGCTTCTTGTCGAATTTCGCCAGCTGCGAACTAGTCAATCCACGTATCCGACTCTTCATGTGAGAGGCTTACGGTTTGAAAAGGTCCCCCCGCATTCTTCTGACAGTCCGTGCAGTAACAGGCCATGAGCTTCTCCGGCTCTCCTCGTACTTCGTATTTGATCGCCTCGCAGAGGCAGGCTCCGGAGCTCACGGACTCGGCCATCGTGGAAGTCGACTTTCTATGGGGAGATTAGGACTGCACAGTTGTGTAACGAGCCTGGCGTGCGTTGTTTCAACCCACAGACCTGCTCCGGCATGCAACCCCGCTATTTAACTGTTCACGGCGTATCGTATTGCCGAGTCCCATCTCTCAATTGACGGAGCCGATTCCGAAACCCCATGGGGAAGTGACGTCACTGGGCTCATCTGTGTATAAGACAAGAGGAAATAAGATGTGGATTCAAAATTGCAAGTCTATATTGGTTTTCCCCCTCGCCTCTACTCAAACACCATGGTGTTCTTAGTGGATCCAAGATGCTCAATCTTGACCTCAACAACATCCCCATTTTTCAGATACACCGGCGCGGGCCTCATTCCCATCGCCACACCAGCAGGAGTACCGGTCATGATGACAGTTCCCTTCTCCAACGTTGTGCCTTGGCTGACGAAGCTGATGATATGCTTGACGTTGAACAAGAGGTCGTTGGTATTGGAATCTTGTCTTAGTTCCCCGTTCACAAAGGTTTGGAGTGCGAGGTTATCGGCGGCGCCAGCCACCTATCGACTGTCAATAGCCACCTCAATGATAAACCGAGATATCTAGATCTGCTCACCTTGGTCGAAACTAGAACGGGCCCAAGGGGCGCATACTTGTCAAACCCCTTGCTGAAGCACCACTGAGGAACACCACCAGCATAAGCAGGATCACGCTGCCATTTTCGGCAAGACACATCGTTGGAGGCCAGATAGCCAGCGACATAGTCCAAGGATTCGTCCTTGCTAATGTTCTTGCCAGTTTTACCGATAACAATCGCCTACATAACGCCCAATATTTAGCCGGCATTCCGAACAGAATTGATGCAGAGATCACGTACCAATTCCCCTTCGTAGTCGAGAGAATCTTGTGCCAGTTTTGGGATTGGGACATCCTCCCTGAAGCTAGCGATTGCGGTCGAAGGCTTGATGAAGATGGACGGGTGGGGTGGAGGATTGCGTCCGCCTTCCTTGACTATAGTGGAGCAGTTAGCACGGTGCTTTTTGTGAGATGGCATGCTGTTCAACTTGCTGTGCTTCATATAATTCAGTCCAACGCAGCGAATGATGGGAACATCACTGGGATGCAGGATCGCAAGTAATTCCTTCACCTTCACGGACTTTGAACCCATTGTGAGAGAAAATGGATCTTCACCAGTCCATTCGTGGGCCACCAACTTCCCATCCGCACAGGCCTGGACAACTTCAGCAGCATCAGCGACTTGCGGCTCGCCAAATCTCGTCACACCGTCTTCACCGACGAAACGGATCAACCTCGACCAAGTAGCCATTGTTCTGTGCCTTGCGAATAAAGGGATGAATGTAAACGTAGAGATAGGGCGAACTTTTGGAAATAACATATTAAAAGACCCTCACAGTCGAGGAAACAGAGCTGGGCCATTTTAAACGGAGAGATTTCCCGGGAGAGTTACCGACAAGTCTCGGAAGTGGTTCCGGGGAACGGATATCATCCTCGAAGCCGACGGGGCGAACGACAGGAAAGGAGGGTGCGGGGTCCATTCCAGGTGGAAAGCGCAATGATAAGCCCTGTCTACGATGGGAGGAGCAGTGGTTGCATATATCCCCGAGGTCCGCTCCATGTAAAACTCAAGCCATTGGAATTTATTCTGCAAAACACAATTGGCAATTTATATGGCAATGATGGCAGGAGCAACAGCATCATCACACACCTCGGAGGATGCGTTTGTCAAGTCTGTGAACGACAAACACTCCGCTCCACTATGGACAGTCCTACACAAGATGGTGCCTCCATTCCCGAACCCCAAAGCCACGCCCACGGTCTGGAAATATGACGAGATGCGACCTTTGTTGATGGAAGCGGGAAGGATCGTCGGGGCAGAAGAAGCGGAGAGACGGGTGCTCATGTTGGTGAATAAGACAATGGGTATGGATTTTGCTACTTGGGCATGTTACCAGGTAACCAGGTTTATTTTTGAAGAGGAGCTGAACATTGCATTTTAGAGGCTCCATATACCACCGACACAGTGTATGCTGGACTTCAGCTTGTGCTTCCGGGAGAGACTGCTCCCGCTCACAGACATGTTGCTTTCGCTCTCCGGTTTATCATCGAAGGTGAAAACGGCTTCACAGCTGTTGAAGGCCAAAAGATTCCCATGTCAAGAGGAGATGTCATCCTCACTCCCCAATGGCATTGGCACGACCACGGAAACGAAGGCAAAGAGCCAATGATCTGGCTGGACGGGCTGGACCTTCCACTTTTCCGCAGCATGCCAGTGAACTTTGCCGAGAACTACACGGACTCTCGGTATCCAAGTTTGTGAGTAACCGGAAGGGGGCTGCAGATTGGGCAGGCCATTCAGCTCAGTGAACTAACAAACAAAAAAAACAAGGGCGAGTCCCGAAAGCCATTTCCGGTTTCCCTGGAAAGATACCAAAGCCGCATTGGATAAAACGGGGTTTCCTTATGCCGTTTACCACTACAACCAAAGGGGACGCAAACATCTGTCCGAAACCATCGGCGGACAAGCAGAGAAAATCGCGGCTGGCGCGACTTCGCCCGAGTCTCGCGAAACCTGTTCCTTTGTCTACCACGTCGAGAGCGGAGCGGGCGTTACAACACTCAGCTGCCAGGATGGCACGCAGGCAGAGATCAAGTGGACGGCCAAAGACACGTTTGCGGTCCCGTCATGGGCCAAGATCCAACACACGACAACTTCCAAGGAAGACGCTTATCTCTTCGCGATCAATGATCGGCCAATCCTAGAGAGTTTGGGGTTTTTCAGAAAAGACGTTTAAGGAACGCACATGAGTTATCATGGCATTACGATGATGAAATAAGTTTTGTGTATAACTATCCAATGTTAGTAACCGGAAATTCGCTCAACTTCATAACGTACTGGTTCTTGGTTTGTCGATTCGAAGAGTCACTCAGCTGAGTATTATTGGCAATAGATGCCAGAATTCCGAAACGAGTAGGCTTGGTCGCTAGAGGCGCTGGTTGTCCAAGTGAGGCCCACGAGTGTAGTATAACAAACGAGTCTGAAAGTAGCGTCTGATCATCTGCCCAGTGCCATTCGATGACGGATTGTGATGGGAATTCGGGGAGTTAGCTGGTATCAACCAAATCCCCCACACCTTGCGATTGAGCCAGGCGGGGAAATAGATTGGTATATTGGCTGGTCAACCTGGTGTGCGTTTATCGTGTCATCATATGATTTGATAGAATTCAAAGGTTGCATGGAGCATAACCATCACCGTTGGGGAACAACACCGCAAAGATGTAAATTGGACGAAGCTCTTGACTCAGTAATCCCGGAGACTACCCAGCCACTCCAAGACGCGGAGGAAATGCTGCCACAGTGTGGCGACGACCTTGACGCGCCTGGGCGTCCAATAGTGAAACTAGTCAACGATCAGCAACACGAGCAGGCCAAATCCAAGAGTCCCGCCCACGTCATGCTTGCGCGAATCCAGAGCCAAAGCACACAGTTCAGGATGGCGAGTAATGACTTTCAGAATTCTCTGCACCGTGCGGAGTAGCGGTGCACCTCTGGCCAACTTGCGGATGCGGTTCTCATCGTGGGCGCTTTTTAGCTGAGCTGCATGGCGCATGTGACGGGAATTACGTATGTTTGCCCGTGCAGGGGTTTCCAAGGGTCATTGTAGCATCATGCACTCGGACGACTGAGTGAAGGGAAGAGAGCAAACAGGTCCTCAATGGCTCTCTCGGCTCTCATCGCAGTCATCTCATCACCGCTGCAGTGACTTGAGTGTTGGCGGGCAGCGTCCAGGGATGTCATGGTGGGGCGTATCTCTGCTCTAAGCATTTAGTTAATTCCCAACACTCAACTCAAAGGACCCGGCTGCTGTGTGCTTCCTGGCTGTCTTTGTTTCATAGGCCATTTACACAGCAAGCTGAGCCCGTTCTCCCCTCCAGCAAGAAGGTTCTTTACCTAAGCGCCTGTGTCGTTACGCGCCCTCGCTGACGCTTACGTACCCTGGGATCCAGCGCCCCCCCGACGTCAACTGCCCAAGAATAATCGGGCCAGCACTTTTCCCTTTTTCTTCTATCATCGTCGTTTCTTTCATTGTGACATCAGAGATTGTACGCAAGATCTCTCGGGGGTCTCAGCTAGACGATGGGATCTGAAGATATGGGCTCTCCACCACTTGACCAGGTGCTGACCGGCAAGCAAGAACACTGTGAATACTCTACCTGCTATGTGGAACAAACAGGATGCTGACTTGAACAAATCGCTAGATCTCAAGCGGGAGCTGATCAACCATCAAGTCCGGAGTGAGATTGCCGAACTCAACTCTCCAACCGCCCTTCGTCGTTTCGGCGCGCCCTTCAAATCGGAGTTCGGGGAAGTAGCCCCAGTTGATTCTGAGCTTCCCATTCTACGATACATATTCGTTCGCCATGTGCGCAACTTTCCCTTCCTCGACCAGGCCAAGGAGAAGGAGTTTTGGCAAGATAAACTGCAAGTTGTAAGTGGGAGATGTGGACGGCCAGTCCGTGGTGTCGTGGACGGTCTTTTAACGAACATTTGCCGGGAAATATTAGTTCCTCGAGTCTTTTGCGAACAAACACATATCTTCCTCTGAAGACCGCCACGAGGTGACCAAGCGGCGGAAGATTGCGCTAAAATGCGAGAAACTGGTTGAATTGATGATGGTCTCCGGCATCCGTACCTCGTCCGGATATGAGGAGCGAATTCGGTTTTCAGAAATGGAGGTTGTGGACCGGGGTGCCAACGAGCAGGGGTTGCTGGTCAACATTCCTGATGGGCACTCTATCAATGGGTGGGATGTCAATGTCGCAGGCGTCAGAACCACGTTGGTGAAACGAACAGTGAGATATCATCAGCATGCGGTATGCTTGCCATGGTCACTCACCGCGTGGTCCACTTTCCGATCTAACCTACTTGTTTAGGAATTCCTGCTCAGAGTTCGACGCCAGGGCAAGCCTGATATATATGTCGGCCGTCGGTTTGGAGATTTCGCTCAACTACATAGGAGGTTACGGACAGAGCTCCCAGGAAAGATCCTGCCGCCACTTCCGAGGAAAAACAAAAGTTCGATGTCCACCTTCTTAGGGGGCGCTGACGACGATGCGTCCTCCGTCTCGTCGATTTCAACGGACGTTGGCCCACTCGAAGAGAATGGGAACGGTTCCACAAGGAATCTGCTTTTCCCAAATTACCTTGGACAATCACCCTCCCGTTCATCATTGAAATCGAGAGACTCTCCCAGAGCATCCGGTGATTTAAAAATCGAACCTGTAACACTGTATCGGGAACAGCAGCGAGTCTCTCTCCGTGCTTTCTTGCGGGGTGCTATTGCAGAACGAGCGAATAGCCACTTCCAAGGCCATGGAGGACTTCCTAACTGCGAACCCTGTGATCCTAAATGAAGAAGAGGAAATGGATATCCAGCGAAGGAAAGACCTAGACGGCAAACGAATAGAGGAGCAGAGGGCGATTCTACGAAATTGCGAGAAAACGTGCCAAGGAGGTGGGATGTTTACATGGAGCAGTTCCCGGCAGGACATTGTTGAAAACAGTACGCGAAACTCTTGAAGTGCTTAAAGTGCAGCTCACTAATGCGTTCCCACTTTGACAGATGGCTTAACAAAACTTTTCCACGAGATACGCATCAAGGAGACGGTAGACGACTTGAGCCCTCAGTACCAGAAGTTTGCAGAGTGGCTGCGCATTGAGTGAGCTGGCCCCTTCACTTTTCAGTCTGTTAACATGAATGCTGACCTTGTAGGGTTGCTGCAACCGTATATCATCTTTTCCTTGCAGAGGACAATTCCCCGGAGTTGTTCGCGCAGGCGAAAAGAATTCATTCCCTAATTCCGTATACTCTCCTAAAGAACGTGATTCGGATCGCGAACCCTGCTGCTGTTATGTCCGGTGTTTTGGATCTCTTCCTTGCTCAGCCTTTCGGATCTAGATCTCTTTTACAACGAATTTTCTCGATGGCTATTCATGATGGAATGAAGGCTTTTCAAAAATCAATCGACGCGCTATCAACTAGAATAGGAGATCCTGTGTTGATTGAAAAGCTTCGAGCATTCACATACGCGGATGAAGATTTGAAGAACTATATACGGCAAGAAGCAGAAGATGACGATGTGGATATCATTGTCGCTATCCTGCGCTCGGAACAGATCGACCCGCAATTGAACACAAGTCAAATTGAAAAAATATTCAACTCATACGTTGCTTGGGTCAGTGCGGTTGAGAGTGTAAGAAACGTCGTACTCCGAAAGAATAAACGGCTTTTGACTGATTCGCTATCCAGGTCGAGTTTGGAATGCTGCAAGACGCCCAATGGTTTGCATACTTGAAACAACTGTTGAAATTGTTAACAAGGCAGCGAGACAAAGCCATGATGTTAAACATCATCGAAGAGGTATGTAGGATGCAAAGCCTCCAAGATTGACATACTGATGCATCACAGCCCGTGACTTTGCAACTGTTTCGAGACCTTTTCACTGTGTTCTACGAGCCCCTTGTTCGTGTGTACAAATCCGCCAATGTTTATAACAGCATAACAGACTTTGCAGCATTTGCAAACGATGCGATATCCGTAATTGAGCATGCGCAAAGGCAAGACGTCTCAGCAGACCCGAATCAAACTGTACAAGCGTTTATAGATTTGTGCGTTCGCCATCAGCAAAGTTTTTATAAATTTGTCCATGAGGTCCACGTTCATGACAATGGGCTCTTTGATGCTTTGATGGGTTGGCTGGAAGACATCCTGGGATTCCTCCGCGAGGGCCCGAAAGGCACACTCGATATGAATGCATTGTTCCAAGGAGCCGTATCAGTCAGCCAAATCAACAAAGATGTGGCAATCCAGGAGATTAACTCTCTTGTTAAGTGGCACACAGACCGAAAGAAGTGGCATCATGACAAGACGAAACAGAAAATGGCAGCTGAAGGAGCGTCGATTGAATCAGCGCCTGGAAGCGCCACGTTTAAAAGCAGTGATTTCGGGTTGAACGAGGTACGTTTACTCCCGGCCGCTCTCTATACGCTTCCGCTATAAAGTTGATATTGTGGCTATCTGCTGACAAAATTATCGCAGGCCGACCTTGAAGATCTAGCCATCTCGGATGAGGCATCAGACACTTCCGATGAGGACTCAGCAGATGATGAGCTAGACCCCATCACCGCAGAGCGAAAACGCCGTGCAAAGAGGCAGGATCGCTTGCGGCGCACCGCTGGCGAACCAGTGAAGCCAGAGATTCGAGAAATACTCAAACTCCAAGATTCTTTTACCCAGATGCTGAGACTGGTTTTGGCCGAATAGGGCTTTATTCTAGATCATATATCATTACATTACTTGGGGATGAGGCTCCCTTGGATTTGTAGGGCTGCCTTTGGTTTTGACTCCGGACCTTTATTGTTATGCAAATTATATACATAAAAACTTCCTCTGGAAAACTGGCTAGAGATGGAGGTATAAACAGAGACGAAAGGTCTTTAGTAGTTAGTGTTGAGAATGTACTTTTTGGGCCTTTCCAAAGATAATTTTGATAGTAGTTGACAACTCTTGCAAATTCATGCGTTGTCCGAGAATCGAGATAGCAGTGTGAGACCAACGGAGCAACTGGATGAGCGTTTAAGCGGGCCCTGGCTAAAAATAACGCTTGTGGAGGTGGCGAATTGCGGATAAGGCTGGGGAGGCTTGTTGCCCGAGCTACCCAACTCCAGCCTCCCTTTTTCGCTGTTGGCCTCGAAACGCCCAGCTGCCCAGCGGACAAGATGTCCAAAAGACGGCGAGAGATCGAAGATACCTTCATCAGGGCATACGCACTATTTGGCTGAACGCAATCTTGTTTGGCGTTATCAGTCGTTTCACCGCCGCTACAAGCCCTTGAGAAAAGTCGAGTAGTTTTCCCCGAGTCGCTTCATGTCGGGGCGGGGCCTGTTTCTGAACGGCGAATGGCTCTGCGATTGCATTCCACGCCAGCCTGCGGTGCATCTTCAAACGAGCAATGGTGGGCCGAATGACGGACGATGGTGTGAGTCGTGTTTTTCGTTCGATATTTACGGAGTATAGGACGGGAAGATTGCTGACCACAAGGGGTTGGCCCTGGAATAAATAGTCTACAAGTGCCCCAAATCGCAGCGCAACCGATGCCGATTCTTCCTCTGGGAGGATGAAGCCAGCCGACGTGTGGGACGGACTGCGACGGGGAACCCAAAGCCAGAGCCTCGAAACGCGCAGAACCAAAATCCCCGGACACCAACCATTTCGCGAGTGAGGGAAATCGCTCCGACAGGTTTGCCGACGCCCGAGACGGGTCAGAGGAAGAGAACTCGAGATGGCGATGATGTTGCCGCTCAGAGGGAAGAGAGTCCGAGTAAATCACGGCGTGTCGAGTTGCGCAAAGCTAGTTCGTTTCTGACGAATTGGTTAAACAACCTGAACGAGGGCCAGGGAGGTGATGGTGATGATACCGATGATAAATCCCTTTGGATGGGGCGATGAAATGGATGGGGAAGCGGTTGAGTTGATAGCGAGCCGGGAAAAGACTGAGCACATTGCGCGACCTTCTACACCGGAAGCACAGCTTGATAACCGGCCAGAGCTTGGAGGGTCGAAGGAACATACTGTCCCAAGGAACCATTATCCCCAGCCATCACTGCCCATGCCTCAACCGTCTGCGATGCAGCCTCCGCCTATATCCCTTCCACCCAACCAGGCAAATCCGCCTCCGACGCCGACACCAGTCCGTTTCACACCCACGCCACTTTTCAATAGACATATAAGCCGCTCACCGCGTCACGAATCACAGTGCCAACTCGTCAGCCAGACGCTCGCGCTTCTGGAGGCTCATCGCGTTTTTATCTCCGAAGGCACCAAACGCGAACTGATAAATCTTCTAGAAGTGTTTGATTTGCGGACAGAGGGGATCATCAAGGGGAGAGATATTTCTCGAATGGCGATCAAGACGAGAGACGCGAAGATCCAGGAGCTTCTGGGGAGAATTGAATGTTTGGAAGCGGAACGAGAAACATGGCGAGCTGGAGCGGCGAAAGAGGGGGCTAACGCAGGCTCGAACTTGGATGGAGCATAGTGATATCCTATATATTGGCGTTTTCCTTCTCTCAACTCCGTTTTCTTTTTTTCCTCTTCTTTTATTTGATAAGCAGGCCTAAATAGCACTATTAGTTCAAATGATACCCTTTTCTCGCTTCAGCGCTCTCTGTCTCGGTTCCATTCCGACAATGTTGCTCGCTCAGCGGAATGCTTGGCGGGGATTTGGTTCCGCTGGCGATCTCCCGCTGCCACGTGACTGCGCGGGCTGCTCGAAAATTTCGCGATTTGAATCTTTTGCGCTGTAGATACAGACGAAAATCGAGACTATGCAACTCTTCTGCTTCTAAATACATAACTTGATATCGAATCGCCGAAGCTGCTCCATATACGATCACTGACACACCTCACCAGCTCCCCTCGGACGTCCCCAAACCCAACTCGATCCTACATCCAAGCCATCGCAAGCGGCAAGGAGAAAGCTCAACATAAATGTCCCTGGCTTCCGGCTCCCAGGACAGCCCGACAAACCCTCCCTTCTCTCTGCCCGATCTTTCCCCAGCCATGTTCCGACCGCCCGTCAACCGCGCGATGCGCGTCCTCGATCGATCATTCTTTAAGAAGACCGTGCCCCTCTCGGCGGCGACCGTATTCGACAACAAAAACATATCCCGGGTCAAAAATGAGTTGATGAAGAGTAATGATATGCTTATTTTGCCCCGGATTATGCCCGTCAAAAAACCACAAACGACGAATGAGGGGGATGAGAAGAGGAAATGTCTCCTGCTGAGGGAGGAGGTGAGGGCAGATGGTATGATTCACAATGCAGGATTGGTGGGGATAGATGCTCATGGGTTTAGGTAGACGTCGCAACTTGGTCTCCTACTATCAAAGAACTGGTCGCGGCAAAGTTTGTGGAGGTGAAGCCGTTTGATTTGCACTTGGAGTATGATTATTGGACATATGGTGAGTATACCTGGGTGGCTCTATGCGAGGCAGAAAAGGCTAAATATTTAATCAGCTGATATTATATCCGCGATATTACCCGAGGATGAGCTGGGTGAGGTACCCGTGGGATTCTCGCAGGTTGGCCATATTGCACATCTAAATCTCCGGGACCAGTACCTCCCACACAGACATTTGATAGCGGAGATCCTAAAAGACAAAAACCCGTCGGTCAGAACCATCATCAACAAGATAGATGATGTCGGAGCAACCAGCGAGTTCCGCACGTTTGCGTTCGAAGTTTTGGCTGGCGAGAACGATACAAACGTCATCACGCGCGAGCAAGATTGCGAGTTTTCATTTGACTTTGCAAAAGTATACTGGAATAGTCGACTGAGCACGGAGCATACGCGACTGGTGAGCACGTTCAAAGAGGGAGAGGCAGTGTGCGACGTTATGGCTGGAGTCGGTCCATTCGCCCTTCCCGCTGGCAAAAAGCGGGTATTTGTCTGGGCCAACGATTTGAACCCGCATGGGTATGAAAGAATGGAGCATGGAATCAAGAAAAATAAAGTCCAGGGGTTTGTCAAGGCATTCAACATGAACGGGAGAGATTTCGTCAAATTCGCCGCAAAGGAGCTATACGAAAATGAACCGACTAAAGTCGTCATCAAACCAAAGGTCTCGCGCAATGGATCAAAGGAGCAGAGATCCAAGTCCCCGAGCCGGAATGCGCCTCCTCCTCTGGTCTACACTGCCCCCCGCACATTTGATCACTACGTTATGAATCTCCCGGCATCAGCCATCACCTTCCTGGATAGCTTCATCGGCGTGTATGCCGGCCAGGAACAGCTCTTTGCGCCTCACACCGATCGGAAGCTCCCCCTGATTCATGTGTATTGCTTTTCGACTAACAGCGAGGACGGAGAGTTTGAAAAGCGGGAAATTTGTGAGCGGATCTCCAAAGAGATTGGATTCACAATCACACCCGAAGATTGTGAGGGTGGCATAGGAAATCCTGAAAGAGAAGTGGAGATCAGGAATGTGAGGCTGGTGTCGCCAAACAAACGCATGTTCTGCGCAAGCTTTAGGCTACCAGCAGAGGTGGCGTTCAAGGGAGAGTAGCTAATGGATGGGGTTGATTCGCCGGGTTAAGATTTTGTGACTTGATGTTTGGCTGCATACTTGGTGTTGTGCATAGATATCTTTGGTATTATTTTGATCTACGCATAGATTTTATTCCTCTTCATGCGCAAGGATACTAATAACAACAAGAATAACACGCTTAGAATTGTAAGGGTATTAAATCGGTCTATTCTTTTAGATCACACAATACCAACTTTGGACCAAAGCAAAAGACGCCTTAATGATGCAGTTTTCAAGTCCAGCCCCGATCCATAAACTCCTCCGAGTAGCGGGCTTGCAAAATTCCATTGCTTCGACAGAACGCGGTCCACAATAGCGCTATCGCTGGGGTCCGGATAATATCAAGCATTCAATCCTGGCACATCACTCCATCCCAGATATCGCCAGGTTCGGACTCTGGGGCCGCCATTTCTCCAAACAATTTCTGTGGCGGCTGTTAATTGAACCTGTCGTGAGAAATCGCTCTCTTCAATCAGCGGCACTTCCACAGAGTCCTGTATGCAGCGTATCTCAAATCACTCGACGAAATTTCTCAGCTTTGTCAGTTCATCTAATAACTCTTGTAGGTCCGCATCTGATATTTTATTTCCGATGCTTGGAATAAGGGCTTTCGCTTCCTCCGCGTTATCGCAACATAAACTTCCTGTCTACAATCAGCAACGGCTTGGAAGCAAAATGATTGATGGGTGGGTTCGCTACCTAGCTGAGACCTCTCGAAAAACTCCAACTCCGTGTGGGCGGATAATAACCGTTCAACAGCTTCAATGTTTTCTTTCTCTTTAAACCGCGCGAAAACTTCAAGGTAGTCTTGGGTTTTTATCAACGTCCTAGTAGTGCAGCATTAGCCATGGGGCCCGCTCATTCCTTTCGCTCCCCTCCCCCAGTGTTGCAGGGTGTGCTCACTCCCTCTCCTCGTATTTATTATTCGATTTCTTCCTCAGGTCAAGGACTTTGTTGATCACCAGTCGAGCTTCGGAAAGAGATAGCGTCGGCACGTTTTGGAACTCGCCGAGTTTCAACTGAGAGGACGCTTCAAGTTCGTTCTGCGGGAGCTCGCGCTTGCGATGGGTGGGATCAGGGACAGGAGTGGAACCCATGGTCCTAGTGCCGACTTGTTCAGCAGGTTTCTATCTCTTTGCCCCCCTTGGTTTTTAGTGCTGCCAGCTGTCCGTTGCTCAGAGCACCGAGCACGCTTTGTGACGAGGGTGTGTCTGTGATGTCGATTCGATTCAATGGAGCTGATTTCCGCTCCGCCATCGCATTGTGTTATATAAGCGGACGCTAACCGGATTTGGGTTAGCATGGCTACAGGTCCTTGCACGCGCCAAGCCCCGCTCAATCAAGCAGTTGAGAAGCACATCCAAGGACCAACGACTGTGAGGAATGCTCTCTGTTGCTGCAGCGAGATGAATCGTCCTGCTGGGCATCAGCGTTTGCTAGCCTGGCGAACTTGTAACATGGTGTGATCAGCCATATTGACTGGCCGGATCACTCGAGCTCCAACTCCTCCTGTTTGCTGGCCCTCTGGGCCTTGTGGATTGGTCAGAGAAGATGCAGCGTTTCGGTGGCATTTCCCGGTGCAGATCTCGAGCTTCTACTCGCTGCTCTAGGCGCCACCGCTTTGCTAACCGAATATGTAGTCCGTTCAGGGTTGATTTGTTGTATGCGGGGAAAGCCGTTGGTTGAAAGCTGGGCTGGGCCGAGGATGGTGAATTCCGACGCTCCCGCCTGGGATGCGGAGTACGCTTTAGGCACTTGACTCTCGTTTCTTTTTTTGTCTTGCCGCAGAGCAATCCAACGAACTATAAAGTGTGTTGTGTGCTCGACTAAGTTACCGTGCCTATAGTTACGAGGTTCCTCGGTTCCCTCACTAACTACCTCTTTCGCAGCCATAGCAACCAGCACTAGAACAACACAATCGGGTTCCCTGTATAAATCCTAACGGAGCTTGGGTTTTTTGACACAATATCGAACATTCTGTGAAAGCAATCATCCACTCTTGATCGAATTGACAACAATGGCAGCAAATAGGTACATTGGGCCGGAGTCTCCTGATATTCATAGCAAATATCAGCCGACAGATAGCCACATCTTCTACAGCCCCTACGGTCCGTTTCCCAAGGTCGACGAGAACCTGAATATCCACGACTACTTGTTTCCTCCAGGTCAACCGTTGGCACCCGACTACGATCTTTTCATTGATGCCAATACAGGAGCCAAGGTAACACTACATCAGTTCTACCATAGAGTATGCGCTCTGTCACGAGCGTTGCGATATGATGGGCCCAATCCGGTCGGGCTGGCAAAGTCACCGAGGAACGATCGGGAAGATGGAGAAATCCTGGGAATCTTTGCGAAGAACCACTTGTCATGGCCGCTCATCTCACACTCATGCTTCCGGGCTGAGCTGGTTTTCGGGGGGATTAGCCCCAACTCGACACCGTATGAGCTCTACCACATTATGCGCAAGATGCAAGCAACGTCTGCTGTCGTCCACGAATCGCTCCTCCCGGTGCTCCACGAAATGTTGGAGAAAGGGACGCAGGCAGGGGATGATAGCAACCTATCCTTCGTTCTCGACCCGAAAAAGATCATCGTTATATCTGACAATCCTGCACTGGATTTTGTGGGTGGTTATCGAACGGTGGAGAGCCTTGTTCGGCTTGGAGAAAGGCTGCCTGAGCAAAATAGGAAGCTCAGTGGAGGGGACAACCTGTGCTACCTTTTCCAATCGTCTGGAACATCTGGGTTCCCGAAAGCGATGATGATCTCGCACAAGAATGCGATTCATACAGCCATGCAGGGTATGATTACTGCGACAAGAACAGGTGAATTTGTATGTCCCACAGCCTAGTTCACTTGGGGTTGTTGAGTGACTTACAATTAACAGCTTGGCATGGCCCCGACACATACAGTTGTGCTAGGTAAATCCCAGCCCTGGGAGCATAAAAGTATTAAGGAGCATTCGCTTACCTCCGTTTAGGAATCATCCCAGCGTACCATTCGTTCGGTATGATTCTGTGGACGCTCCGAGTAAATCTCAACCCGTCGACCAATATACTCATGTCGAAGTGGAATTTGGAGCAAGCTCTTCAACTTATACAGAAATATAAAGTTACCATGTTGCCCCTGGTTCCGCCTCTGATCAGGCAACTGGCGCAGTCCCCGCTTACGGACAAATATGATCTTTCGTCGGTGGCTGCTGCTATTAGTGGAGCTGCGTATTTACCTCCCGACGTGGCGTATGAACTCGGGCGGAAACTACCACAGCAAACTCCAGTTCCCTCGGGCTATGGGCTCTCTGAAGCAGCATCCATTGCATCGCCGATTCTAGAAGGGATGTTTGGTCTCTCGCGCTCCGATCCTGGTACTATTGGATTCCTGCTTCCTGGTGTAGAAGGTCGCATCGTTGATCCCGATACACTTAAACCCGTTCCCAAAGGCTCAAAGGGCGAGCTCTGGGTTCGAGCAAATGTTGTCACGCCAGGCTATTTCCGCGATGCCAAGGCGACCGCTGAAATCTTCACGGAGCCGGGTTGGCTGAGGACTGGCGATCTTGTCATGCGGGACTCTGAAGATAGGCTTCATTATCTTGATCGCCTCAAGGAGATGATCAAGGTCAAAGGGCTTCAAGTGGCAGCAACCGAGGTCGAGGATACTCTCCTTTCCCATCCAGACGGCCTTGTTAAGGATGCATGTGTGGCCGGCGTGGACAACGGTCGCGGAGATGGTAGTTTGTTCCCTCGAGCGTGGGTGGTTTTGTCGGAGAAAGGCAAGCTCAGAAATGAAAGCGCTGTTATCCAACAGCTTGATGAATTTGTCAAAAGTCGGCTTTCGAGGCATAAGCACTTGGCTGGAGGACTTGAAATCGTGGATGCGGTGAGTGGCTAACTACCTCTATTTAATCCCCTCAAGTTCGATGCTGATGGGACTCTTGCACTCGTAGATACCGCGGACTCCGTCGGGGAAGATGCTAAGGAGGGAGATGCGTGATCGATATCACGCCAGAATCAAGGCAGAAAAGCAAAAGGCCAAACTGTAGACTGCGGCTGAATATCGGCCTACAGGTGCTTACTAGTGTCATAGATCGTATAGGCACTTTCCATAGAACGTAGTCAACAAGCAATTTTACCACTGTCAGACGGAATATATATAGTACTGAAAAATACCCCATCGATACCTGCAGGATTTTGACATTGTTGGTGGCTGGACTGCCGACTGGGGAACCCCTGAGACCCCAGTCTGCTCCATCGATGATATCACCAGCCACCGCAGATGGTATTTTTAGCATGTGCTCCGTACTCCGAACCCGTCGGCGTGGGTGGAACGAATTGGAGTCCAAACCAGAGTGTATTCGATGTAGATGATTATCCTAACTTTCGGACGCACCCAGAGCCCGTTTTTGACCGGGTTCCTGGAGGAACAGCGGGCGTTAACCATGGATTGTCTCAAATCTAAAAGCCCATCTCTGGACAGCCCGTCTCACCGGACCATATGGTAGGGTCAACGTGGCAAGCCATGTCTCCAACCTGTGGCTGCGGCCGTGAAGACACCTACCCATCTGCGATCGCCCTGTCGGTTTCACGATGCCAGCCCTCGCACTTGAAGCGAGCACACCAGCAGATTCTCTGAAACAAAATCTCACCAGCATGTCACGTGCAGCACCAGCTGGATGCAGCCTAGCGCCGTTGCTAGCGGCATCGCAAATGAACCACAACAAGAAGCGGTTGCCAGCTGCATGGAGAGCTGCTCTTTTTTCCTCTTCAACCACCGCGCTGCGTTCTGTTGTTGCCGTTTCCTTGTTCCCACTCCTTTGCTGTGCTTCCTTGATGTTCCTGTGCTCTGCTGCCCGTGCCCGACGCGACTGTTGCTTGTGGACGCCTGTTTCTCCCGCGATATTGCCAGCCGCTCTAGTTTCTCCAAGTCGGTGAGCGAGGGGGTTGAGGTCGATGTGCCCTTTGCATGCCAAGCTACTTCGCCGCCCTCCCATCCTCCTCTTGACCCCAGCAGCCGTTACCAACCCTTCCTGGCCTTGACCAAACAATCTCTTGCAGGGTCACTGTCGGGAGGGTCAATTACTCAAACATTGGAGTGCGTCGCGGTTTAGCCTCTCTCTCTCTCTCTCTGCTTGTCGCCCTCACGTCGCGTCTCCCTTGTCGCCGTCCCTATCACAATCACTCACTGGCTTCTCAAGCTTCCCCCGTTCTCTCTGCCTTCCGGAACATCTCATTCAAGAGAGCGGCGATTGAATCTCACAATAGCACCCTCAATCACAACGCTCGCTCAAATTACGGAGACTCGTCGATCATTGACCGTTCCTGCTTAGCCGCCCGCTGACCAAAACTCGCGCGATTTCTCTCCCTTTTCTCGAGCCCTCTTTTTTTCCCTCGAATCACCCCTTCAGACCACGATCGCTCCACAATCCTTTCACACATACTAAACTACATCGCTCTACGAACCTGATATCTACGGCACTTCGGGGAGGCCATCGCTAGCGGAGATGCCTCCACCGGCAGGACATCAAATTCCTGCGGAATTAATCCCTGGCGGCGCACGAAATGGGGGGCTACAAACTAATAATATGAACTCGGGGATGTACGGCGACAGTTATCAAACCCATTCACCAACAGATATGGCAGACGCGAATACAGGTTCCCCGTGGGCAAACACGTCTTCTGCTCCACATACTGAGGTACAAGACAATCGCCTAGGAAGATCTCAAGAAACCGGGTATGGTCCGAGAGATATCGCTCCCCCACGTGACCGATCTCGTCCAAATGGCCCAGCAGGTGGTAAATCGCCAGGGAGCTCTTCGAGGACCTGCCGCAAATGTGGAGAACCGCTCCTGGGTCAGTTTGTTCGTGCTTTAGGTGGCACGTATCATCTAGAATGCTTCCAATGTCATGTAAGTATCGAAATATTTCCTGTTATTTGCGACGAACGCTTTTCTAACGTTCGTGCCAGGATTGCGGAGACATCGTCGCATCCAAATTTTTCCCTGTTGATGCCGAAGATGGAAGTGGACAGTACCCACTGTGCGAAACAGATTATTTCAGACGTTTGAACTTGTTATGTTTTGATTGTGGTGGTGCACTCCGTGGGTCATATATCACTGCCTTGGACCGAAAATACCACATTGAACATTTTACATGCTCTGTCTGCCCAACCATCTTCGGCGCGCAGGATAGTTACTATGAGCACGAGGCCAAAGTATACTGCCATTATCACTACTCAACGCGATTCGCCCAAAGATGCCATGGCTGTCAAACGGCCATTCTTAAACAATTTGTTGAAATCTTCCGCAATGGCGAGAATCAACATTGGCACCCAGAGTGTTACATGATCCATAAATTCTGGAACGTCCGCTTGGCACCACCAGAACAACGATATGAACCACCCGAATTGGACGTCGACGCTCCTCCAGAAGAACGGGACCGCGTTCGAAAAGAGGAAGACGATATGGAGGAGAAGGTTTACCGCATCTGGAGTGTACTATCGGCTTTTGAAGAGTCTTCGGCCCAATGCATTTCGGATATGTTGTTGCATGTTAGCAATGGCGCTTATATTGACGGAGTCGTTGTCGCAAAGAAATTCATTTTCCACGTGGAAATCATATTCAAAGCCACTGATAGACTTGCTGCTGTCGTATTGGCGCAAGGAACTATAGGTACGATATCCATCCTTGTGTATTTTACACGAACCTTCGAACATTAATATCCATTTTTTAGACTTGTCATACGCTCGAGAGGCTAAACTACTCTGCAAAAAGATCGTTGCTTTCTTTGCACTGCTTTCGAAAACTCAGGAAACCGGCGTTCGCAAACTTGGGGTGACACAAGAACTACTTGCTCTGGTTACCGGATTGGCCCATTATCTTAAACTCCTGATTCGTATTGGGTTGCAAGCCGCCTTGAAATATGAGCGAGAAGCCACGACGCCCGCAGAGCTTTTTAAATTCTTAGGGCAAGTTGAGGACCTGGAGGGCGTCAATAAAATCTCCGCTACTGAACTGACGGCCAATGTTGAGCGACTTGCAAACCAACAATCGGACTGCTGCGCTGCTTGCCAGGAGCCTATTGACGATGAATGTATTATTCTTGGCGAGAGATTATGGCATAAAAAGCCTCCTCATCTTGTCTGCGGCGCTTGTCAGGATGATCTCACAATGGACCTATCGCGTGCTCGTTGGAGTGAGAAACATGATAGGCCGTTTTGCCGTGCATGTGCCGAACAGAGAGGCCATGACCCTCAAGCTGTTGGCGGATTTTCGTATGTCACAAAACTGCAACAATACGTTTTCTTGTTGCACGTGGCTCTTGCAAGACTTCTCGCTGTTCTCCGGTCCGGAGGCACATTGCCACATACATCCGGTACGGCTTACTCAATATCCCTGTCTTCTTCGCTTCCTACTAATATACCTTTCTCTTAGATGATCCGAATTTGAATCAATATGAAGCGAATGACGGACACAGGGTTTCCGCTACAGGCGAATTGCAATCTCCTCCTCAAAGATCTAATACCAGGTCGAACTCGTATGCAGAAGCATCGAAGGGCACTGCGCCGTCTTCTTTGGAACAGACTGTTGGGGAGATGAGGAGACTCCGTTCTACCCGCAACGAACGAGCGATTTCTACTACATTTAAAAAGGCTCGAACTTCTCGTATCATTGATGGCCCACAAGGAAGTACTGCAAGACCTGGATCTTCTGGCGCCGAAGGTGGTGATTCACGAAATCCCGGTTTCCAAATTGTCGAGGAGAGAGATGTCGATGGCGAGCCGGTGACAGATCTGACGTTCGGCAATCAAGATGCTTTGACCCTTGATGATATCCCCCGGATTGTAGCAGCTGAACAGGCCAAAGAGTACCGCCCGAGGGCTTTCAAACACGCCGGAACAGGACTTGTAGCTTCAGGTGGCCCAGCACCAAAAATCAAGCAAGGCCATCAACGCGAGGTGTCAAGTGCAGATGATAGACAGGGACAACAACCCCCGAAACCCACAAAATACTTTTCCGAATTATCGGCTCTCGAATATTTTATTGTTCGCCACATCGCTGTACTCTCTATGGAACCTCTCCTTGAGGGACATTTCAACCTAGAAGAATTGCTCGGCCTTATTGAGTCAAGAAAACCAACGATCTGGAATATTTTCGGTAAGGCGTTTAAAAATGACAGCCGCAAAGGCGGGAAGAAAAAGGGCGTTTTTGGCGTGAATCTGGAGCAGTTGGTCGAGAGAGATGGTACAGAATCGACCCATGGTGTTGGCCCTGGTACCCTTCGTATTCCAGCCTTCGTTGACGATGCCATCTCGGCCATGCGACAAATGGATATGTCAGTGGAAGGCGTGTTTCGAAAGAACGGAAATATCAAACGACTGAAAGATACCACTGAATTGATCGATACGAGATATGAGGCGGCGGATTTAAATAGAGAGACACCTGTCCAAGTGGCCGCGCTCCTCAAGAAGTTCCTTCGGGAAATGCCAGATCCTCTTCTCACGTTTAAACTGCACAAACTATTTATCGTCTCTCAAAGTAAGCTTCAATTTCTTCAAATCAACTTATGTATCATTTACTAACGCGTTATATTTGCAGAAATATCTAACCCTGAAAAGCGAAGGCACATCTTGCACCTTGCCTGTTGCTTGTTGCCAAAATCCCACCGTGACACCATGGAGGTGCTCTTTTCTTTCCTCGGGTGGACTTCGTCATTCTCGCATATCGATGAGGAGTCTGGAAGCAAAATGGATATTCACAATATTGCGACTGTCATGACTCCAAATATCCTTTATTCAAATAATAAAACAGCAGGTGTGGACGATAGCTTTCTGGCCATTGAAGCTGTCACTTCCCTGCTAGAGTACAATGATACAATGTGTGAAGTGAGTGCGGTTTTTCATTTTCCATCTGGAGGCTTTTGGTCATGCCGACTAATATGAACACAGGTGCCAGAAGACCTCCAATCTATCCTCAATGACACTTCCCTCTTTAACCGTGATGCTGAGATCACCACAAAGGAGATTCTCAAGCGCTATGCAGAAATTGGAAAAATGCCCGCTCCAAATCGCACTACCACTGGGCTAGACTCGCTTCCTGCTCGTTCAGGATCTAATCGCGGAGGCAATACACCTGTTGCAACTCGAATTGATGGAGATCCATCGCAAGCTACCGCTTGGCAGAAGCAAAGGTCCGTTCGGCACGTCCAGCCTCATCAGGCAAACGATGGCTCCGAACTTCGTCCAAATCCACAGCCTATTCGCAGCGACAGTGGTGACAGTTACCACAGCCAGGGATATACACAACACAATCACCAGCAGATGCCTTACAGAACTCGCCAACCTGTTGGGCAGTCAGGTATTTAAGGTCACTTGTTAACGCTCAAGGCCCTTTCTCGATTTCTCCGTCTCCCTGGTCTTTCTTCAGCTAGCATTGCAAGTTTGAAAATGTTGTTTTTCCTGTGGCTCTTTGATATGGGGTGGTGTCTATTTGGTCTGTTGTCAGCTGGCTTGCCGGTTACATTATGATACCTTGACAGATTTTGTACCACAAGGTAAGGTAAAAGCCAGATGAAATCACAAAGTGGCCATGTCTCTTTCACTTTTATGCATTTTGTGTATCCTGGTTTTTTCGGGGACTTAGGGTCTGGCTTTTGTCCTTTACTGCAGTCCATCTCCACCTTATCCCATCACCTTGCCCGCACTTCACTGACTAGTTTTGCTCTTCTTGTTTTGCCCTCTACATTCTTCACTTGAGTCTAACCCCCTCCCCTGCCCTCCTCCTATTCCTCCTGTATGAGTCTTAATGATACTTCTTAGCCTGCACCATTGCTCCCCCTCCAAGGTCTGCGGTTTTACTTACAGTTCGCCTTTTTTTTAATTCCCGATGATTTCACGACAATCAGCACCTGGTTTTGCCCTCAAATATTTACCCCGAAAAAAAAATTCCCTTGGTTTTGCCTATTCCCGTGCCGAAATCAGCTAGTTTCAATGTCTTTTCAGTCAGGCCATACTGGGTTCACTTCTATTCCCGCTTTCTACACTTTCTGAGCAAGCAAGGGGCGTTTCTAATACACATGTCCAGAGTAAAATAATGAGCTGTTCTTTTCTGTTTTGCGTTCTCCTTCTTCTTTTTCTTCTTCTTCGAAGCAAAGACTTCATGCTGCCATGCAATCAGATTCTCCACAGTCAAGATCGCTGGCATGCTTTTTACATACCCTTATTTTTCTGCACTGCATCAAACCTCTTTTTTTTTCCGTTTTGCCTCTACTACTTTTGAAAAATACCTATCTTTCTGCATAATTGTTGGAGTCTATGCTTTCACTTCTTCATGCTAGTTTTGTAATGGTTCTTTTCGACATTTGAGGATAGGCAATTGAATGCAGGTGCAATAATAATTCTTGACGCTGTATTGAATATCGGTATCAATTAAAGCGCTAGCTAATATGTCGTAGAGGGATCAACAATGACAACCTGCTCACTTCTACCTATCTAGTATTGGCAAGGAGCATGTAAAGTTATGCAGAAAAGTGAGATTCCGGTAACGTGTGCATTTTAATTTACGGTATCAACATACTAACCCAGATACAAATATCAAAACACCCCAAGTCAGTATACTCCTTTATATGCTAAACTTTCTTCTAGTCACAGTTCAATCCCATCAAAACTAAAAGCTCACAAAGGTTGTGAACTCGACAGTAGTCCCCTCACGCCCTATTTCGAAGCACTCTTCTACCTGCTGCTGGCTGCTCAGCCGCTAAACCCCTTCTTGTTCCAGCTGCTGTCTTCTTTGCGTTCGATGCAGCGGTCCCCGTTTGACCCCTTGGCGCTGTCGTTTTCTTGGTAGTAGATGTGCCGGTGCCTGCAGCCGCCTTCTTCGCGGCAGTAGTAGTACCGGACCTAGTAGGCCGTACTATAGTAGTACCAACCGATATATTTGACGCCGTCGTGCTTGTGCTAGCAGACCGCGTATGCTGTTGCCGGGTTGCCGGTCGGGAAATGGTCTTTCGCGTTGTGCCTAGCGCTCCCATTGCCGACTTTGCTCCCGTACCTCTTTTCATTCTCACTGACGCAGCGCTGGATGGACGCTTACTTGCTGGGCTATTTTGCGGAGAAAGGATCTTGCGAGCAGTGCCTCTGCTCGCATTCGCCTTGGTATTTTCGTCTAAATTCCCGTAGCTGGGTTTCAAAGGTGATATGTATGGCTGCGGTTTTACAGGTGATTGTTTCAGTGGGGACTGCGGAAACGTCCTCGAGTTCGATGATTTAGGAGAAAGTACGCTTCCTTGTGCATGTTGGGAGATTACTCGCGCAGTCCCTCCCTGGGCTCCGGCTTTGCCACGTCTCTTCGGGTTAGCAAGAGGTATATTCATGGACTCGAGACAAGGTGCATTTTCCTTGTCAGACGAGTGGATTTCATCACTAGAGCTGGTTAGTAAGGACATCAACTGGCGATATTACTCGAACCCACGTTTTTCGTTTAGCCAACTTGGTGGCCTTGGTTGCCGGTCGTTTCCCAGAATTTCTAGATACTTTGTCCGACTGGGCGGACATTGGCTTCGGGAACATTGCCGATTTTTTGAATGGAGAGGGGCTCCCGGTCATTTTCGGCGTGCCCGTTTTCGAGGCTGCTGCCTTGGATTCCTCCTGGTATTTTGCCAATAGTTCGCCCATAGATTTCTTACGCAGAGCCATTGGAATACGGTTTATTCGTCGTTCGATTCTCGATCGTAAATCTTGGGCCTGCAGCGCATAATGTGCGCGAAGATTACGCGCGCGTTCCGTGACTGCGACAGATTGTCAGCGAAATACGTACGCCAGGGGGGGACGTTCTAATGAGTCGAAAGCGTACTCTCCAGTTGCAAGTTCTCTATCAATGCTTGCTTTTGCCGCTGTGTCATCCTTATTTTCTTCCTTGGTGGGCTCCCCATGGGTGTTCGCGCTTCATCATCAGACGCGTCTGGTTCTGGGGTCCTTCGCTTTCTTGCCTGGAGAGCCATGGTGATGTGTTAGATTAGAGAGATAGTTTATCAGTAGCTTGTGTTTGTGACTAGCAGAGTATGTGCTGTGTGCTCGACAAGGGGCTCTCCTTCAACATGCGAGATGTGTGTGAAAGATGGGATGATTTGGTGCAAGTTTGGGGAGCAATGTAAACAATGCCAAGACCCTAGTGACGAGATGGCCGAGCTTCAGCAGTCTAAACCTGAATGGGGATAGCCCGGGTTGGCCTGGACAAGCAAGCAGTTCACGTCCTCACAGCTCTCCTGCGCACCAAGAGAGATAAACCAGACACCAGAAGGCACGGCTTGTTGACAAGTTCTTTGATTTTATCTAGCTGCTATTGGAGATCTAGCCTTATTCTTTTGTAAAACAGCCAGAGCTATCTATCATCCGGCAAGATGACGCTGGAGGCGACGATGATCATGTATGTCGACCTCCATTTCCTTAACCGCGCACTGGGTACCAAGCTAACATATCCGGTTCCAGTGTGGACAACAGCGAGAGCAGTAGGAATGGGGACTACTTGTGGGTTCGAACTGACCGTCTCCGCGGTTGTCAAGCTAATGAACACGGATAGACCAACGCGATTTGAAGCCCAAGCCGACGCTATCAACCTGGTGCACTCTGCGAAAACACAAGCAAATCCTGAATCATCTATTGGTTTGATGAGTATGGGCGGAAGCGGTCCAGAAGTTCTGGTCACTTTTACCGCGGATATAGGCAAGATCCTGGAAGGGCTTCATCGAACGAAGATACGGGGAAATGCGCATCTTTCTTCCAGCATTCGAGTTGCACACGTGAGTATGCTAGACTAATGCGATTTTCTCAGTGCTGACTTGCTTCATCTTTACTGTAGTTGGCACTAAAACATCGAAAAGAGAGAGCGCAACGGCAACGCATCATTGTTTTCACATGCTCCGCCATTTCGGAGGACGAGAAGTCCCTCGTCAAGCTCGCAAAGATGATGAAGAAGAACAATGTAAATGTTGATTTCGTTGCATTTGGCGATCTAGATTCGGACACGATCAAGAAGCTCGAAACCTTCCACGAGAATGTTAATAGCGGAAACGGTTCACATCTTGAGATAATACACCCAGGTCCAAATCTCTTGAGCGACTCTCTGGTCGCCACGCCAATCATTGGTGGGGAGGCTATGGGTGGCCGTGAAGGGGAGGAAGGGGGTAGTGGTTTCGAGTTTGGCATCGATCCGTCAGCAGATCCTGAACTCGCCTTTGCTTTACGAATGTCTCTCGAGGAGGAGAAGGCACGACAAGAAAAAGAGAAGGCAGAACAAGAGAAGGCTTCTCTGGAAGGAATCCCAGAAGAGTCACAGCCACTTCTTAATCAAAGCGGTGAACCTAGCGGGAGCAACCAAGGTCCACCTGGCGATGATCAGAAGGATAAAGGAGACAGTGGAGACAAGATGGACACCTCATGATGGTCGTTAATAGATTAGGTTCCATATCTATTTAGAATCTCTATTCTCGATGCATCCTTGGAGTTAGCGGTACGGGCCTGTATCATGAAGCGCAATCAGATGGCAATAATGTCAATTAGATTGCGAAATTTCTGGCCGCGCCGCACCCACGAGCCTCGTCTCACTCCGATATCACATATCTACATCATTATCCCCGACTTCTCAACCATGTCCCCAGGTGTCGGTCAAAGGCCTCGCATCTCACTGGCATCTCCATCTGGTAAAACGGATTCTTCATCACATAATCTGCGTACAGCTCGTAAATCTTGCGTATCATAGGGTCGACATTAGGCATCACCGGGTCAGTGAAGAGAAGGAATTTAGTGCCCGTCACGGTTTGGAAGCATGTTAAGCGGAACTTTTCGGATTCGAGGACCTCTAGGCCGGATTTGGGGAGGCCCGGGTTGGGGAGAGATGAATGAGTCGGGGTTGCGGCGCCTGGGCCTGATGCAGATGTTGAAGACGACGACGTGATTCGTGGAGTGAGGGAGCGAGTGATAGCGTGGACACTGAAGAGAGAGAGAGGAAAAGTAGGCTCTTGTTAGTTCACGGCTCATGTCCAGTCACCTGGCGCTGGAATGCCTACCCGTGAAAAGTACCGGCGAGGACAAGGTAATCGTTCGTGGAGAGCTTTTGGAGTCCGGCTTGGAACTCGCGCTGGTAGATCAGGCCTCCAGCTTTGTTGATGATGACCAGAGAAAAGACAACCCTACGATGTGGCAGATATTTCAGCATTCGCGGTCTTTCAATATGCTCACACGCAGGCTTGGGTGGACTCACATTGCGGTTGGTGTCGGGTCACGGTTGCGTCCTGCCGTGACGTGAGGCGCAATGGCGGCCAAGTTGCGATCTTGCGCTCACCGAGCCTCTCTGAGTCATGGGTTAGTTACCTAGCCCGATGAGTTGGCGTCATGAATGGAAGGCTGGCTGCATGTCACTGTTCTTGCAGCTGGAGCATCCCAATGCTCTTGGGATGGTCGGAATAAACTACACAGCCCTAGAGAAAGAGTGGACCCTGGTCGTGGTCTCCAGCCAATAGATGCCTGTCAACTCAATAGAACCGCTTAGTAACCAGTGTTAGTCACCAGTTTTTAGTGTGCTCCTTCCAAGCAATGAGAGGTCACAGTAATAATAGATTGGAGATCCTGAATATCCAACACTCAAGAGCGTTTATCTTCCAGCAATCTAAATGCACTCCGCTCAAATCTGCGTCGTATCCAAGGCAGACCCGGGAATCAATATATTAGCGGGTGCCTAGGTAACCGCCCCGCAGTCCCGCAGCTGAACCCAGTCAATGCATTTGCCTGAATCCAGATTCACAGTTATTGATCCTCCGTACAGAGTAATTACTGCTTTGTCCAATTCGAGATCTTGTAAGCGCTGCCTTGCTCTCAAGGGTGTATTTTAGGCATCATTAGGACTTGCAGCTCCCCACCCTGGTACAACCCGTCATGTGAAGTCCTCCGCGAGCCTCTCGAGTCCGTTGACTGGTTTCATGCGAGGGCGCGAGGTGGAGGGATGTTGGCCCTGGACAGGCTGCAGACTCAGTGCAGAGCGCCTCGTCCCAGCGGCCATTCCTGTCAGAGTTTAGCGTTGGTGAGACAAGGACATCGACAAGCGGACTTTTTGGTCACCAGCAAACCCATCCGTTTTGTTTCATCGAATTCCAGTTGGGGGCAGAAAGGGTCTGCAGAGTTTATTTATTCACAGCCAGGGGTTTTATCTGGAATCCCATTCTCCTCGCATTTGCTCCTGCCGCTCAGTAGCTCTGACTTGCATGTTTGGCGGGGAATGAAGTCTGCAGCTTCACAGCCGATGTTAGCTTGAGAGGGAACTGAACAAACTTGCCGGTTCCGATGTATCAATGTCATCACTTTAAAGCAAATCACCGAACATCCACCTGCAGGTCTTAGGAAGGCTGCTCTCTTTAGGCAGCGAAGCCCTTTGTTCTTGTCATCTCTATCTTGGTCTCCTCAATTTTCACCTCATCGCGCTGGCTATAGCAGCATCCTCATTGACATCAGCTGGTTGAACACATTGTCTGATTGACTATAATGTGTTCGTTCTGTCTGATTAAACACCCTCGCATTGCCATCTGATATCCAAGCCCTAAAGGAACACCACTCTCAGCTTTTTCACAACTACCAACAACCACCCAAGCAAAATGGCAAATCAGGCCATTTTACGAATTGGCCGGGTAATTTCCCTTTCTATCGGCGAGAGATTCCTTACTGCTTGCGTTTATCTGGTTTTTCCTAACTTTTCGAGCTTCGATATAGGAAATCAGTCAACTGCAGCAAGGAACAGATCTATGTACGTCTCCTTCGCTGTCTTCCAAGGCCTTGAAAGAAGCTAACCACGATGCAGCGCTCGCTGTCGCCTGTCAGGAAGAGGACATCCGTAATGTCAAGGCTTTGATCATCGGACCTGCGGGGACTCCTTACGAGTTTGGCTTTTTTGAGGTTTGATGCATCCTCTGTTTCCAAGTGTGCTGGAGCTGACGTTTCATTTGTAGTTTTCCATCAAGTTTCCTAAAGGTACAGAGCCAGGCCGTTGGATGTCCTTTTGGCCATGATACTCACACAGCTTTCTTTCTATAGATTACCCGGCAAGCCCTCCAAAGGTTGAGTCGGTTACTACAAATGGAGGTCGCTGCCGATTCAATCCTAATATTTACGCTTGTGGGAAAGTTTGTCTGTAAGTTCTCTGGCGCCTTATATCTGCCATTCAACTATCACGTCTAACACATGGTCATCATAGATCTATTCTAGGGTAGGAGCTCTCGAATTTGCCATGTTTACTAGACAATAGTCAAAACTAATGGATACTAGTACTTGGCGAGGTGAAAGCGGAGAGCAATGGTCCTCAGCCCAGGGGTTGGAATCTATCCTGATTTCCATCCAGAGCCTGATGTCTGCTAACCCATATGAAAATGAACCTGGATATGAAGACGCTAAAGGAGAAAACGATTTGAAGTCGATCCCCAAGTATATCGAAAAGGTAGCTTCTCAAAATCCCCAATAGCCTTTCCTTCATATAGCTGACACTCTTGTAGATATATCATGAAACGATACGCATCTCCGTGATACAGCGCCTTGAGGACGCACTGGGAATTCAAGCAGACGGATCTTTAGTTCTGCCACCTGGGAACTCACCTGGCGATTTGGATGAGGATGCGGACGAAAACCCACCATTCGAACCATTTCATGATCTTTGCAAGAGACGCGTACTTTGGTATTATGAATCCTACCTGAATATCATCAAAGAACAAGAATCCAAAAACGCTGTCGGCACCCGCTTTGAAAGAATGCCTTTTGAAGGCGGTGGAAACACGATGGACGGCCGTTTCAACTACCCGGATCTGAAAGCACGCCTCGGTGTCATTAAAGACGCCATCATGCAAGAGACTGAAAATTGGGAGACTGAGGGCCTGAAAGCGAAAGCCAACGATACCCGAATTTCCGTTAGTTTGCAGCGACAGTACGAACAGATCATAGAAGATCTGAAAGAAAGGAATAATATTACTCTTGACATTGCCTTTGAAAATGATAACCCGTTTGTTTGGAAATTGACCTTTTTTGGACGACCTATGACCAATTTGGACGGCGGCATCTTCAATATCAAGGTTAGTCTCAGTCCGAATTTCCCTGACGAACAGCCTCGTATCTTCGTTCAGACACCTCTGTTCCATCATCGGGTTTCAAAGGATGGCGTTCTTTGCTACTTCTGCAGGAGACCGGAAGATATGAGATCGCACGTCGAGGCTATTGTAGAAGCCTTGGAGGATGAAGCACCACGCTATGACCCACGCGCAACGGTTAACCCAGAGGCTTCCGAATTGTTTTGGGGCTCGCCAGAGCAGAAGAAGCAATATAACCGTTTGCTTAGGCGCGCAGCACAACGCAGCACGGAGTAAGTAACACATCAAATACAATCAAATCGCCTCAAATTTCCCGTTTCTGTTGACATGCTAACTTCAATCTTTTTTCAGGGAATAAAACAACGGAATCGAGTCCGGCGACCAACTTCTATTTTCATGATCCCCACGACTTTTGCAAAATCCCCTTTGGTTTTTCCATTCCCTAAATTCGACATAGACTGTTTCACTTTCTATGAAGAGTCATAAACCGGGAGCAATACATGGCGTGAACTGTTCTTTATGAATGCACTTCGTTTGACAGCCAGTCAATGCACGTTTTCCTACATCTTGTTCAGCCCAGGAGGAACTGAATGAGGCATCAGTTGGTTGTCTTTGATTACAGGACAGTTCAACTTTTGGTTTTCCATGGAGATCTTCTCTCTTTATATTCAGTCCCGTTGAGCTATTTTAGAACCCCAGAACTTCTACATCGTATTAAACCATGAACTTGAGTTTTCCTTTCAACCAATCACCCTAGAGTTCTAGCTCATACTTCCAGGGTCCTTTTCTTCTTATGCCAGGCCTTGCCCTTTTGCCCTGCGCGCGTGGTCATGAAGTGGAATAGAGGGCGAGACTAGATGAACTCCATGCGGGCTTTCAATTTACGGGAAAATAAAATAGAAAGCTGGCTGAAATGTAGATGTTCTGCTGGGGTTGCACTCGTTTGAATCGAGTGCATAGATTCATACCGTATATGCGTCATGGGCAACATTGCTCGAGAGTGCTGCTGGTCCAGAGTGAAATCGAAATCCCTTAAGGCTTGCTAGGATTGTCCCCGCCCGCATGAAAAGAGCAGGGGCTGGGATGAACCAAGAACCTATCCAGCGTCTTACAAGCCACACATTGCCAGAACAACTGCATCGGTATCTTCTTCGGCATTCACATCTCCAATATATCCTACCCAGCCGTCCTCAACGTGAGCCCAAGCAACTGGAGATTGAACTGTACTCTCTTCCCGGTCGGATATATATACAGCATCATGAAAATCTACCGATTTTACGAGAAGGGCTTTCTGGCTATATGACCTCGCCAAACGGTCACCAGGCAAATTCCCCAGTCCAGCCTCGTTCAAATGATGGGTTGTCCGGGTAATAGGCTCCGCTTTCCCATGGCAGGTCAAAATTTTTGCCTAAAAAAGGGAGACATTTTTCAGAGGGAGCAATAAAACTGCCTAAAGTTACCGCCGAAGATGACCCTTCCACCGCGGGAGGACGTACTCCTTGACTGCTTTCGAGGGACGGCGGAATTCTTGCGCTTGGTGAGCCCCCCGGTCGGTGGCAAAGATGGCGTTGGGATTATTGCTACCCGAGATAGGTCAGGGCAGCTTTTCCGGTGCGAGCTCGCACCAGGCGAGCCCTGTCAGAGAGCGGAAGGAGGAGCCGCTTGTACATGTCATCGAACCATGATTCGTCGGCAAGGGAGATGATCATGACACAGGGGCGTTCAGACGCCATTTTAGGGTGACTTGGAGACATATGTTAGCTCGCGGATTGAATGGTAAGGGTAGCCACGTACTTTTCTGGGCCTCTTGAACGGCTTCAGAGTATAGAGATATGGGAGACTAGCTTTGGAGAGATGTAAAGTTCTGGAGGTAAAACAACCTGATTTTGCGTTTGGATTTGGAGTATAAGTCACACTGTCAATCGAGATTCTAGTAGTATCATACTCCAAAATATAGATTTACCTGCAAGTCAAAGCTGGGTGTTTAGTTAGTTACTGGCTAGCTCTAGCTTTGGTTGGCGGTGAAAATGCCTTGAGATGAGGATCTAGAATTTCGGTTCCACCGGCAAACCGCCCAACGGCGAACTGTTGAACCATCACAGTGACGCCAACGAGACAAATCGCAATTGAACCCGGAAGCCAGAACCGAGTGTCCTTGAATATCAAACAGGGGCCAAGAGTCCAGCAGAGCGCGAGACGACCACAGCTTCTCCCCAGGCGTTTCGACATCCAACCCCCTATTTCGCACTGCACCCGCACCGCACAATGTCGTCTCCACGCTCCATCGAGCTCGGTTCCGTGCTCGTTGTCGGCGGCTGCGGCTTTCTCGGCACTCATATCGTTGATCACCTCTTGAATTTCCCCTCCGAAGACTCGAGCGAGACGTCGCGCATCACCACGGCCGACGGAACGCCAGACAAACGATTCTCCTACCCTAGTCTCCGTGGCCGATACCCAACCTACAAGAACACCAAAGTCTCTGTTGCTGACCTACGCACGACAAATAACCGGCTCCCCGGTGCGGAGTACTATGATGCTGACATCCTCTCCGCTGAATCGCTACTTGAAGTGTTTCGAGCTGTGAAGCCGGATGTAGTGATAGACACGGTATCGCTGATGCTGGACGGGAACAAGGAACTGACCTACAATGTGAATGTGAACGGGACAAGGAACCTGCTGGAGGTCGCTGGGGGGATGAAGGGAGACTGGGGCGGGAAGTGCAAGGCATTTGTGTATACCAGCTCCTCGTCCGTCGTGCATGACACCACGAGCGACCTCATACATGTCGATGAACGATGGCCGAAGATCACGGGGAAATTGCAGCAGGAGTACTACACGGAAACCAAGGTTCGTGAGGTCTCATCGCACAGTTGTTATTATATCTCTTCGAGGACGTTGACTGACACGTGTCACCCAGGCGATCGCGGAAGATATGGTGCTAGATTTCAACGGCACCTCACCCTCGGGCATGCTTACGGTGGCCATCCGTCCGGCTGGCATTTACGGCGAGCGCGACACCACCCTGACGTTCAAGATGGTTGAGCACGCAGCCAAGTCGTCCCAGCGCATCCTCAACTTTCAGCTTGGCGATAATAACAACCTCTTCGATTTCACCTACGTTGGCAACATCGCCTACTCCCACATGCTCGCGGCGGAGCTCCTGCTTGAGACCCAAAAGAGAACTGAGGCCGGTGGAGCGGCACCGCTTGACTACGAGCGCGTGGATGGCGAAGCGTTCACGATCACCAACGACAGCCCGGTGTACTTTTGGGACATGGCGCGGTCGATCTGGGCGCTGATGGACCGCTACGTTGAGCCACACCAGGTGTTTGAGCTGGGCGAGGGCACGCTGACGGTGGTTGGGGGCATCTTGGAGACCGTGTTCGGGCTGTTTGGCAAACGCCCGCGCCTGACAAGGCGAGAAGTCCGATATTCGTGCATGACAAGATACTATTCTTGCAACAAGGCGAAGCTGCGGCTCAAGTACCGGCCAATTGTGCCCCTGGATGAGGGTGTGGCGCGGTCGGTTGCTTATGTCTTGGAAAAGGACATCAATCTCCGGGCGAAAAAGCAGCTGTAGGGAGGCGGTCCTGTACCGGTCGGGGGTCTTCTTTTTTATAATCTGTCTTAGATATGATATTCATTTAATAACTGCCATAGATGGGATCTATATGCTGACTAAGCAATATATATTGCACCGATGGCCTTGCCGCTGGATGAAAGACGGGGCCAACAGAACGCATCGCTCCATGACCCCGGACCGGGCATTCCACCTCGAATCTTGCCTTGGCCTGCTCTTATCCTGCCGGCCAGCAGCGCTCTGCGCTCATTCCATGCAGCCAGTTGGCGTGGGTGTGACGCGTATAGTATCCATCAATATAGTTAGTTATACAATATCATTGGACAAAGCCTTGGCCGAAACCGCCTCATACCCACCAGAAGCTATCCGAGCGTTCGACATCTTGGCCTCAGTTAAGGAACTCAACGCTTGCGGACGACCTATGATAAGATGGTTGGGCTGTTTATGAGTGGGAGATAGGTGTGTATGGGCGGATGCAACAAGGAAAGCATAAGACTTGGTAGTATTTCGATCTAGTTAACTGTCCTCGACCTTTTCAGAACAAGAAGCCCAAGTGTAGTATTGCTCGCTCTATCAACCTTTCCATGATTATTGGACACATATTTAGCCGCAAACGGCTGATCTTACCTACCTTCACCCGCCGATGGCACAAGTATAAAGCATAATTCCCTAAGCAAGAGAGGTGAAATTGAAGCATGACACCAGCGTGTTAGGAACAGTCTTCCATTCAAAGATCTTGCAAGAATCAAATGGCTTTCGCTCGAGCTGGCACTGAAGAGAGCTGAGAAGATGGTAGTAAGGGTGCCCAGAAGCTAGCCGACCAAAGTTGTTTGCTTGGCAAATAAACTAAGCAGATTAGGTTGGTTCCCGCCGCCTCAGCGGGGATGTCAGAGATATAGAATATCGGCTCGATATTTCTCCCACCGCCAGTCTGCTACTTTCATTCGCAGTGGCATACTAAATATACCTCCCGGATTGCTTGTCCATAAACATGGCCTCGCTTCTTCTCTTGCTGATAATACAACTACTGTTATCTTCTACATTTATGAATGGAATGAGTGGATAAGGTAATGGCTGTTGATCCTGCTGACTGTTCCTTGTTCAAGACAACAGTCTGGGAATATAAACAGTAGGATATGTTTGTGTACAACATGAAGATGAAGACTGTCAACACTGTCCAGCTTCCAAGCAGCAAGGGCTGGTGAGAACAATGCCCTGCTGCTGGTTCCCAATAGACCGACATAGAGCGAATGCTGAGACCACCTGAGCCATCTAAACAAAGAAAGAGATGAGCAACTGGATATCTGAAGAGTCTCGTTATTGCATTGAGTTTGAGAAACTATTCATGATAGCTACAGAGCATTAATATATCGTCTTGGATTTCTCAGAGAATTGATATATGTTAGTCAGCATGGTTATCAGGTCGAGCCCCTCTTGGAAACGGCATGTCATCTAATACAAATAATACACGCTGTCCGACCTGGATCGGCAATTGCGGCGTGGACCTGCCGTTTGATTGGCTGAACTTTCGCCCTAAGATACAAGCCCGCTGTTCTGCCGTTTCCCAAAATTACCAGACGAGCACGCGGACGAGGTCAAGCTGGTTCTCCAATTACCACCGACGACGACCTTTGACGCTGTCTCTCTTCCTCGCTCTCTTGCTCTGCAACGGCTGTCCTTTTGTTCCCGTATGCCTGAATGGATCATTAAGCTAATCGCCAGTTTCCCCCCTTGTTCTTTCGTTCTTGGCTCCGCTGGTGTCTGTTGGCCTGAGATTGCTTTCACATTGCACATTGTTGTGCTGCAAAGATCTGGCTCCTCCCGAGACCTTGCCGTCAAATTGAAATCGCAGCGTATAAAGGGCGAGATTGGAGAGATTTGCCCACTTTGAAATACTTTCGAGCTTCGTGCCGTGCCTTTTCCTCCAGCATCGATTGCAACGCTACGGCACTTCGGAGTTACGCCTCCTCTCGCCCTTCCTACAATTTAACATCCGGCTCGAGCCATATTCAGCAAGTCATGGACAGTTGATGCTTAGCGGCCAAGTTATTTCGCTGGTCTGGGCACCGCTCTGCCTGGCAGACGGGCTCTGTCTTCCCGCCATCGCTACGTAACTCCGCTCCCACTGGCTCCCCGTCCCCGTGTATCGTGACACCAGCTGTTCGAATCCCTTCCTCTCCACCACTCCCTGCCCTCCGAAGAGCCCAAGATGGCCGACGATACTAGCAATCCCCCCGGTGCGCCGCGATTCCTCGAACCTCCCGCCATCACAGCTCTGAAGCAGCAAGCTCGCGATGTCCCGCCTCCCGGCCCTGCACCCATGGTGCGCTCCCTGAGTCAGGATATCAGGGAGGAACGACAAGACCTACAGGAAGCGGCCGAGCAAACTCTGAACGTCATACTCGACCTGGCTCTTGACGGACGGATCAATTGGGTCAGCCCTTCGTGGCTTGAAGTAATCGGCACACCGATCGATACAGTGGAGGGCAAATACATCCAAGATATCATCATTGACAACAAGACTGCCTTTGAAGATGTTTTCGAGTCAATGAAGAAGGATGATTCCAGAAGCCATATCGTTCGGTTTGCGATCAAAACTGGCCCTGCCTCCGTCTTTCGGCAGAATCTGGCCCAGGAACCGGTGGGGGGTGAAGAGATAGAAGGGACCATAGCTGAACCGACAGATGAAGTGGATGAGAATGTTCTCAATTTGGAAGGACAAGGTATCATGGTCTACGATAAGCCATCGAGTGGCGAAGGTCATGTAAGTGGACATTCAAGTCCCCAGCTCTCCGCTATTGCCGATTTCTAACAGTCACTTTGACAGACGATGTGGATGTTACGGCCATCGACTCAGCCGCGAGAAGTCACTATTGGCCTGCCGTCACTCCTCGTCGAATCGCTTGGTGTTGGTGCAGAAGTATTAGCCAACTATCTCACGGAACTTGCAGAAGTGGGCGTTAATGATCCGGCTCACCATCCTCCGCCTATGCCAGTTCTTTGTCGTATTTGCGAGAGGCAAATCACCCCGTGGTGGTTCGAAAAACATTCCGAGCTTTGCCTCCAAGAACATCGGTCGGAGATGGACGTTCAGTTGGCTCAAGACAATTTGAATGAACATCGTCACTCGATTGTCAAAGTGCTAGATGCCCTTGAGGCTCGGAAAGCCAGACCGGGCCACACAGACGGACCCCAAGCTGAATATAAAAACTTGCCCATCGGCCCCAGCCCGTCCTCATCTGGCCTGATCTCTGGCTCGTCGTCATCCTCTGGAACACCGCCTCGCTCTCGTGATCCCTCCACTTCCGGCTTAGGTCACACTCGAACTCGGTCCTCCTTCGCCGTTAGAAGGCCTCTAGCACGAATCGTTGAGTTAATCTTAGATCTTTGCGATACCGCCTTGGAAGTTAGCACTCCTGCACTAAAAGAGTCCAGGACCGAATTCGGCGACGAAGTTCGAACACAATCTCCGCAGTCTGAGTCCCGTATATCTCAAGTTGTGAGCTGGCAATCCCCGAGTAGTAACACACTAGAGCAAGAGCAGGGTTTGGCGGCGCTGTCTGCAGATACTGAACAACTGGCTCGAGCTAAAGTCGATGCCGTTTTTCGTCATCGGAGGATCATCGAGTACGCAGAACGTATCCGTGTGGAGTTCGCTGTCCTCGTGGAGGAATGTATTGCTGCCGCAATGGATAAAGCAGAACGCGTAGCAGCCGGTGACCTGGACGATTCGACCACCTCATGCTCTAGCGATGACGGAAACGAACCAGAGAATTCCACAGCTTCCCCCGACGTGCAGTCCCAAGATCAAGCTCCTTTAACATCGATTTCCACGACGGGCACTGCATCAGAGCCTGCCTTAGACCAGACCTTAAGGCCACAACTGTCTCGCGGTTCATCATCTGTTGCAATTTCAACACGTTCTAGTAGCCCGATGGAGTGCCCAACACCCCGTTCCCACAAGAGCGTTGGTATATTGGGACAGCCAATTTTGACGAAACGAGGTTCTCTCCTTGCTGAGAGTGATGCGGCGGACAGTGACAGCAGTATTCTTTCATCAGTTTTGTCCACTGAACGTCATACTGAATCGCCGTCATCCGAGCGAGGCATCAGCCGTGCTACAAGTGCGAGAGAAAATAAACGTCGAAGCCTCATTCTTCCCGGACTTTCAAGCTCTCCGCGCAGGGAATCTCCGGCAAGAAATGCTCCATCATCCCCGTTACGGTTGAATAAACCACGCCTTTCCACCGGAGAAGTATTCCCATCGCCAGCAACTTCACCGATTCTTACGTCTATAGACCTGGGGCCTCATAACTCCTCGTTCTACGGGCCTCCGTACCGCCACCATCATCGACGACAATCTTCTACTACAAATTCGCCAGAACTAGGAAAGGCGCCAGTCTCACCCCATCTAAGTTCTGTCAGCCATCCGCCCCCACGTGCCGTGACGCCCTCTATCAAAGACTTTGAAATTATTAAACCAATAAGCAAGGGTGCTTTTGGGAGCGTCTATCTATCCAAAAAGAAAACGACACAGGAGTACTTTGCCATCAAAGTTTTGAAAAAAGCTGACATGGTTGCTAAAAATCAAGTTACCAACGTGAAAGCCGAAAGAGCTATCATGATGTGGCAGGGTGAAAGTGACTTCGTTGCAAAGCTATATTGGACTTTTGCTAGTAAGGATTATCTTTACCTGGTAATGGAATACCTCAATGGAGGCGATTGTGCTACGTTGATCAAACAATTGGAAGGCTTGCCGGAAGAATGGGCGATGAGATATACTGCTGAAGTTATTCTCGGGGTTGAACATTTGCATAGCAGGGGGATTGTTCATCGAGACCTTAAGCCGGATAATCTTCTTATAGATCCACGTGGCCACTTGAAACTGACAGATTTTGGTCTTTCGCGTATGGGGCTGGTTGGTCGCCAAAAGCGAGTGCAAAAGAATCCGAACGATTCGGCCCCTGATTTGCTCAAACAAGGCCCTTTCACCCGGACAACATCGTTGGCGTCGTCACGTTCAGCATCGTTTGATTTCCCGGTGTCGCAGTCTCCCAACACGACCCCTTTGATTCATGCGGAGCTAGGAGGCCCAGGCCAACCATCGTATTTCAGTTTAAGCAAGGAACCGTTGTTCAATCGTGAGCAGTCAAGAAGGCTATCTGGGTACAGAAGTGACAGTGGAAGTAGCGACACCCTAGCTTCCCAGTTTAAGAGCTTACACCTCTTCGAGCCTGGGGAGACTCCTTATCCTATCTCGCAGCATGCGGCACAACCGCAGCAAACCGCGTCCATAGAGGAAGAAACTCAAAGTGAAGCAAGCGATTCCCCGCAACTTTTCCCGGCCCATCCGTCAATCAGTTATCAGCCATCCTTCCCTATTTTGCATGGCACTTCGCAACAACCTCAAATCCCCCCGGCAATGGCTTTGTTTAACCCTGAAGAACAGAACCAAGGTTTCGTTGGGACTCCTGATTACCTTGCACCAGAAACTATTCAAGGAGTTTGTCAAGATGAAATGTGCGATTGGTGGTCTCTTGGTTGTATTCTCTTTGAGTTTATCTACGGGTATCCGCCATTCAATGCCCCAACAGCTGATGAAGTGTTTCAAAACATTTTGGGCAGGAAAATAAATTGGCCGGAAGGCTTTGAGGAATATTCGTCTGAAGAGTCTCGCGACTTGATGAATAAGCTCATGACTTTGAATCCCGAAGAGAGGTTGGGGTCAAATTCCTCCGAGAAGTTTCCAAGTGGCGGTGCAGAAATTCGCGCTCATCCTTGGTTTTCTTCTCTGAACTGGGATACGCTCCTGGAAGATGACGGATCTTTTGTACCCACCGTCTTGCATCCAGAAGATACCGAGTATTTCGACCCAAGAGGAGCGACAATGCAGGGCTTTACAGAGGAATGCGAAGATCAAATTACTTCTCCTCCTGGATCCTCAGGCCAATATCCTGATAGGCCCCACGACGCACTGTTCAAAGTCAAATCACAAGTGAGCTCTCTGAAACGTGGAATGATACCTCTTCACATACCGCCTCATATTCGGGATACTCGTACTCGCAGGCTTAGTGAGCCCGTTCTCGCAGATGACTTTGGCAATTTCAACTTCAAGAATCTTCCTGTTCTGGAAAAGGCCAATAAAGATGTGATACAAAAACTAAGGCAAGAAGCTATGCAAGCTCAGCAGCGTTCTGTACCATCGACAACACCGTCGACCACCTCCGGGCCTTCGCTAGAAGGAAGTCCAATTGTACCAGGACCGCTGAAGCGAACCATGTCTCAAAATAAAGCCGTCAATAGACCGGCTTCACCGTCAAGCCTTAGCCAAGCTAATTCGTCTTCTCCCAGCCGCCCGTCCCAACCATCATCTCCACTTTTGGTGCAATTTAGCACAGGGCAGCATCACCACCACCATGAAAGGCGAAAGACGTCTGGGTCATCGTCGACATTCTCGCAATTCTCGCAGCAATCTATTGCATCGTCCTTGCAGCCCGGCTCCTTTGAGCCTCCCCGGCTAGCAACAAATCTTAAGATGTCAGCATCGGCTGCATCCTCTCCAATAAAGCACCCGAAGCTTCCGTCGCCGGATAAACAAACTGGACTTCACCGCCAAAGCAGTGCGCCAACATCGAGACAACGATCTCAGACTATTGGTTCTCAAGACAGTGATGTAGCACTGCCCCGAGAACCTTTTGTTCCGGGGCATCACAAACGAAGGAGCCAGCTTTTTGATGTTTCGCCATCTTCCTCTGACAACGAAGACCCACGTGCAAAAGCACTCCTTAAGGTGCAACGGCGAAGACAAAGCTCGCGAAGGCTTTCTCAAATCAATTTTGCCGAAGGTCCTTTCTTTCGTCCACTTGATGTGCTTATCTGTGAGGACCATCCTGTCTCAAGGCTAGTGATGGAACGACTCTTTGAAAAATTGCGTTGCAGAACGATTACGGCGGTGAATGGCACGGAGGCAATGCGGTTTGCTCTCAGCGAAGTGCAATTTGATATCATTATGACCGAATTTAAACTTCCTCAAATCAACGGAGCCGATGTAGCTCGTATGGTCAGGGATACTCGGAGCGCTAATACCCACACGCCGATTATTGCAGTCACTGGCTATCTAAAAGATTTTCCGGAAACACATCATTTTGATGCGCTAGTTGAGAAGCCTCCCACTCTTGAGAAGCTCGTCGATGTTTTGTCAAAGTTTTGTCAATGGAAACCACCGCCAAATGATGAAGAGTTAGCCCAGCAGCTTCAAATCCCAGCATCTGCACTTCGTCACGTTTCGCTTCGCCTTGAAGATAGCCCAAGTTCAACCTCTTCGGGCCTCGCGGTGCCACCTAGCTCGTATCGAGGCTCAAGCCGCGAGGAATCGCTTGGAAGCAGTTATTTTGGTGATATGGAGGCTCCAAAGTCGGATGATTCTCCTATGATCATCAATCGCAATGTTGGGGATGAATGGAGTGGTGGTCGAACTGGCGGGCTTGGTATCACTGAAGAACCCTCTTCCGTCATCAAACCTAGGTTGATAGAGTCGAAAAGCCCACCGTTAGTTCCAAGCCTGCTTACGGCAACATCTGCGCCTGCAGCTTTTCATTCAGGTGGTATGCGATCACTTCGACAACAGAGATCCATCGAATGTATTCGAGCAAAACGTGAATCTATGGAGACCAAGCGATACGAAGGTGCTGAGTCAGGTGACGATGAAGATGAAGAGCTGGGTCGCGTGCATATGCGAAGCAACCGTAGTCCACATGCTACCACCGGCAAGCAGCGGCGATCAGGATCGAAGCTTGGAACGGAAATGCTCAGAACGAATAGCCGCGGTAGTGTCGTTAGTGCTGGGGAGGATATCCTGAAGGAGCGGGAAGCGGAACCTATGGAGCCCAGTGCTACTAAAAGCATGGGCTCTCCTGATTTTATGGCGCCCGCGTCTCTAGACTCCAAAATAGAGCAGTTGCATATTGGCGAGGAAGTTTTGGAGGTATTGCCTGAGGTACCAGAGAAAGAGGAACCATGCACTCCACCGGCTGATACAACCAACGAGCAGAACTCCAAGGATACCCAGCCGCTGCCACATGAGCAAAAGGAGCTAGGAGATGAAGCCGTGGACGTGATTCCTGCTACATCCGGACCTACAGACCAAACCATTGTGCAACAATCCCAGGCGCGCGGAACAGAAATCGAGCAAGAAAACATAACACCTCCCGGTACCGCGTGTGGGCCAACCGTCGTGACACCCGAAACGCAGCGTTCAAGCAAAACTGAAGATACAGAGAGGACCCCGCGAGCTGCTCTCGGCGGCAAACCTGATCTCCTACCGCTAGAAAAAGATGAGTGCGAGGGCGATGCTACTCTAAATGCTCCTGAAAGGCACAGAGCACATCATACAATTGAACGAGTCGTAGGGTGGATGCGACGAGAAGGTCGTTAGTCTCGACAAATCAGAGTGGCAACATCTAATCTTCGGCCCATCTGTCGCCATTTTATTCTATTTTAATTCCGTTTTTGCTCCTTCTCATTTTTTAACCAATTTCGTCCACTTCATTTATCATTTGGGTTCTGGAAGCGACATCATATGGGAAGCTGAATCTTTCTACTCTGTTTTGCAGCCCTCTTTCATTCTATCTTTTCTCTCCTTCGTCCTTTTCTCTACTTGTATAAGTCACATATACTGCCTTATTTTCCTTTGTGTTTCACAAGTTTGGTCAGCTAGGAGTTTAGTACCTTGGGTTCTGTGTATCCTTCCCGGCTCGTTTACTGGTTTAGCCCATGCCGTGTTGGCTGATGGTGCTTCGTGGCCTGCGAATGTACTGTACACTAACACTGTACTACATATATCACACCAAGTTTCTTCAAGGTGTTTTTTGTGTGGCTGCGGGTCTAAAAGGGATATATGGGTACTGAAAAGAAAAAATCACTGAATCTACTAGGATACTGGAGCTAACTGGACTTGGAGTGACCGGGCCTTTTCAATTTTTTTTTTTTTTTTCCGTTTTTTTTAATTGTTGTTTGAATTGCAGGGACGTGTGGGTTAAATTATTTTCTGGAATCCGGCGTGATTCTCCCTTACGGTCTGCTTGTTCAATATGTAATGACATAATGAAATGAAATGAAAAGATAATGATTATGGAATACAAACAGGTTAATTCTACCTGGTATAAATGCTGCAGTTCAACATTTAAAACAGGCTGTTACAATTTTAAAGATGAAATTTCATTCTGAACATCAAAAGGCAGTTTTGCTCCTGGACACAAGTTTCTCAAAGGGCATGAAAGCATACAAGAATGAGCAAAGAGAAGTTTCTCAGAACTTTTTGCTCCGGCTAAAAGCAAAGCAAAAGAGCTTGAACCCCAATCTATCACTGATTTTCATCAAATTAGATGTCATACAAATCATTTCAACCCCCAATCACTCCTCCTTTTCGTCAACCTTTTCCTCTTCCTTCTCCACCTTCTCACCCGCGTCGTCATCCTCCTCGAAAGTATTGGTAGGTACACTATACAGACGAATGACCGACTTATTCGGATCCTTCACCAATACATACTTCTTGATCTTGTCCTCTTGCCCATCCTCGTCGTCATCCCCATCAAGACTGTTTACCAAATCGATGATGGTTCGGACGATACCCCATCCATTCGCCATGTTCAAGTTCATCTGCAGGGCAAATTCACGAGGCTTATAACCAACCACGCCGAGAATCATGTGCGCTGTGGCCGAACGTGGGTTGGCACGGGCCACGAAACCGAGTTTCATAACATCAGATTTGGCAAGGATGGCCTGGGTGGTCCATCGGGCGAGCTTAACGTTGTTGTTCTTCATTTCGGTGGCGACAACGGCACCGCGCTGAGAGTAGAGCTTTGTACGCCAGTCCAAAGCGCCGCCAGCGCCTTGCGCCTTGTGGTCGAACTCGTTGAGAGCCTTGAGGGTCACGTGTTGGTCTTCGCCGCTGACATTGTTCTTTAGAACAGCATCAACTTCGGTGCGAACAATGATGTGAACAGGCTCCTCATCCTTCTCGAGAGAGAGATCGAACCGGCGATATTTGAAGGCCTTGGAAGCGAGGGGCTCGGTTTCTTCGGCAGGATTGTAGAATGGGTTGGGATGAGCAAAGTCCACCTTGGCGTTGTCGGATTCTATTACAGTTTGGAGCGCGAAGTTATGGTTGATAATCGTTGCTTCGAGGGCTAGCGCACCAGGAGTGTTGATTGCGTCCTGTTTTGCACCGGCTTGCCCTTCCGAAGCTTCCATTGGTGCATCGGCAGCGTTCTCGTTGACAGTGACCAGATCAATGGATGCATTATCACGCTTATCGAAATAGATCTTGTTGCCGTGCTTGACGATGATAATATCCCAAGAATAGACGCTGCGTGAAGCGCACATAAGCATAGACAAGATGTCGGCAGTGGCAAAGACGGTAGCCTCATCCCTCTCAGCCAATTCTTGAATAACCGGGTCAGCGCTAGTGGTAACGTTATATGCAGCGCGGTCGAGAGACTGCAGTCTGCGCTCAGAATTCTTCACAGGAGCCTTGTCGTATGAGCGATCATAATAGTAAAGGAAGCCATAGTTGTCCAAATCCTCGCCATCTGGAGTTTCCAAGTTCAGCTTGGAAAGCCTGGAGAAGTCAATCTCTTCCAGCATGCTCCATTCTGGGCGGATCGTAACCGAACTGTCACGGTTCCTCTGTGGCTTGTCATAATCCTTCCAGCCAAAACGACGGCCCCGGTTTCCTCGTCCGCCACGCTGATCATAGTATCTATCACCGCCAGCGTGTCCACCACGGCCGGTGGTGGTTCTCTGGAACGCTCCTCCCCTTCCTCGCTGGGCACCTCCTCGTTGGCCACGGCCACGGAAGATGGTACCACCGCCACGGCCAAAACCGCGAGTCTTCACCGAAGTTCTCGTGTTATCAACGACAGAGAAAGAAGATTCATCCTCGGCAACTTGGACAGCAAAAAGACTGCTCGTTCCTGCACCGTAGACTTGTTGATCTAAAAAAAAAGATACAAGCGGTTAAAACACACGCCTCCATTTAATCAAGGGTAGCATCAACGCGCTCATACCTCTATAATTGCGATTGTATGCCGGCCTCCTTTCGCGGGAGTCCTTTGAGTCAGAGCTCCAATCAGCCATGCGGCCTAGTTTGTCGCCTTTTGAGAACGGTGCGTAAGGAATACCGTCCAGGGTGTTGCCGCTTGGGACTGGGGGGCCCCAAGCATCGTCCTCCGACGGAAGAGCAGACACGATGTCTGCAAGCGAAAATGGTGCCATGGCACAAAATCAATTCCAACCAACAGTAATAGATCTGTGCTTCTCGACACGGCACTGCAGAGACACAGAGAGCGATGTGGTTGAGCTCGGACTGATTTTTTGGGTTGAATTCAGATGTTGAAGTTCATGTGGGCGAGAAGCTTGGCACGTCTTTTGCACTGTTTGCATCTGGTGCCGCGGCTTATGTAATCCCCTCGGCGATCAAGCTATCAAAAGTTGTTTGCAGGACCTATCAGCTAATATATAACCCCTAGTTATCTCAGAACAACGAAGAGAAATGATATACATTCAAATTGCCAAAAATTCATAGTGGGTATTAAAAGACAAAGAAATTTCGAGTTTAGGAGTACATCGTCTCCTCCTCCGCTCCCTGGCCCGGGTTAAAGCGCATCGGAAAGCCTCCTGAAGTTGTAAACACCGGTTCCATTTTACTTCCCAACACACTGTTCAGCGCATCCTTGAACTCAAAATCTTCAAGGACAGCTCCAAATCCATAGCAGCGAACCTTCGCTACAAGGTCTTCCATCACCCGTACGACGTCTTCTCTTGTTAACAGATGATACATCTCGTGGTTCTTGAGAGATTGCAACGCCATTATAGGAGTAATCTCACTATCGGTAACTAGTTGTCGACTGAGGTTGAGTAGTGTATTCAAGTTCGCCGGCGGGAGGTCGTATGTTTTCACTGGGTACTCAACACCCCTGCTGGCTGTTGCGATTTCTGACGGTGGCGGGCATGTTGCCATTAAAATGTGGCCGGCCACGAGATCTTGGTCTTCGTCATCGTGGGCCCGACGACAAAGTCGCTCGATATGATTTTGACATGTTCCTTCGAGACTATGACGAATTGTTAGCTGGGGAACCTTTTCGCATTTAAATCGTGCTCACGTGAGTAAAAAATCGATCCCTAGTTGAGGGTCCGTATCAAGAACACCAGGCATATCTGCTACAGCGGTATCACCACCGCCTGCTAAACCGATTTCGCCTGGTAGGCCTGTCTGAGCGCAGTAATTTGTTTGAGGTGCCTGATATGCAGGTTGGGGATCCGGTAAATCCGATCCCATTGCTGCTGGGCTTTTGCCCGATGAGACGGTTGTATCCGGTGTCATGTAGTTTATTCCACTTGGATAGCCAGCAGACTGAGAGCGAGCACTGCTGTCTTGGTAACTCCTTTGACTCCCAACCCGACTCATAGACCTCCTCTGTTCAAGCTCAGCGTCAACGTTAAAGCCATGCGTCAGTAGAATCTCCCTCAGTATTCTGTTTTCTTCCTTCTGCGCTTCTAGGTTTTGTCGCTGTTGGTGTAAAGATAGGTTAGCTGCGTTGATATCATTGCTGTACCCTTCTCTGAGCCGCGAGATCTCAATCTCCAGGGCTCGGATATACTGTTCCTTTCTTTCTCGATGGGTCCTGCGAATAGTCAATTAGTTTGGTAATAATCAGTCTTGTAGACTAGAAAGGCTACCTCTGCGCCTGCCGGTTCAGTTCCTGGCGCCGGGTCTGTGCCGGTTTACTGTCTGGCTTCGGGCCTCGCCGTTTGGGAGCTTGACCGTCTGTCTCCACATGAGTCTCAGCCCGAAAAAAAGATTAACCTGAAAGGATCAAGGCATACCCCTTGTCTTCTTCGGAAGGCCTCCCCCAAGTGACTTAAGATAGGGCGCTGGAATGAACGGTGAGTCTGCGCTCATCGGGGTCATCATATCGCCTGGAAACATGGTTCCGCGCAAGTTCTTCCTTCAATCAACGAACCACCGATCAGGTAGGTAAGAATCAATCGCTCCAACTGAAAGGGGGACGATCGGTGCCTTACACCTGACCAGGTGGCTCATTGGAGGAAGACGGCGCGACAAAGTCAGTATGGGTCGATTTAACCACATAACATCGATTGTCCAAGAGAGAGGTGAGACGGAGGGCAAAGCAGTGTAATTGAGGAAAAACAAAAAAAAAGAGGCTCGAACAAAGAGCGGAAGTACGCTTCCAGCAGGAGAAGCTCGGGCCGTAGCATCATCGCGACGGCGTCGGCACCGTGTGTACTACACCAGTACACGAGCTGGGGCGAAACCACCAAGGGAAAAGATGCAGTGAAATGAGAGCACTCAAAACCCACCTGGAGCACTCGCAGCATTGCTCGAGAATGGCTGCGGGAGTGGAATCCCGGCGCTGCCCGTCATCATTTCCTGGTTGGTTCCTGACGGCTGCATGGTGGATGGTCTCTCGTCATTCACAGTACTAGAAAACTCAAGAGACAGGTCGCATGTCCTCCGGACTCAATGGGCAATGGACAGTCGTACGTTCATGCAAGACTGCAACGGGGCACGTTCAAGAACGCGATCGGCGGAGGACAATGGAGCTCAAGAAGCCCGACGCCGAGTGGGAAAACGGCCGAATCTGCACTGCCGGACGTCACTGGATGGAGCGCTTGAGGTTCCACAGTCTCGAGACTCTCGAATCGGCTTTTTGATACGAAGTTGTTTGGCTGCGTCGAGTGCAATCCCAGTGGCAATTCGGTGGGTTCGATGTTCGCTTTTCTGGTGACGCTGCGATGCGAAGCTGCAGGGGCGGTTGAAGAAACAAGGTTTGATTACCAAACGCATCCGGACGCCCACGTGATTGGCTTGGCGTCACCGAGTGGAGCTGCAGGGCGGCGCTGGTTGGCCAGCCCGAGTTACCGCGGTATGCGCTAGTACTGCGTGCCGTTTGCGGCAACATAGCCGAGTCTAGAGCCGCCGCGGCAAAACCGGGCATGTGACCGTCGGCTAAGTTGCCGGAAAGCAGCTCACTAGCTCGCGGACACTAATGTGGAAAGCACGCCTCGCATTGACAATCGCTTTAGTAGGTACTAGTCAACTAATAGTCGCTGGACTATGGCTAATATTATTATGACAATCATTCTCTCCCCATCGCCTTCTCAATCGCGGCCAAACCAGCCATGACCTTCTCGTCCTGGTATCTCCGCCCGACAACCTGCAGGCTCACAGGCGCTCCTTGGAATCTCTCCGGGCCCGTGTACAGATCATGGTTGAACCGGTCATGCTCGTTGCGCGGGATGTATCCTTCTTCTCGGACATCCTTTTCGACGTCAACAGTGGTGACTGGGAAAGAGGCAGCTGGGTAGTCCAGCAAGTTCCATTGAGAGGTATAGCACCAGTATCTCGCGCATTCGTGAGGAGGCGCGACGCCTGGAGTCACCGGACAGAGGAGCAAATCGACCTCCCCAGTAGGCGAATTTGCCGTGGCGGACCAGTGCCTGGCGTAGGCGTTGCGATACTCGTCACGATCAACGGCTAGCTGTGCAAGCAAAGATTTGTCAGCCTGAAAACAATAATGTGGCGAGGAGGAGTGGATGATATACCTGGGCGTATTCAGCGATAGTGTGGTCCTTGACCGTTGGTTGTTCGAGAATAAATTTGGTCAGGGGCAGTATTGGTTCACCGCTGGATTCGAAAAGACCGCGAACCTCCTTTCCTCCATCGGGCCAGTACAGCTCAGTGATGATATCCCAAGCCTTTCGATGGTCATAAGGCACCCAATCGACGACTTCAATGCCTCCTTTCTTGCATGCTTCAACCACCTCCCTCAATGCGCGAAGGACTGGTGGATGTGGTTTTACTACTCCGTCGTCCCAGATGATCCCAATCTTCAGTGGTTTATCGAACGTCACAGGCGTCCAAGGCTTTGGGCAGAGCGAAGCGTCAAAACGCCATAGCTCGGCATCAGTGATAACCTTCATGAACAAGGTCATGGATTCTCGTGTGCGGCAAAGCGGACCAAAGGTCGCGGCAATCGCGTCTTTGCATCCTTTTGGCAGCTTGATTCCGCTTACTGGAAGCCGGTTGCAGGTAGGTTTGAAGCCATATACGCCGTTGTTGCCAGCTGGATTGCGGACGCTACCGCCAATGTCCCCTCCAACACCCTAAAAAGCCAGTTAGCATAAGTGACTTTGCGTGATTCCCGCACAGAGCCTACTGACCAAAACACTGCCTCCAAAGGCTACCAGCGCGCCTTCGCCTCCGCTACTACCTCCAGAGGTAAGGTTGCGGTTATGGGGGTTCACAGTGCGGCCGTAGATGTTATTCTCGCATTCGAGATGCATCAACGCCTGTGGTCCCGTGGTGCGAACGTAGAAGACGCAGCCAGCATCATAAAGGGTGTTGTTAAGGAGGTTGTCTGAGGATTCATCGCCGATCCAAGCGATGTAGTTGGCGTGGACCGTTTTGCCCTTCATACCGTGATGCTCTTTCATTGAGATCGGGAGGCCGTGGAGGGGTCCAATTGGCTCTTGGAGCGAATCTAGATACTTTGCTCGGGTGATTGCTTCATCCCACATGAGTTCCGTCACACAGTTCACCTATTGCATTCGCATAGTAGGTCAGCACCAGACAAACTCACAAATCACGGGTGGTTAGTCAAGACGAAGCAGAGCAGGGCAAGGGGCCACCAACTGCTTTCTGGGCCAGCGCAGCTCTCCTGAGAAAAGCTCTTGTTAGCTCCTCCGACGTAACTTTTTTGGTGCGCAGCATCTCCAGGAGCGCGATAGCATCATAGTTTTGGGTCAGCTCATACTCCCGTTCCGAGAGAAATTGCTTCGGGAGGCCCTGGGAGTTCAATGGCAGTGGCTCGGGGATCTCTGGCAACGGCGGTTCGACTTTGGCAAGAGTCGCATCGCGATAGTCGCGAACGGCTTGCGCCTTTTGCTGCCACGGTACACTGGCCATCCTGACAATTGTAGTTTTGCAAAAACGCGGAACGCTCGTAGACAAAGTGGGATGTTCGCAGGGATGCGCAAGGGGTTTCAGTGCGATGGCCGGACTCGGGAACAGCGACGGTTGGGCGTCACTGCAGCACTGTTTAAGTAGTCGAACCAGACACCAGGGCAGGAGGGGGTCGGCAGCTCAGCGATTCGGGCTCATCCCGCGGGACCTGAGGTTTCAGAGTCGGGGGCGCACATCCAGCCTGTACAACCCATTGGTTTGCATCTTGTCCGTCTGCCTGGCCTCGTCTTCCCCCTCACGGTTCCTCACTTTCTCCGCGAAACCCAGCGGATGGCCAACCATTGACTGCTGTCCGTGGATGGAGCGTGTGCTTGGCTGGTTCACGACAGCAAGCTGTGCTCCACCTCACACGCGCTATGGCTGGATTGCCTTAGCATCTCTCGGCCCGAACAGATAGACTCCTCTGATAAGCGCGCTGGAGGGGATGTCACTGAACTCGACCGATAGAAATCAGCCGACCGTGCGGTTTGTGCGACGGGCTGAGTGTGATTCCTGCTGGAAGATGCAGCTGTCTCGTAACGGTGTCACTCGATTATGCAGGTAATTCTCCGACCCTCAGAATGCCCCGAGCGGAACGAACAGCAGCGAAAAAAACAGCGACGGCCATGGTTGATGGTTGGTGTTGGCTGTGGGGGCTCAACTGCGGGGTTTGAGTTCATCAGCTCAGCTTCTGGCTATTTTCGACTTCTGCCGAACGGAAGACCGTCTGTTTCACGACAGAGTGCGCCGGACCTACGGATAGACTAAGTATCTCAAGCCATGCGAATGATCGTTTCCCCCTTGCCATCCCTCCACTGCACGTGAGGGACCCTTTTGACCGCCCGGTGGCTAGCTAAGAACAGCAATAAATATATGTGCGCCGCAATCTCACCCCAGGCATATACCCTCACGTCCAGCTGCTGCACCGAGTCGACCTTGGGCTGCCCTTCAGCGCTGTCACAGTAGCACCACACCCCCCAGCCCGCTCGCCCGTGCTGGCCAACAAATTCTGCAAGGTAATTCCAGAACCGTAGAAAGTGATCAAGTGTCCAGGGCCTTGTAGGGCCCGTCCAGCTACTAGTTGTCGATGCATTTGTCGTCGAGTCACCATCGTCCTCGTTGGATGTAGCCGCTTGCTTATTTGCATTGACGGGAATTCGTAGCTGCCAGTATCCTCGCTCAAGTTTGCCCAGCTGTCTTGCTTGATACGCAGGCTTGAAATATCGCGACGGGTTTAACTGCTCTGAAATCATGTGGAGAGTGGGTGTGATATGCGTTGTAAAGCGGGCGGTGTCTGACATAGGCGGACGCGGCGGGCGAATCTCCATCGGCAGATCGGGAAGGCTGGTGAGTCCAGAAGGTCCCGGGGATGATATCTCTGTCGCCTCACTTGACAGAAAGGGTTCCCGAAAGGGCGAGGCGACATCCCTTGTTGCGGTGGACAGACGTTTTCGCTTCGAAGCCCTGTCTTGTGAGGGCGATGGAGGCTCGTCGATCTGCACAGCCCGTACACGCCCAGTACCAGGACTATTATTTCTTTCGACATCCCAGACAGACTCGAACGATGCTTGCGATGAGAAGGCGGATCCTGGCGGCACTGCAGATGAGACAGGGTCAGCGATCTCGGCCTGTGAGCCTGTCGTGTCCGGAAGCGGTTCAAGGACACTGATTTCTCCCATAGTAGGTTCATCGTCAGGATTTGCAGCCATATGGGCATCCCATCCCGGCGAGAGCGATGGCTGCGAATCAGGTACGGTCTCTGGTGGTGTTTCAAACGAATCCTCATCGATCTCTGTGGTATCACCCTCTGGGATGCCTTTGGAGTGCCGTCCGTGCTGGACACCGTAAATACTGGGCTCGTCAAGTCCATATTCAGCATTCACGCGCTTCCACGAAGGAGGAGTCAGGTAGCCCGTCGAATTGGCCGTGCTGCCACCCTCCAGGTCATTGTTGATTTGAGAGAGAACATCCAGGTCATTTGGACTATTTGCACGAAGACCATCATCCTCATCATCGGGATATATTTTTATTTTTGTGACAGGTTCAAAATGCAGATAAGCATCTGCAAGGGCGCGGTGATTTGCATCGTCTTCGGCGCCACTTGGAGCGGAAACATGGACTAGAATTTCGACTGAAGGCTCCATTGCGCAAGTGCTGAAACATCATTTTGAGACTCGGCTTCTGTCGGATCTGCTGGCACGATTTCCTGGTGTTTCTCGAAATCCCAACTCGACCCTCATCATGAAACCTGCGTTATCCACCTTGTTGCACCCGTTAGTTTTTGCGGTTCACAAAGCGTGAGGCAGCAAGCGGTTAGGATGGCACAAACAGGCTGCCGTAGAGAGACGGGAATTTGCATGAAAAGTGCATCAACAAGTCAAATTGTCTATTCCATTGCTGACTGCATACACATTCTCTAAGTGATTTCTCCGTTAACTAACTACTGATCTTGACAAATAACTAGTTACTTAGTTCCTAATTCAACCCGTCATCAACCTCTACTACCTCGACTCAAAGACAAAATTTCCAGCACTGCTCTAACTACTAGGGAACCAGGCAGAACACCAGCCAACACTTTCATTATGGATGTTGCTACATCTGTTACAAGAACTGCCCTTGAACCATCTTCATTTTGCAGTTGATGGACGGATTAAATAAGTCCCGTGCCAAGCATCCGACATTAACGATGCAGGTTTACCATTGTCGTTGGAAGCAGATTGCCAGGCAATGTTGATATCAGGTATCTCCAACATGACGCCAAAATCTCTCCATTGAAAAGAACGTCTATTAGAATCCAGAAGATGTGGTTTCAAGTGAATTTGATCCAGTCAGCTATATGATACATCCCTCTTTAACGTAACGATATTCAGTTCCGTTCTTGAACCCCAGACTCCCTTGGGGTACACTTTCTTCTGAACGAGGCCATAGCCCCGTCGCTCCCAGTACGGCACGGCATGTTCTTTGCATCGAATCCAGAATGTCAAATTCCGGATCCCGGTTGTGGTCTGCAGCCCATGATTTCCGTTTTGTATATCGGGAACTGCGGGCCGCTTTCTGCGTGCCTCGCTTAGGCGCCGTAAGAGGTCGATTTCGAGCTGATTGACGCAGTAGACCGCTAGGCCCAGTTTTTTGAGCGAAGGATCCTCAGAGAGGATGGCCACCGCTGCTGGCTCCCAGTGTGTGATGGACAGAAAATCTGCGGGCTCTGAATCATAGCCTGCGTGGATAATGTTAGTCAATGTCGCCCGGATATTCCGTTTCATTGGAGAAGAGAGAGGGAGGGAGGGAGCAACTTACCGGGTTCTGATTTGGTGAATTCCGAGGTGTTCACCACGTTCCCGTTGCGGTCAATGATTCGAATTGGATCTACGCCCACATCGGGATTGTAATATTTGATCATGGCCGTGGCTACGGGACTGGTCATGTCGACGTCGCCGTCTCGGAACACAACACAGCATCGGCCGTGTACGCCGGGAGTCGTGATTACGTGCTCTATGCTCGGGAACCGGTCGTGCTCGCCTTCGCGGAAGGCATTGTTCACCGTGATCTGGAGCTGTTCAAGGCATGGGTGGCCGCGCAACTGGTGGCCTTCAACGATGATGGAGCTGAATCCGGGTAGGTGTGGGATGGGCACGGGGGTTATCATTGTGTCAATGTTCGATATCGGTGGATGGACAGATAGCTCATGAAAATGGCTTGATTTTTCCAGCTTCCTTTCCGTCCCAAAGGGCTCTTCCTGGGTCTTGAGATTCGACAAATCTACAGAGTATACGAGAAGGAGTGATGACTCTTTTATTGCTTTCCTCCCGGAGCCCCTCGTGTTCCGAGCCCTCGTTCCTGGGACAGTCAATCCTTGACGGCCTAACAAGTTATGAAGTTATTAGTTGGACTGGGCATCCGTGCTAAAAAATTTTCCTTCATGAAATACCCGTCCACCGGCCCGTTTCGGCTCAAGATATCAAAAATTTGATGAGTCACCAAGCTAGTCGAGTGGGCCACCAGCCACAACCGCGCTGTATCTCTCGAGAACGATATATGCGTCCCTCTTCTGTTGTTACTCAGTCAGCTTTCGACAAACAGTTTGAGCCAGCAGAGAAATGCTTCAAGATATGGACGCCGCAAGCCATGCCCATCAACCGGTGCACAAGTCCGCTCTCATGCTTCGCCATATCTCCTGCATCTGAAAACAATCCCTCAGTTGACAATCCGGGGTGTCGTTGATGCTTTGGTCGTCAATTGCTGACGTGATCAACTCTGCATTTTGGCAGGCGCAATGGAGGAGGTCGGATTTAACTTTTTCCGAGAACGGCAGGAGCTCCCACGTGACTGCTGCCTAACCGCCAAGCTCAACGCTAGACCTCTTTCGGCCTAGGTCTGACGGCCGTGCTGCCCGTTTGGTCGCTTGGCGCGTCGCAAGAACGCGAAACATGAAGCTTCAACACGACCAAGACGTCGTCTCGGGGCAATTAATCACTCCGAAGGATGGGTGCTGTTGATGATGGAAATACGAGAATATAAAGAAAACTCATCCCTCATGCTGTAGAGATAAAAGAGTGAGTTCCCGTCCAAATATCCTATACATCACGAAAAGACGGAGCCAAAGTCGCTGCTGCAGACTATATAACTACATAACAATCACATTTATCACGGCCCTCTTCATCATGGCCACCCCCAATCAAAAAGTCCACCCTTGCCTCTGGTTCGACACCCAAGCCGTCGAAGCAGCAACCTACTACACCACCCTCTTCTCCCAAAGCCCCAACAGCGACAGCAGAGCCTCCTCCCGCATCACCTCTGTCTCCGGACCCCTTGTCACCTTCACCCTCGCTGGCCACGAGTACTCTGGCCTCAACGGCGGGCCGCTTTACAAACACAGTCCGGCGGTTTCGCTCTTCATCACCTGCGAAGACCAGGCGGAGATCGACCACTTCTACGACAGTTTCATCCGGGACGGCGGGCAGGAGATCCAGTGCGGATGGCTGACGGATAAGTTTGGTGTGTCGTGGCAGGTCGTTCCCAAGGCGCTGATGGAGATGATGAATGACGCGGATCAGGCCAAGGCGGGCCGCGCGAGGGATGCGATGATGAAAAGTAAGAAGTTTGAGATTGCAAAGTTGACGGCTGCGTTTGATGGAGTCGAACAGTGAGAAGGGGATGGTTGATAAAATCACAAAAGCTGCATGATGGAAATATTGTGGCTGTAGATAAAATGAAACATCAATACTTGATTTCATTATTGGAGCACCCATTTTTTTATTCCCCAATCCTGGACGCGGAAGAAAAGATAAGACGCGTAGTTCACAATTTAACACATAAAAGCCGCGAGTTCAAGATAAGCTCCGATCATTAAAGTTACAGTCCCTGGCCAAATGGCAGAGGTTGTGATAAGAATCAATAATTTAACTCCCCATTCCCATCTCCGCCAACAGCATCGAGATCTTCATAGCTTTTCAGGCTCCGGCCTTGAACGGCCTCACGCGGTCCCATGGCTTGAGGGCCACCGCCAGCAGTATCCCCCCATCGTCCGCCGCCAGGCCCAAACCCTGCCATACCCGCAGCCACTGCGGCTGGATGACCAGGTGGGATATAGGGTGCTCCAGCATGAGGCGTTCCGAACATACCACGAACAGGGCTCAGGCGACCACCGGTGCCTGGACCAGTCCCACCAGTTCCACCGAAGCGACCGCCTCGACGATCATATGGGCCGGTTCGATTGAAGTGGCGGCCCCGACGGATTACACCAGGATTGTGAAGCCCCGGAGCCCCGCCAGCATTGGCCATTGCCATTCCGCCGGCTGCCCAACCGCTAGCATTCATGAATCCAGGGAGACCTCCAGCCGATGAGGGAGGCATTCCTTGAAAGGCGGCGCCCGCCATGGACCCATTTGCGCCGAAATTGAACGGCATGTTGGCAAAATTGAATCCACGTGGTGTGCCAGCCGGTACATGTCCTGGTGGGAAAGGGAAATGTCCGTTGCTCGCAGCATCGGACCTTGACGGTGAAATGTGCGCAGGATCAAGGACGTAGGCGTTCACAAGAGTAAGCTGCCGACAAGGGTTAGCAAACACTCAACTAATAAGCAAGAGGTTGATCATACTTCTTTCTGTATTTCGAGGAACCAGTCAGGGTGTCTTTTTTCAACATGCTTCCGCCAGAAATGGTGCCCTTTAAATAGCTTTGTACACTCGGGAACTTTGCAACGGAATTTTGCCTCGTCTTCTTGCTTGACAAATTTATTAAGTTCTTCCTCCAAAGCTTCCTCGACAGGTTTACCACCGAGCTTCCTCAAATCCACATTCTCTGGCTCCAGAATCTGAAGGAGCTTTTCCTCAAAGGTTTTGACCCAGTTGAAAGCTCGATAGATTTGCTGTTCGCTCTTTGAAGAAAACCGGGGAGGCTTTTTCTCGTCGCTTGGAGATGCTTCGGCTTCACCTTCTTCAACTTCTTCTTTCTTCTTCGCCGGGTACGGCTCGCCCAGAGCGCTAGCTCTGGCCGCAGCTTTGGCGTGAGTGCTCAATCCGGAGCGAGGGCGACGCAAATGACCACCAGGGCACTTCCGAACCAATTCGTGAAGAGAATCACTCTCAAACACACAAAAGAAACAGAAGTTGTGGACACGCCTCAAGTATTCGACTAGTAGATCCAATACTTTCTTTTTGTAGAGCAGATCTTCGCTATCAACGTCATCGTCGTCTCCTTCTTGTTCTTCGCCTTCTTCCGCCTCGCTGTTCTCGAGAAAGACCATATCTGAATCTAGATCAAACGACTTTGACTTTTTCGATTTTACCGGCCCAGTAACAGCGGGTTGCAACAATCCCTTGGTGCCAAGTTCCTCAACATACTCCTCAACCTTTGTGATGCCGTCGGCAGAAGCCATTTGTGAATCCAACTTTGCTACGACACGCTTAACCAGTTCAAGGTCTCGATCGATACGTTCAGGGGCCGAGAAAAGGTCCCAAAGTGCCTTTTTCTTTGGATGTGCTGGTGGAACATGAACACCAACATGGCATACAAAGTCTCCGCGCACAGGGTCTTGGATAGTCTTTTCATTTACAGCTTCCAACGCCTTCTCAGCTGTAGAGTTTCCACTGTTTCCATTTGCTGTCGTGCTTGGCTCGACTTCTTCACCCTCTTCATCCCTGCCGTCACCTCTTTCGATTACAACATGAGATTCGGGGGCAGGGTGCAACATTATCCAACCAATACGATGACACTTTTTCGATGGATTTGGGTCACTTAAGCTCAGCCATTTAAACCCGCCATCCCCTTCGCCAAGATGTTCCTTGCAGAAATCTTCGATCTTTTCGCGACTGACGTTGGGCGCCAGGGTCTTGATAAGGAGAGCGGGTTGTAGCAGGGATTCGTCACGGAGATCCCCACCCCTGGTGGGCAGAAGATCAAGGACACCGAGGGTTTCACCAACGGCCGTGGCTTCCCCTTCTTCTTTCTCGACGATGCCACCTGCGCCATCACTCTCACTTTTGTAGATTCCTTCTAACGTAAAGTCATCAAAAAGTCCTGTCTCAAGGTCTTTCGTCCATTTTTCGTAAGGCCCGACTCTGAATTCCATCAAACGTTGGCGGAATGGGTCCCGAATTTCCGGCACATATCGCTCCTTGAACCACTCTTCGTTTCTATGCCTCTGCACAAAAGAGCGAGCCATTTTGATTTGAAATTCAGATTTATAAGAATCATATGCTGCTTGAATGAGCACTCGTTCCTTTTCACGATCCTCTCTTGCTTCTCGTTCACCTTTAACACGATCGGAGGGGCGACGGCCGCCATGCTTTGCCCGCTCTTTTTCTTCTTTAATTATTTGTTCGGTCCGCCACCATTCCGCAAACCAATTGAACCCGACCTGATAATCCAAAGTCAAAGGACTTGGAAGAGGGTTGGTGCGGATGATGGGCCTACCAGTTTCCTGGCCGGGGACGTATCTGTCAATGTTCGCCGCGGTTGGCGAGGGATGGCGTCGACGCTCTTCACGGTCCCGGGAAGCATGATCTCTAGACACGTTGTAGTATTCGTCACGGCTGATTCGGTCGCCCGGTTGATATCGATCGATGTTCATGGGCGAACGGGATCTGCCGCGGCCGCTGATTCTGCGACGATCCTGGGAAGCGGCTAGTACTTGTTAGAAAACGACGCTGAACATAAAGCGCTCAAAAGAAATAATGTTGAGAAGCTTGACAATATCCTCATGACTCTCAGGAACCAGCCTACCTGGGGATCTTCTACGGTACGAATCCATGCCCGATCGCGATATACTCTCTTCGTCCCGGCCCCATCTCGATTCCGATTTGGAAGGCGGAGGAGGCGATCCGAAAGTGTCGAAAGGATCCATCTCGAGTGGAATCGGCGAAAGAACACGTTATACTCAAATGACTGCCTTGACGGCCAGACCAGCACAATCAGACGACGCCCAGCATCCAGTTCCTGGATCTGGAGAAACCACGCAGATGTTATGTCACAGCAGCTTCAATTTCGAAGGAGTGGCTCGGTACGGGACCTAACGTGGTGGAGCTATGGAGGGTCATTTTGGCAGTTAGATTTGGCTTCAAAAGTAGGGCGGCGGGTGCGTCGCGGTAAATCAAGGGAAGAATGGGTGAGGGAGATAGTAATAGATAAAAGAAGTGGCCTTTGATCCAAGAAGTCAAGATAGGCTAGGCTACAAATTCAGAAGAGAGGTGTGACGACCTGAGCTCAGAAGGGTATCACTGGGCGAAGGCAGAGGGAGAAAAGGATAATATCTCAAAGAAAGGCTGCAATCAAGTTTTCGAATAAGCCAATGGATATAGATCCGAAATGAGTAGAAGAATAAGAAGGACGGGGGGAACACCCAGACTATCGTGTGAAGCAGGATGGGTAAGATAATGGCCGAAGCGGGTAAGGCAGCAATGAGAGGATGGGAGAAACGACAAAGGGTCAGGCAACCTACAAGTAGCCCTGAAGAAAGGATAACAATGTCCCAAGGTCGTAAGCAAAGCACAAAGCTCCTTGGGAAGCTTGACAATTGAGAGCGACAAGCGATGTGGTGGAAGATGATGGAGGTGAGGATGAGATTGGAGGCCGAACCAACCGCTTGAAGAGAGGCGGGTCGTCACGTGTTTGGTCCAGCCGGCTGATTCTGCGCTAGACCGTTTCTGGATGTCAGCTACTGGTTTGAACCAGCTCAATGCCAACTCCTTTGCGGCAGATAGCTAGGTGGAAGGAGGAGAAGGTATGTGATGGGAAAACAAAAGAAAGGCGGGTAGCCGCATTGATAATACAAGGCCTTCGTAGCCGCGACAGTTGTGTTGGGCAAACTATTCCATGCTTAAGTTAATCTCCCATTGTATGGCGAGGATGTAGAAAAGCAAACAATACTCCAATCCAAATCCAATTTGATAAATCTAGAAACGTCGTTCCCACTGCTTCCCAGCCCGATCCATTCCCGTTGCTTTCCTGTTTGGCTTGGGGGTCTATTGATTTCTAGCAAGGCTATTACACACATTTCCATTTTCGCTTTTTATATCTTCCAGCGCGATAAACAGCGGCGACTAGCAGAGCCTGCTGTGGAAGCTTGATTCAGCTAGAAAGGCACAGTTGCCATTTGAGTCGACTGACGACATAATTTCGTGCCGTTGTCGCTAACACGTGCCGTTGTCGCTAACAGAGGCCAGTCAATCGGGGAAATCGCAAGAGCAGAGGTTTTCTTTATACTCACAATGGTTGTTTTCCGCCCTCCTTGCTTTAATCTATTTCCAGCCTGTCAAGCACGATACGGTACATAGTTATAGATTATCGACAGAGGAGTCTCTGCCTGGTCTATCAATACCGATCTAGCAAATGAGCAAGCAAACAGGGGCCCAGGGAAACTGTGGAAGTTGAATCCCAGCCAGGTTTGCATTCCAACTCTCTGCTGAAACGGTGCACGGGGGCCCATCTGCACCCAAACATATATAACAGATGCCCTTTCCTCCTCCTCCTCTCCCATGATCCTCCATCCAGCATTCACCTCTCCTCTCCGGAGTCAAAAAAGTCAATCACGTGACCCACTGCCCAGGCCCTTGGAACCTGAGGTCCTTCACCGCAGCGGGACCCCGCCTCACTCCTGGAGCTTCACACGCTACCTACTCTTGACGATGACGTGCGATATCGCCTTGTCTTCAGAGGAATCTGAGGCTTGCAAAAGGCGGTGTACTAAAAATAATACACTCCAGCTGGGTTTTGAGGACCAAGGCCAAAAATGTTTCGAAGGTTAGGCATCAATCTTGCAGGGCCTGATGTTGGGCTCAAAGTAGGAGATTAGCCTTTTATCAGACTTGTCAACTCCCTGGGGAGGTGGTGAAGTCACTGCATAGTTAGTGCAATCAGGCAGACCTTTTTGAACTTGCAATTCTGTTCTGTAACTAGTCATCCAACACTTCGAGGTGGGAACAAACATGTATTGCGATATCTTCTCCTCATGATAAAATCTCCGTCAACGATAGTTCTCCACGGAAACTCCTTCTTAAAATTTCAGCTGATCGGAGGAGAGTTTGAAGGGAGTGCTTGAAACATAAAAGGTAGTTCGACGAAAGTTCCCTTGGTTCAGAAGTCTCTGTCTGGCATGGATTCAACGTCCACGTCGACGGCATCCCTGCATCTCCGGCTATATTCCATGAGGAAAGAGTGATAACGGAAGGTTCCAGCTTTCGGGAATCCCTGGTCGCTCGGTTCAGAAACTCGCAGAGGCTGTCAGCTGGGACGAGTAACTCACAAGGTACAGCCAATAAGTTATAAGCAACATTGTGACATAGGATCAGTGCGTGCCTTTCTTTTCTCCGGATAGAACCGCCATTTATTGCAGTCTGTTGTGAGACTTGTGGTGCAAAGTAGCTCAGTCATTGTCATTTCGATGCGTATGTAGCAGTCACACAATCAGCCGGAGTAGATGGGGGCTAATAGTTTGGGTAAAGGTCCTGCTGGAAATGTAATTTCTCCATCAGAGAGCACAGAAGCAGAAGAAAGGCGAAGCCCCAAGCCTGCTCCTTAAGATGTTTGAGTCAACAAACCAATAGCAAGATCCAGCGAGTCACGAGAAAGAACATGACCTGGCATATTTCAAAACATGGAAGCACCTGACCCAGGCTAGGAGACGTGTTTCCAGCTTCAAAGGCCAAACATGACCAAGGGCCCGTTTGCGATCCGGGGATTGCCCGCTGAGTCGCCGCAGTGGGGGATGCAATTTATCTCCGAAATGCCCAATGATTTTGGCAGAAGATGCCTGCTTCGATGTGGAACCATGGGAGGCGACAATCTGAGTTGGCCATTCAACCAGGCGAGCCACAACAATTG